ATGAGGAGGGTTCTGTCTTTGGGAGACAGTTATTAAAAATGAGTCCCAGGGAGGTTATCGTCTCTTACCAGGCCAGAGAAATCAGCAGAACAGATGGGTGGGAACCTCCATTCTCATCTTCCAACAGACACAGTGGCCTCTTCCTGGGCAAGGACAGGCTAGGCTAACAGCCATGCACAAGTGTAGAGACCATCCATTCATTCGACCGATGTTTATTGTGCTGCTTCTTCCCGCCATGCCCTGTGCTGAGTACGGAGGATACAATAGTGAGCAGAATGGTCATGGTTCCTGCTCTAAGGTAGGGTAGAGTGAGTGAGGGAAGTAGACAAACAAGAAGTGAGAAGCATAAGACATTAGGGAAGAACAAGCTACTCTGCAAAACAGAAATGAGGAACCCAGTTTAGCATGGTAGTCGGTCAAGGTGAAGGGTTTGCAGAGCAGGTGACACTGAAACAGAGACATAAATGTTGGGAAGAACCCACTGTGCAAGAGCAGGGGTGCGATGGTGTCCAGACAGAGGGCAGAGAGTCCAAAGTGTGTGTTAGAGAATCTGAAACAGCTCAGGAAAGGCCAAGGTGACCTTTACTGGAAGGTACTAAAGAGTACCTATTTTCTCTTCAAGCCCTTGGGGGTAACACTGAGCCAAGGAGTTGCAGCCAGATCCCCACACCTGCTCCTACCATCACCACCACTGCCACCCACCGCTGCCGTGGGTCTTCCTTTGTAAATTCAAAATGCCAGTCTCTTCACTGCTGCCTGTTTTAAAAGTAACACCTGTTTGTAGGACAAATTTAAACAATACAGAAGCACATAGGATGTACTCCAAAAACTTAACACCTTCTGTCACTCCCATCCCCTGAGTACTATTATTGATGGCTTGTTACTTCATTCCATATATTTTATGTAAATACAAAGTAATGCAAACTCTAGGCCAGGGTTGGCAAACTCTTTCTGGAAAAGGCAAGATAGTAAATATTTGAGGCTTAGCAGGCCAGATGGCCTCTGTGGTATCTGCTCAACTCTGCTGTTATAATGTTAAAACAGCCGTGGGTGGTGTGTAAACAAACAGGCATGGCCGTGTACCAATAAAACTTTATCTATAAAAACAGGCAGGGAGCCCATGAATTCCAGCTTTCTGACCCCAGTTCTATATGAATGGGATCACACTGTATGTGCTACTCTGTAATATGGATGATTTTTTTCCCTTGTTTTGTTTTTCTGCCCAGAATATAGATCTTAGACCCCTTTCCACATCAGTGTTCAAAGACTTCCACTATTGTTTTATAAAGGCCATTTACATTTCAGTGCATGGCTCTAATTCAGACTTTTTTTAAAGAGTTCTTTACTGGTTGAGTGTTTTGGTTGTTTCTCTCTCTCTCTCTCTCTCTCTCTCTCTCTCTCTCTCTCTCTCTCTCTCTCTCTCTCTCCTTTTTATTACGGTGTTTGAAAATGGCCCTTATCTACTAGGGAATTAAAAAAGCTAATTCTTTTATTTTATTTATTTTTAATCCTCACTCCAGAATATGTTTATTGATTTTAGAGAAAGGAAAGGGGAAAAAGAAAGAAACATTGATGTGAGAAATATCAATTAGCCGAACCCACAACCTAGGTATGTGCCGTGCCCGGGAATTAAACCTGAAACTTTTTGGCATATGGGATGATGCTCCAACCAACTGAGCCACCCAGCCAGGGTGAAGGTGGTTCTTTTAATTTTCCCTTTTTGGAGGGCTTGGGTTTTATTTATCATCGTGATGTTTCAGTCATTTAGTTTTATCATTCACAGCTGGGCTCTGGTTTGACAGGTGGAAGACCTAATCTTGGTCTCAATTCTACTTCTTAATTGTTGAATGACTTGAAACCTTATTTAGCCTGTCTGATCGCCGCATCCGTCATCCAGAACCAGGACAGGGGTGTACCTGGTCCAGCCCGCTGCAGGGGCCATAGTGATGCATAGATGAGATAATAGATTGCAGCGTGCTTTGAAAATTACAAAGTGATATTCCCATGTAAAAGGCTATCATCATCACCATTATCCTTATCACTATTATTAATGTGATAATGTTGGCAGATGAGCTCTTCTTACTCTGACAGGTGACTAACTGTAGAGCAGAGTCTGCATCCCTAATGTGGTTGTTGATTTTCCTGGCCCTGAGGTATTCAGCCAATCAATTCAGCATCCATTGATGAAGCCCCTATTATGTATCAAATACAGCCAGTGCTATTGCCAAGTTCTGTGCCAGTTGCCAGGGTTAAAAGGAGATTAGGTGATGCCCTCTGTCCTCTATGAGTTCAGAACCCACTGAAAAGAAATACGCATGCCCAAATTACAAGATAATGCCATGCGTGCTATAGCAGAGAAAAAGAAAACAGAATTTTGCAGACAGAAGACTACGTTCAGAAAGGTACCACAGAGAAGGTAGCACTGAAAAGCGTAGGAGTTTGCGGTACAGAGGAGGGAGGAAAGGATGTCCTGACACAGGATATAGCTCTGGGGCAGTCACACGCACCTGGGGTCCCCATGCCAGGACAGCAGTGACCTAAACGCACAGTTGCTTCTATGAGGTAGAAATTTATTCTCCTTCCTGTGAAAGAAATCCTGGAGACTGTCATCTAGGCCCAATGAGGTGGCTTCACCTCAGTTCCTTTTGTCTTTCTGCTCTGCCGGGCTAGTGCGAGGTTCCCGTCCTCAAGGTTATCTCGGGGCACATGGCAACTGGAGCTCCAACGGTGCTGTCGGAATTCCAGACTGCGGGAAGGAGGAAGGAAAGAAAGAAGGAAGGGCCAAACGTATTCTCTCGCTCGTTACCTTCCTTTAAGCAGCGTTTCTAGAAATCCTGCACTTACCCACTTAAGAAATATTTACTGAGTGCCTACCGTGTGCCAGGCACTGGACAGCAGCAGCTGACAAAACAGGTGATCTGTCCTCATGAAACCTACACTCTAGTGGAGAGAGAGAGGAAAAAATAAGGTACATGTGTAGCATGTGAGACAGTACTGATCCCAGTGCAGAGAAAAAAGCCGAGGATGACGGGGAGTGTTGGGGAAAGGAACGCTGAAATTTCAGATAGCTGGTCCTGAAGGCATCTCTCTCCAATAGGACTTCCAGCCCCGGATTTCTAGCCAAACTTGGGCGTTGAGTTAAATCCTTAAAGTGGTGAGAGAAGGAGCCGGGCGGGTAGAGGGGACATTCTGTACGCCGAGGCCAATGTGGTTGGAGCGAACTTAGCGAAAGAACAGTAGGAGTTGAGGTCATAGAGGGGAGGATTGGAGGCAGAATATGCAGGACGTTGAAGGTCTGTAAGGACTTTGGCTTTTACTCTTAGTGAGACAGAGGCTGTTACTGGACCTGTGTTTACATCTTTTTGGCCAGATCTAGCCGTGCAGGAGCCTGGAAGGTGTAGATTTTAGCTGGTACCTTGATACTCTGCATAAAATCGGGGACTGGGGGGAAGGTTTAATTTAAGGATGAAGGTGGAGAATGGATGCTGGATGCCACAGCCAGTTTCGCCTCGAATTAACTGTGTGAATGTGGTCCCAAGTTACTTAATTTCTCTGAACTTCAAATAAGATTTGACCCACTCTGAATTTATAAAAAGGACAGATGACATATAAGACCTGGTGACAGTTCCTGACATATGAATCACCCAATGGCCAGTCGTATCCTTGCCCAGAGCCACCCAAGTTTACAGGGAGGACAGGTTTGATGTGGGAGTCAAGGGGACACATCACAGAGCACCCAAGGAACCCATGGAGGGGCCCTCGGTAAGTGAGAGACCATTTTCTGGGTGTCACTTGGTTTGGAGTCAGTGGTGTATCCGGGACCACTCCACGCCTGGGTGTGGGCAGAGACTAAGCACAGGGCCTGCCTAACGGGCCCACTGCAGCAGCAGCTCCACGCAGCAGGATCACAGACTCAGAGCCGCCTTCCATCAGCCAGCGGGCCAGTGGCAGCATAGAGACACACTCTGAAGCCATGGCTGCCCTTGTATAAGTAGCTTCAGTGGCACCCAGCTGACAATGGCAACCATCAGCAAATTTCCTCCTGAGCCATTCTTTTTCGAAGTCTGATGCCTCCTCTTCTGGCTCTTTCCTCCTCACGTCTGCTCTTTGAATTTCTGAATGCCTCCCTGTGAACCCCCATCTCTAGACCTCTTGGTAGCACAGCCTCCCAGACTCCGGGGGAGCCCTGAGAATCGGTTGCATCTCCCTGATACTGACCTGCCTCAACTGTGCCCTGACCCTGCCCAGCCCTGACCACAGGCCTCCTGACCATCAGCGGTCCTGGACCAAGGAGGGTGAGGAAAGGCAGCAGTGGATGGAAGTGAGCGCTGGCTCCTGGGCCGAGGAGGGTGAGGAAGCCTGTGGAGATTTGGGGCCCTGAGGGGCCCTGTAATTGCTCAGGCAGCATCACATCCACTCTTGTCCTGTGCGGAGGGACAGAATGGAGGCCTGTTGAGCATGTCCATGGTATGAGTGATTGGGAAGACACATAAGCACACTATCCAAATGGAAAATTTCTGCTCCTTTAAGGAACTAGCAAGTACCCAATGCCCCAGTGCAAAGCCCTGGAAAACTGTATTGGAGATCCAGACACACCCCAGGGGCTAGAGTGGAGTTTTCTACCTCCTTCCTAAATCTAAGAAAGGCTGGGATGTGACCCGGGACCCTCAGCTCCTGCCAGTCAGAGCACCACATGCCTCCCCAGGGAGAGTGGGCGAAGGGAGGACAAAGCGCTCAGAGGTTTACCTGCAGCTCCCTCCTCTGTGGATCAGGGCAAGAATGCAGGGCGAGGAGGTGAAACTTCACTCTCCAAGATGACTCCCAGCCCTGCATTTCTAACCAATTCAGAGGGTTCCACACCTGAGGGAATAGGGCCAGCAATCCCAAGTCCCCATGTGCTCTATGGCCAGTTAGGATCCGAGCTTCCTTTTGGGTGCTGCACCCTATAATTAGGCCACTAATGAGTCCTTTGTGTACGTGTTTGTTTTTCTTTTTTCCAGAAAACCCACGAGAGTCGTGTTTCGATCCTGGTTCAATCAAGAACGGCACACGAGTGGGGTCTGACCTCAAGCTGGGCTCCTCCATCACCTACTACTGCCATGGCGGCTATGAAGTCGAGGGCTCCTCCACACTCACCTGCATTCTGGGGCCCGACGGGAAGCCTGCCTGGAACAATCCCCGGCCAGTGTGCACAGGTGGTGGGACTGGGGCGGGGAGGGGGCGGGAGGGACTGAGGGCACGCCAGAGGCAGGAGGGGCTCTGGGCAAGGGCAAGAGGGAGGAGGGTCCTCAGAGCAGGGAGCTCCTTGGGTTTGCTGTGGATGAGAAAGGCTGATAATTCAGCAGGCGTACTCATCCCTGTCAGTGTGTTGTGTCTCAGATCACATAGTGTCCGCACACACTCAGCCATGGAAACCTAGCAGATAGGATGGAACGTCAGAACTTCAAGAGCCTGGTGGCCACCCTAGTTGAAAAACAAGACCCTTTGCCTAGGTGGAAGAGCTTGGCTCTGAGGTCCACCCCCTGTGGAATAGGGTGCCATGGGTGGGAACAGAAGGTGGCTGGGACGCAGGGGCTGGCCTCTCCTAGTGGGGCCAGTCTGGGGAAACCACAGCTCTCCACATATGCAGACTCTGCCCAGATGCAGCATTAGCCGTGGGGGCAGCAGATTAGTTCTGATTCTGCTTGTAAGCAGAAGAGGTTCCCAAAATGCTCCTCAGGGCCGTGCCTCCAGGGACCAATGTCATGTTAATAGTGAGAGGGCAAAGATCTATGGGGCACAGGATGGCCCGTGATAGCATCAGGGTGGGTTTGGAGCCATGCCAGGTCAGGGCTGGATGTCCCGGGCAGGGCAGGGCAGGGTCCTCAGAGCTCCCTGCTCCACATCAGTGGCGGTGCACCTCCCAGCAACCCTGCCAGGCAGAAGCCCAAGCTGGGAGTGAGTAGAACAGAGGGTGGACAGAGGACGGGAGGCCCACAAGGTCACCTGCCCTCTATCTGATTTCTCCCTCAGCCCCCTGTGGAGGACAGTATGTGGGTTCAGATGGAGTGGTCTTGTCCCCCAGCTACCCCCAGAACTACACCAGTGGACAAATCTGCCTGTATTTTGTCACCGTGCCTAAGGATTATGGTATGGGATTTCATTGTATGTTTGTTTATATGTTTTTGGACTCCTTCCAGACCCTCGGGCCCTTCCCAATTATACCCCAATTCCACTCTCAATTGCACCTACTCCCATTGTGGGAACAGGCAGAACAGTGTCCCATACTGGACAACTGAGTGTGGACACCGTGTAACGGGCTGCAGAATGCACTCCTGACACACGACCGACTGAAACATCGGCCGGAACCAAGGGGACGGGGGTGGTGAGGAACTAGGCAGGGCTGAGGGAAGGCAGGGGCACTGGGCTGCCCAGCACAGCCCAAGTCTGAACAGGTGTGCTGCAGGTCCAGGCCAACTGGGAAGCCAGGGATGGGTAGCCAAGGGGCAGGAGGAGGTGAGGAGTGGGATGGAGCCAGGCTTGCAAATACAGGTGAGGGAGCTGGGAGCCGCATCATCCCACTATTCCATCTGAGACCCGAAGCCTACCCAGCAGCTATAAGTAGGACGAGCAAGAAAAATGTCCTGAGAAGACAGAGAAACCTCCAGGTTCCAAGACCCCAAGGTAAAAAGGAGCTAGGCTTGTCACCTGGTTGGCAGTGGGGACAGTTGCCATCCCTGGAGGACTCAGGAAGGTCCTGAGGAGCACAGGCCAGTTGTCACCGGGCAATAGGCTCACCAGCCCAGCTGCTTTCTCCCTGGGTCTCCCCTTTGTAGGAGGAGTAAGAACTATTTCTAAACACAGTTGGTGCTGGATGGGACAAGGGCATCAATAGATCCTGACCACCTAGGATAGGGACAGGGCAGCCTGAAGAGAGCTGGTTGCTTAGTCCCGAAACAGCATAGAGGGGGTGCAGGGCAAGGCCACCCATCAGGAACGTGGTCCTGAGGTCACATGGAAAATGGGGGGTGTTACGCAGAGCCCTTCCATGACCTGGAGTAGCTGCTGCAGCTGCTGTCTGGGAAAGGAGTAAGACTGGCTCAGTGCCAGGGCCACCAACCTGACAGCTGGGTGCACTTCTCAATGTCATCTTGACCCGAGTGGGAGAATGCCAGCCAGCCCCTTTCAGCCCCTGCGTCCCTGGGCCCGGGGCCTGGGCTGGTGTGCTAATCGGCCAGTAGAAAGGCTCAGCAAGGAGTTAGCCCCGTGAACCAACAATTTCCTCTGAGGCTTCCCTCTTCCCGGCCTGAGGTCCCGCAGACCACCACTCCTTGCCCCCCACATGGCCCCGCAGGCTTCCCCACTGAGATCTCCTCCCCCTGTCTCCTCCACAGTGGTGTTTGGGCAGTTCGCCTTCTTCCACACGGCCCTCAACGACGTGGTGGAGGTGCACGACGGCCACAGCCAGCACTCCCGTCTCCTCAGCTCCCTGTCAGGCACCCACACAGGTACCCCGGGGCTAGGCCAGGGATGGGGATGCGGCGGGTTGTGGGAATCTCGAGCCAGCTCGGAGGGAAGAGGCCCTGTAAGCCTGGCTCCAGGTGGTGCCCCGCAGTTCTGTTTGTCCTGCGCCCTGCTCTGTCACTCAACAGCCAGCTCCAATGGCCCACACCCAGAGGGGGTCTTCAGAAACTCCTCTATCCAAAGCTGCGCCTGCCCCGCCCCGTGGGGTGTAGCACTCCCGTTGTTTTGTATTTAGCCTCAACATGTTTTCCTAATTATAAACATATTGCATTTTCATTGCAGAAAACTTAGAGCCAACAGAAAAATAATTATATAGGGAATTAAAATAAATAAAAGCCACCCAGAAAGTACCATTGAAAAGATGGAGTGTATTTCCTTCCAGTCTTTATATCTGCTTAGACTTAATCGTTTACATATTTTATTGAACACAGTAATATACATATTTTTAATTGAAATATTCATTGTGAATGTTTCTCTGTCATTATTTTATTCTGTAATAGGATTTTTAAATGCTGCATAATAGTCTATCATATAGTTATTTAAAATGTAGGTAATGAATTTAAAATCTGTGTAATGAACACAGATTGTTTCTAATTTTTCAATTTTATGGATAGTACTGCATTGTGTTATACATGCCATTATACACGTCTGTACTACCTTAGAACATCTAGAAGTAGAATTGCCAAGTTAAGGGATATATGAGATCCTTAATTCTTCTTTAACAGATTGTCAAATATACCCCTAGAAAGTTCTTGCCACTTTGCTCACCAGCAGTGAATAAGAGGGCATGTTTTATCCTCACAAAATTAGGTAATTAAAAAACACAAAGGCATTATCAGCTTGAAAAGTGAAAATGGTATCTCATTTTTCAATCTACCCTTTTTATTACTAATTAGGTTAACCTTTTTATAATGAAATTATTAGTCCATGCATTTTTTATTTGGAATCTAATTGTGAATTGTTATTGATTTTTCTATTAGCATCTATTCTCTTATTTATTTAGTAAAGCACCGTATTATGATAACATATATATTATATACTATAAAAACTTCTTGCCTATATAATATGCTATAAAAAGCCTTCCCCTATAGTTTGTTATCTGCCATCTAATTTTCTTCAGGGTGTGCTTTAATGTCAGAAAATTTAAATTTCCCATGATATCAAATCTATCAATGTTTTTCTTTTATGGTTTCTTCTTTACTTTTCATGCTGATGAAATAAAATTCCTCTGTGTTTTTTTTACTTCTTTTTAGTTCCATTGTTTTGCTTTAATAACTTTGGAGTTCATTTTGATATATTATTTGATTTAGGAAACATGATCATATTCTTTCCAATTTAATCAGTTGTCCTAACAGAATTTTCAAAATGCCAGATTTACATACGTGAAATTTTATGAAGGAAAGGTTATGTGTCTAGACTTTTTATCCATTTCTTCTAAGTGTCAGTTTATTCTTATATCCAAAAGCTTTAATTATTGTAACATTATAACAATGTTTAATGTTATCTTAATTTTAAACATACAGTAAGATAAGTCCCCATAGACAGTCTTTGTTTTGAATTTTTATTGGCTTTTTTTGCTTAACTTTTGCCTCCAGATAAACCTTGGAAATATGTTGTCAAGTTTTTAAAAATTGCATTGGAATTTTCGCTGGAATCCATTAAACTGACACAATAGGTTGACTGGGGGAGAACACACTGTTTTAGAACAGGAACTCTTCTTCCCACCCAGAGGGGCGTGGTGTGTCTCTGCATTTACTTCCCATCTGTGACCTGATGGGGGCGCTGTAATTTTCATTTAGGCAGTGTGCATTCTTGGTCAACTTTATTCCTAGATATGTCACGGCAACTTTTGTTGCTCCTGTAAATGGGCCTCCCCACGTTACATTCTCTAATTGGTCTTTGCCAGTATTTTGGAAGACTGGTATTTTTGGAGTCATTTTATAAAGTCATCGAGCCTTCCATAACAATGTGAACACTGCCGGCTGATTCCCCCGGGTCCTTTAATATCCTCTGCAGATAAATTTGTCTCACTATTTTATCTCTTCCTTTTCCATGGGTTTTCTCTTATTTCCTTCCATTTTTATTGCTCTGTTCTGGTATCTTACTTTGTTATGAATGCTGATGTTTTATGTTTCGGTAAAAAATTCATTTCGCAATTATTTTAACTTTAGCAACATTGCTTATGTAATATGCTACTATGATGCTATTTAATTTCCTTTCTATTAGTGGTTGTATCTCCTGCCTTTACAATGCTGAATGCTGTATGCGTAGTCCCCTTCTTCACTCAGCTGGACCAGAGGTTTTTGTTGTTTGTTTCATTTTGATTTATTTTTTACTGCATCTACTTCCCAATTCTTCTGTGGAGTTTGTTGTTATATTCTGATGAATTAACCTCTGCCTTTTTTTTTTCATAATACCCCTCCCCATTTTTTTCTTTAGACTATTGTGTTCTTGTTCTAACATCTTGAGTTAAGAGCTTTGTCTGTTATTTTGTCTGTGTGATAAAGAGCATGTTTACAGCAATATATTCACCTCTAAGTGTAGTTTGGGCTTCCAGTCGTAAATATTGGTATGCACTATTTGCATCATCATCACTTTCTAAATAACTCATGATGGAATTTTACTCTTCTTTTCCCAGGGGTTGTTTAAGAACATCTCTTCCCTCCTCTCCCCTCCCCTCCTCCCACACCAAGAACTTGTTCCTATTGCATTTGTATTCTCTTCTGTTTTTATGGCCATGTAATTAGAGACCGTAGTTTGTGCCATTCTACTTTGGGGTTTAAATGCGGCTCTCTCATTAGACGAGGACATTCTTTTTTTTTTAAGGTTTTATTTATTTTTATTTTTATTTATTTTTAGAGAGGGAAGGGAGGGAGATAGAGAGAGAGAGAGAAACATCAATGTGCAGTTGCTGGTGGTTATGGCCTGCAACCCAGGCATGTACCCTGGCTGGGAATCGAACCTGGGACACTTTGGTTCCCAGCCCGCGCTCAATCCACTGAGCTACGCCAGCCAGAACTGAGGACATTCTTTTTAATTCCCCAGGTATCTGAGAAGAGTGCGGGGTCCCTGTAGGGTGGAGGTGCCACAGAGAGGGGAGGGGCGAGTGAAGCCCCGCGGGCTCGCTGCCTGTGCCCCTCAGACTCCTGAGCTCTCCCGCCTCCCTGCGAGGTGCCTGCAGGCACAACACGTGACCACTCCTTCTGTAAAAGGCAGAGAGTAAAAGTGCCACCTCCTAGAGTTACTGTTGGGATCCAGGGAGCTTTGGTCTTGCTCAATTTTGTTATTCAGATCCATTGGCGGGGGGGGCGGGTTCTCAGTCAAATGGCTTTCCACACCACCGCCCACACATTCACACCCAGCTGGAGGGGTAATCGGGATCTCTCCAGGTAGGATGCTCTTCCAAAATCTCTTGATAGATAGGTAGATAGATGGATGTGTGATTGACAGAGGTATAAGCAGGTATAGATATAGGAATGTAAGTATAGGTACAGGTAGAAAGAAATAGACGTGCGTACTTTTAGAACTTATATCCAGATATAAATGTGGATATAGATATAGTTGTAGATACAGATGTATAAGACCACTAGAAATAGAAAAATAGGTAGGGAGATGATAAATAGATAGATGATAGATAGATAGATGATAGAACCTACAGACATCAGCATCCATATGCTCAGATCTCATCTTACTCCTCGTTTGGAGAGATCCTGCTGACGAGCCCCTGGTGCCGACGGGAGTGACATGTGCCTGTTTGCACCGTGTGTTGGGCGGCGGGGAAGCTTGAGGACCACTGCTCAGCACACTTCACTTTGTTTTTCTAGTTGATACATCAGTGGTAGGGAATACTGTGAGGGAATCTCCCACTACAGTTGTGATATTTTGTTGTCTTCTTGTGTTTCTAACAACTGTTGTATCTGCGTTCGCCTCATATACCTTCCTCATTTTCTCTGAGAGGTTTTTCCTTTTAAGAGGAAATGTACTTACTGATTTTACAAGTGAAACATCTGGTCTGCTGTCAGTCAACTTGCTTTGTTCCTTCTGGGTGTTTTTGTTTTGGTTTGGTTTGGTTTGGTTTGGTTTGCTTTGATTTTGCCTCCTCACCTTTCTAATCATACCCACCCGATCTCTAATTTCCATGTTTTTTTAAATATATACTTGGACTTTTAATGTTATTGTAATTATTTTTAAATGATGGATTTCTTCCCCAACAAGTTTTCACATTTGCCTTTAGTTACCTACTCACAATAATTATTTGGGTTTGACTATACTTTGCAGGTTGTCTTTATCCCTGAAAGCTTTTTATTTCCCTACTTTCACTCATTTTTTTAGTAGGGCTCATAGCTGCACTGCTGTCTGTCACCTTGCATGTGTGAGAACGCATTTCCTTTGACATATAAATGACAGCTTGATTGTAAATCAAGTTATGGGTCACACACTTTCTGTCTCAAAACTGCAGCATTCGTCCGCCCTGTTCCAACAGCTAGTATCGCAGACAGATGGGAGTCCTGCCTGGTTCTTTATCTCGTGGGCAACCTGTGCTTTTCTTTCTAAGTACCTTTCATATTTTTCTTAATGTTTAAAATCAAAAAGCTCAGCAGGATGTGTTGTGGCGGAAACCCTTTCTCATTAATTAGATCTGGCACTTGGTGAACAGTTTCAGTCTGAACCTCAAGTCTTCCTTAAGCTTAAGAAAGTCATCGTCTCTCTTATTTTCCTTCAGTTTCTCTTGTCTTCTCTCTCTCTAGAATTCTTGATATATGTATATTAGATTTTTTCATCTATCTTCCATGTCACTTATCGTTTCTCTCTTTATTTTAATCTCTTTATCCTTTTTCTGCGGGTTCTGGGAGAATTTCCCAAATTGAATCTCCATGTCGCTGTTCGACTTCTGCAGAACCCGGCTGCCCTGCGCCAGCATTTCTCGTCTCTCTGAAGCCTGCGCTAACCTCGGATCTTGCCTTTGGCCTGTCTCCCTCCTCTGATTTCGCAGGTGCAGTGCTAGATTCTTGTGACAGTTCTGATCGACAGTCTTCTGGGATTTTGCCTGTTCTTTGTTGGAGTTCCTACAAAAATAGTTGCTTTGGTTTCTCAGGGTAGTTTGCTCACTTAAAACTCTGGAATATTTGTGTGCATCCAGGGGTCTTGCTGCATCCTTGCTTAGCCAGGGAGAGGGGGGGCCCGCGTATGTCCCGGAACGCGAGTCCAGGTGGGCTCTGTCAGAGGTCACCAGGGTCCTAATCCGCACGTGTCAAGCCACATGGTGGGAGGATGGAGAAGTTGAGTTTTGTTGCACTCACATGCACTGAGAGGAGGAGGTAGAGATAATGAGGAGATACTTCGCCTTCATGAGTTTTGTTTTCGTTTTCCACTTTGGCAGCCAAGAGTCCACTGGAGCAATGACTCCTAGCCAGACTCAGCCATCTGGGTCACATGCAAGTCTCAGGGTGCTGTGCCAAAGGCCGCCCACTCCCTGTGGCCAGTAGCATCCCTCAGCCTCCCACGAGCCCTGGTGAGCCCCAGATGAGCCTCCCAGTGACCTCTCAGCTGATGCCAACTCCAGCGCTCGCTACGGTAGAACTGCAGCCTGGCTTTCTGCAACTCCTACTTCTGTTCTGCTGGCGGGGTCAGCAGCCATTCTCAGGGGACCCTAAAGCTTCAGAGGGGCATCACGCAGAGTGGCCATGCCACTGCCTCCACCCCATAGTCCCTCCGCTTCCACAGGAAGGGGATGATGACCAAGACTGTGCTTCCCTGCTGCAGGTCTGATCATGCCGTCTGTCCCTCACCCGTCTGTACCACACCGAGCAGAAGACACACCTTACTCTTCTGATGTAAAGTTAGTGAAGTCGGGCTCCCCTAACTCCCTGGGCTCATTTAGGTTTTCATTAGTTTGTGTGCTATGGGTTGGGTGACAACCTGTCCTGCTTTGCCTGGGACAGTCCCAGCTTTCACTGGGTTGTCCCAGTATAATTATTAATAGCATGCCCTTTCACTCTCAAAAGTGTCCTCGTAGAGCAATAAATTATACATTTGCCTGGTTATTGATCATTTCACAGAGAATCTGGGAAAGGCCAGTTACTCTCAAAAGATCCCAGCACCCTCCTTCCCAGAGCTGGTGCTTGTTCGTGTATCAGACTGACAACAGCGTTCCCCGCAGTCCACCAGGCAGTTTGGTAATGGCCTTATCTTCATGCCAGTGGGTCACCAGCGCTGTAGAAGCTTCTCCTCCCGAGGCAGGTCATTTCATCATTCTGAACCTCTCCTTCTTGATCTGTTAGCTGAGGGCACTGAACCCTTGTCATGCCAACTTCACATTGATGGTGGGTCACGATAAGCCCATGGATACTACAGCCTCCTCCTGTGAACTTTAAACTGAAAAGCGCAGTGAAGATGTGAGGTTTCGTTCCAGGAAGAGCTGGGATGTGGAAGGAATTAGCGCGAAGGGCACGGGCAGCCCCTCCTTCCTGGCCAGGATCTTATCTGCTGGGCCCAACTGCTGGACTCACCGTCCTCCTCTCCCCCTCACCTCTTATCTCGGCAGGAGAGTCACTGCCCTTGGCCACCTCCAATCAAGTTCTCATTAAGTTCAGTGCCAAAGGCCAAGCACCCGCCAGAGGCTTCCACTTTGTCTACCAAGGTACGCAGGATGCGGATGTGGGCGGGAGGGAGGCTCCGTTTTCCAGTGACTGAGGGACCAAAGGAACAGCGACCTTTGCTCCTTAGTCTGTGCCTTATTCTCAGGGTATTGGCAATACTAACTAGCTTGTGAGGGCAGTTCTTGAAATGCAGTTGTATTTTGTACATTCATGTGCTCAACAGACAATTCTTGGACCAAACTCCGTGTGGAAGGAGGGGGGACATGAGAAGCTCATTCTGCCCCCCACACTGTCTGGTACCACCCTAGTGGCACTGGGGAGCCCATGTCCTGTGGGGCTTGGTTTTACCCACAAGGCCCAGGCAAGCTGTGGGGAAAACACAGGCTTGGCAGTGAGGCGGACAAAGGTCTGAACCCCAGCCCTGCCACCTTCTCCCTGGGCGCCCGTAACTCCTGCTCTCGGAGCCCCAGGTTGCTCCCCTGTTAACTGAGGGTAGTAACATCCTTCACTGATAGGATTAAGAGAGAGTCTACAAACAGCTGGCACCATGCGGTCGTCAGTGTTTGCTCCCTTTCTTACTGGCCCTGAAAGGCAAAGGCTGGCAGTATCCTGGTGTTCACCTGCAGGCCCCAGCCTCTCCTTGCCCAGAAGAAGGTGCACCATTTGGGGCCCGGTGTCAGTGCGGTTCTATTTATTCAGTTGCCCGGGGTGAGCTGCGTTTCGAGGTGCAGGGGGAATCCTGCCGCAGGGGACGCTGTATCTGGGCCTAGGTTAAAAGGCCCTACCTACCGTTGTGGGTAGGGAGAAAGGAGATTCAGGTGACGGAGACTAGAGCCCTGGGCAGGTCTTAAGGCACATGGGAGAAGAGGCCAAAAGCAGAGTGACGGCACTGAAGTGGGGGAGGAAGGGCCACCCTCCCGGTGAGGAGGTGTGGGACCCTGACCAGTGAGGGGCATCACGGGGAAGGCAAGGAACACGAGTGGCCCTGAAGCCTGGCCGGGGACTCACACTGTCTCCCATGGCTTCCAGAGTTGTGCCTCGGCATTTCATGTCCATCTTTATTTTGGGACACGGGCCTCATCCTAGGAAACCCCCTGCTCCTGCTCTAAGGCAAAGTGCACAGAGCCTGTCTGAGTCCCATCCAAGCTCTCAGTCCCAGTCCAGTTGTGAGTCCATCCCCAGGCCAGTTTCCAGAGGAGAGAGGCCTGCCCTTCAGTGCCCTTGTCCCCTGCAGCGGTGCCCCGAACCAGCGCCACGCAGTGCAGCTCTGTGCCGGAACCCCGCTATGGCAAGAGACTGGGCAGTGACTTCTCTGTGGGGGCCATCGTCCGCTTCGAATGCAATTCCGGCTATGCCCTGCAGGGGTCCCCAGAAATCGAGTGCCTCCCTGTTCCGGGGGCCTTGGCCCAGTGGAATGTCTCAGCGCCAACATGTGTAGGTGAGTTCCTGGGTACCCGGGACTCGGGAGGGTGCCCAGCAAACAGTCCTTTCTCCCTGGGGGAGGCAGCAAGACCCAGCAGCTACCCCAAGACATCCAGCAGCCCTTGCCTGCCCACATAACTCAGGTCACTAGTCCTGTGGAGTGAATGTGAAAACAGCAAGAAGGAGGAGGAGGAGCTGGGATTGCTGGGGAATTGGGGTGGAGGGACAGGTGTGAAGGGAGGTGCATGGGTCTAGCCCCTGAAGAGGGTTGCATGGGGAGGAATCATGGGAGAGGGTGGGGCTGAGGCCCAACTAGAGAAGCCAGCAGGGTGGGGATGGGAATCACAAGCAGGCTGGGGGGCCCTGAGAAAAGCTTGTTTGGGAAGGTTCCCATGGGGGACCCGCAAAGACCAGAGCTGCCTCCTCCCAGTGCCGTGTGGAGGCAACCTCACGGAGCGCAGGGGCACCATCCTGTCCCCCGGCTTCCCGGAGCCCTACCTCAACAGCCTCAACTGCGTGTGGAAGATCGTGGTCCCTGAAGGTGCTGGCATCCAGGTAGGGGAAGGAGACATCTCCATCAGGAAGGTAGCTAGGAGGAGACATAGCCCTGTCCCTGCCCTTCAGGCCAAGGGTGGATTTGGGGCCCACACACTGACAAACACCACAGCTCATGGCCCAGGAGCTTAGGGGGCATGAGGAGAGAGCTGGGTGAGGCGGGAAGGAGGAGGGGTGGGCACGGGCTCAGGCCATCAGGGGTGGCCAGAAGGAGGAAGTGGGCCTGGGGCTGGAATACAAAAATTGGGGAGGATTCATAGGAAATATTTTTCAAATGGCTTGAAGGGGTCTTTTTTCTTAAGATTGTGAGGGGTAAAAGTGGGGACAATGCAGGCAAAGGGAAGGAGCAAACCAAGAAGCAAAGATAAGACACCAGGCACACACCTAGGGTGTCACACCTGCAGCCCGAACCCCAGGAACGGAATTAGGGCCAAAGCAGATGCCCAGTGGCTAAAGCGACATGGGGGAGGCCAACGGGGCGGCGGTGAGCAGGGACCAATGGCGGCCAGCCCAGCAAGGAGCGGGCAACCGGCTCTTCGCTGCAGGACATCCAACGTAGTCCAAACAGGAAAGTGGGCAAACCTGAGGAATGTTCGAGAGACGGAGAGAAGGCCAGTCAGCCTGACGTGTCCCCACTCCTGGATTCCCTTTCCCCATGCACTGCCTGATAATCCTTCGTTTCTCACGTGTCTCTCCCACTGGGGACACAGAGCTCCTCAAGGGCAGAGGCTGCATCTTAATTTTACTGGAAGGACCTCGCGCAATGTCAGGCCCGGAGCAGGTGCCCGGGAATTGAATTAGTTACAGGAAGAGAGGGAGGGTGGGTAGCAGGCTGTCTGACCCGTAGTTCACTTCCTCTGCTCTCCCAGATTCAGGTCATCAGCTTCGTCACCGAGCAGAACTGGGACTCCTTGGAAGTGTTCGACGGGGCGGACAACACTGTGACTATGCTGGGGAGCTTCTCAGGTGAGGCGGGGCTTCCAGGGACCTCAGCGCAGAGGGCAGTGGTGGGCATTATTATTATTATTAACTGTATTATTATTATTAAGATACAATTCACATGGCCATAAAATTCACCATTGTAAAGTGCACAATTCAGTGGGTTTTAGTGTATTCACGGAGTTCTACAACCATCACTATGACCCCAGAACATTCTCCTCGCCCCAGAAAGAAACCAGGTCCCCATCTGCACCCACTCCCCATCCACCCCGACTTCTGTCCCCTGGAAACCACGAACCCACTTGCCATCTCTGTGGATTTTCTTGTCCCAGACATTTATATGGGGCCTTCTGTGTCTGGCTTCTTTCACTCAGCAGAACGTTTTCAGGGGGCAGCGTGGTATAGCACGTAGAGCACTTCATCACATGGACAGACCCTGTTGGTTTACCATTCATCAGTTCATGGGCATTTGGCTCTTCCCCCTTGTTAGCTGATGCAGTTATGAACCTTCCTGTACCAGTTTCTATGGGGACATGTGTTTTCCATCCTCTTGGGTGCATACCGAGGAGTGGAATCCCTGGGTCCCATGGGAATCCTGTGTTTAACTTACCTCCCATTACAGTGGTGGACTTCAGGTTGCAGGTGGTGTGTATTTTAGCCCCATGACCAGGTTCATTATTTGGGTCTTCTAGGCCCCAGAACCCATGTTGCCAAGATCTAAAAAGGAGTCCCGTGCCCCAGATAAACTGTCTACGCTGCTCGCGTTGCGCAGATAAGGAGACATGTCAGAGTCATTTTGAAGGTGGCTGGGAGGGAACCAAACTCGTGGGCCATCCGAGGGACTCACCCTGCCGCTGGAACTCACCCTGCTGCTAGCATAAGGTTCTGCCACTGCCCGGTCTGCAGAAAGTTGTCTGTGGTCTCCGCCTCCTTTGGACCTTGGAGACCCAGTGCTTTGAGGGGCGCTGGTTTGTCTTTTAACCAGTGTGGTAGTGGGGACACTTGGGGGCCTTGGGAGCAGAACATCATTGGGTAGCAAAAGCAGGAGACACGGGGGGAGCTTGGGGGCCAGGAGACTAAGCCTGAGTGGTGCCTGTTTCTTGCCCCAGGAACAACCGTGCCTGCCCTTCTGAACAGCACCTCCAACCAGCTGTACCTTCACTTCTACTCAGATATCAGCGTGTCAGCAGCCGGCTTCCACCTGGAGTACAAAAGTGAGAATCCGGAGTCTTGGCTGTGTACAGGGTTCAGGGTGGGGGCTGGCAGGCGCAGAGTCCCCAGGAGGAGGAGGAGTCATGATAGGGCTGTGTTGTCTCCATCCCACTTGCCTCATCCCAGACCTAGGTGAGGTCACCCAGAGAAGGTCCAAACCCTCCTCCAGCCTACACAGCCAGTAAGTGGTGGAGGCGGATTCTCACCCAAATGTCAGTTACTCAGAAACTGGTGCACTCCCTCAGTGTCCACATCAGGAATGGGAAGGGGGCCTGGTCTTTGGCCTAGGCCTGGTATATAATTTGGGCTATGAGAAAATAGAGGCGATCTTCTCCTCCAGGCCTAAAAACTGGCCTCTTCAACTTCTGCTTCTGTGATGGGAATTGTCTTGGGAAATGGGGAAAGGCATGATCGGCTTGGCTGTCTTTGTCAGTGTGGGCCTGTGCAGATGGGAGCCCCAGTGGGTGCTAGAGGCCCGACAGGGTCAGCACCGGGCGGAGGCAGATGCCCAGCTGGTCTTCAAAACAAGAGAGCTTTATCCAGGCAGTTGGGAGAGAATTCCTGGATCCCGGGATGCCCATGGCCTGCAGGAACTGAAGAGTGCACCTAGTAGGCCAGACCTGGGGCAGCTTGAAGCAAAGACCCCACAGGGCAGAGGGCAGGACAAGGGCCTCTGAGACCCTCCTGCACAGACCTGGAGGCTCCACTCAGCTGGTGGTCCGCAGTATCCACATCTTTTTCTTTTACCCTCTTTCCTCTGTTCTTTGCAGCTTTGTGTCCTTATCCAATATTTTAATGTGAGTCCTTAAATGTTCCCAAGGATCTTCTCTTTATTTTCTTTTTCTAAAGACATACTTTCTTCCTAAATCTCTTTGTCATTCTACTGCCTCGTTTCCAGGAAAATAATTGCCTCCTCTCAATTTTTTTCCCAGGGAACTGGTAGTTTTCTCAGTAGCTGATGTTGACCGTACATTGTCCTCTCATGGTGAGAGAAAGCTAGGGGAAACACAGAAGTCCCCGTCAGTATTTGGAGACCGAAATTCCTAGGAACCAAAACCCTGTAGTTACATTTTTGTTTTGTAGATAATCTACAAAGAGCTACAGAAAGGGAGAATTAATTGCTGTTGTACAGGCAAATGGTTTTGAAGGGTACTGAAAAGTCATATCTACTGCTATGACTCATATTTAATGTTTATTTAATTAAAATGGAAGTGGAACAATTAGGCTTTCAAAAGGAAAAAGCTTCATATGAGAAAAAGTGATGCTTCCTTCACTGCCAGCATGGCTTAAATAAAATCAAGATGTGCCATCTAAGAGAAATTAGAATGGACTTTTCCCTGCCTCCCTCCTTCTTTCTCTCTCAGGTCTCACTTTTCTCCCCATGCCATTTTCTCTCCCACCAGACTCTCTGGCTCTGGCTTTCTCTCTTTTTCTCGCTGCCTCTCCTCCTTCGGTCTGTCACTGCTTTTCCAGTAGGAAGGTCTTAGCCTCCTAAGTTGGGATCGCCCCCTTTATGTACTGAGTGGCATTCTACTTGGAGTGCGGGCAGGGGTCGGGAGAAATAGACAAGATGACACCCAAGATGAAGCGCTTCAGATTCAGGGTAATTACGGTTTTAATTCTGCCCTTCAGGTCTTTTGTCCCAGCTGCTAAGATTTGTGGTCAGAGGCCCCAACAGCATTCACTTCAAGCATCACGTTCACTTCCTAAAAGCACATGCAGCACAGGAGTTGCCTGGGAAGAGCATGAGAGAACTTCCTAGAGTGACAGTAATGTTGTGTAGTTTTGTAGGGGTTTGGACTATATAGGCGCATGCATTTGTCAAAACTCAGCAAATATATGCTTGAGTCAGACCCAACCTCAGAGTGTCGTATTGCGTATACCCTCCTCTCCTCTCGGCCACCCTCAGTGAAAGGAGCATTTTGGAGCAGGCCAAGAACTCAGCTTACCGCAACCTCCTTGCCTCCTCATGGTTCTTCCAACCCATGTCCCCTGAGAGGCACACTCCAAGTCCCAGCCATCAGCAAATGCACAGGGATTTATTTCACGAATGTCCACACCTGCAGATGGGACCCTGCAGGGCCCAGGGGAGGCGTGAAGCCCCCCATGGGGGAGGTGCTACACTCCTTTTGCTGTGGGAGTCAGCCAGGAAGGAATTCAAAGGGATGATTTCCAGGACGGGAGATGGGGAGAGAAGGCCTGGCCAATGTGAGCTCATTTGGCCTCAGAGTATGGCCCCCACTCGGGCAGACCTGGAGTCATACTGGGTTTGATTTGCACCCAGCAATGTGGCTTCATAAGGGCAGGTCTCTGGGCCTCTTGGCTTTCACCCTCACCTGTGAAAAGGGGAGTTAAGACCTGCACCAAGCGGATGGGAGGATGCGTGTGACCCACTCACTCCAGTCTTGCTCGTGGGAAGTGCTCAGGGAGTGAGGATGGTGGAGCTGAGCGGGGAGGGTCAGTGGAGGAGGAAGACTGTGAAGAATGCCCTAGCAAAGCTCTGCGTACATTGCTGGGTATATGATAAAGACCAAATGAACGCAGACTACATTCGAAAAGTCAGGAAAGGAGAGTGACAGAGGAGCGTTTGGGAACCTGTGGAGGGGATTTGGGAACCGGGCCAAGATCATGAAAGTCATAGAATGTCAGGATGAGAGGTGAGATTCCATTGAATAGGTGACGGGGACCCACTTCAAACTGCTGAACAAGGAAGTCCCATGGCCCAAGGACAGGCGTTAAGAACACAAGTTGCCTGTGAGCACAGGATGAACAGGAACAGAATGGCTCAGGGTAGGGGGTGGGAGGGAGGCTCAGAGCTGACTATGGGAGTGCAGTGTGAGGAGCCCCAGCGCTGCTCCCAGAAGGGAGCTGGCCTGACTCTAAAACGCAGCAGGAGAAAGAGGGCAGTGGAGCGGCCCATTTGCTGGCAGACTTTCTCCCAACAGTCTGTCCCAAAGAGGGGAGTCAGAGCCCCTGAGCACCACTGAGATGTCCCTCTGATAACTGCTTTCTCTCCTTGCCTTCCATTCATCTCTCTCCCAATTTCCTAGCCTACTGGAGTTGTCTTATTAGAGCAAGGAGAATGGAGGGGAGTTAGGAGTCTGGGGCAGGAGTGATGTGGGAGGAGCTCATGTAGAGGGTCAGGGGCTTAGAGCCAGGGCTGGGCAGCTCCCTGGCCCTCCTGTTCTGAAGGCCCCATGGGGAGCCCTCAGGGCAGGTGAGCAGCCAGAGTTCCCAGAGGGCACTCTGCCTGCCCCAAGGAGCTGTGGTCTGTGGAGTCACCGTGCCATATAAACGCTGATTTTCTCTGTGCACCGTGAAGTGAAAGGGTTGGGAGCGCTAGTCTAGAGTCCACGAGCAGACAGAGCCCAATTCAAAGGTACCCTCCTGCCCCCGCTGTCTGCATCACCCTCAGTCTCCAATCGCGTTGACCTGCTGGGCTGGTCCATTCCCCTTTCCGTCTGTCTCTGTCCTGTTTAGCCGTGGGCCTGAGCAGTTGTCCGGAACCTGCCGTGCCCAGTAACGGGGTGAAGACTGGCGAGCGCTACCTGGTGAATGATGTGGTCTCTTTCCAGTGCGAGCCAGGCTATGCCCTTCAGGTACCTCCCCTTGACACCCAGGGCAGCAGACAGGTGTCCCCTGACGTGTGCTGGGCCAGCCTTGCACCAGCAGAGCTGCAGTCACCAGAGAATAAGGAGCAGACCCCCAATCCTCCCCCAGGACCATGATTCCCTCCTGGAGCTGTTCATGCAAAAAAGACAAACTTTGCTGACTTTAGTGATTTGGCACCAGCCAGCCTCGAATGTGTTCCTGCAAAGTTTTGGGTTGATTAGATGTTTGGAAAATTTAATTTTCTTCTGAAGGCCATGAGGGAGTCTAGTAATTAAAGGAGACTCACAAGGAAGCTTGAGTAATGAGAATTCTATAGTAATGGCCATTATAAGCTTCCTTCCCCAAAATCTCTCTCTCTCTGCCTCACTCCCCAGCTCACAGTGGACCTCTGTATCTTGCTCCCTAACACGAGCCCCTGAACAGGCCCCCTGTCCTGGGTTGTGCATACTATTGGGCGGGTGGGGGCGGCTGGCCTACCCCTGTTCCTGATTCCTCCAGGGCCACGCCCACATCTCCTGCATGCCCGGAACCGTGCGGCGCTGGAACTACCCGCCTCCTCTGTGTATTGGTAAGAGAGCCGGACTCTTCCAGTTCATTCAGATCCATCGTCTACCAGAGATTAGAGCTCAGGGACACATCAAAAGGCAGTTTTGTGTTCCGGGTTTGTTCAAAGGCAGTATGTTAGCCCGACGTTTCTGGGAGTGTTTAGCTCCCATTCAAGGTTGTCTCGACTATTGGAAACATTCACCCACCCAGTGAAAAGTCGCAGGAGCCTTGCCCATGAGAAAAAGTAACAATGTGCAGTTGGGTTCCAGATAACCAAACTTCTAGGCACTTTGGAGTTTCCCTCATGACTTTTCACGGGACAGACAGATAAAATCCACTAACAGAGACATCCTGAGGGTTACACATGAAATGAGGACTGAGCTTGGTTTGGTTTCTTACCCGTGCTGAGCGATGATAAAGAGAACTGCAGATACAAGAAAAGATGGGGTCTTCACCCTCAGAAACATCTCGCCATCTAGTCAGGTGGGGGCAGGGAAGAACCAGCCATATTCGTCGGGGGTCTGCTGTGTGCAAGGCACTGGGCCACGTGTTTCTTCTGAGGGGTGTCATTGTTCTCGTGTTTGCAAATAGGGGAACTAAGGCTTTTAGGATTAAAAAGAAAGTGGTGAGGTCCGGGATGGAAACCTAGGTTTTCTGTGATGCCCAAGCAACTGTGAAATGCCCCTCAAAGCCGGCCTTAGGAGGGGAAGCAAGGGGAGCTGAAGGAGCGTCACTTGGGCACAGTGGTGCTCCCTTCTGGGCTCTCACCAGGTACAGTGCCTGGTGCTCCGCTGAGCAGTCCAAACTGGGACTGGTCAGCCCGAGGCTCTTCCCTCGGTGACACGGCACAGAGGCCCTGTCCAGGTGGCCACTCCCATGGACAGTAGCTGCCACTGGTTAAGGCTTTACCGTTCGTGCTAGCTCCTGCCCCAAGCGGAGTTCAGCATTTCTGTTGTAACCTCCTAATAGCCCCTGCCGTAGGTGCTGTCGTAAGCTCCATTTCACAGTTGGGGGAAACTGAAGTGTGGGGGGGTGTAGAACTCGCCCGAAGTCACACCGGAAGTGGAAGCGTTGGGATCACGCCCTAAGCGGTCCGTGCCGGAACTCCCTCTCTGAACCCGGGCGCTGCTCTGTTCGGGGCTAAACAAACTGTCTCCCCAGAAAGCCTCTGCCTGGGCACCGCCATGCCTGTCCTCCGAGTTTCCCCTGGGCTCCCGCGGCCGGCAGTCCCGTTCTGCCCACACCACCTTTTCCCAATAAAATGTGAAAGGAGAGGATGGATGTCAGCCGACGGGACTGCTGGGGCGTTGCAGCCGTGAATCCTCAGGTGACTCTGCCGTCACCTCTGCTGGCATTTCAGATGCCCCCGCCCCTGTGGCTGGCTCCCCCTGGGGTGCCGGTCACAGGCACTTTGGCCGAGGGCACGTGTTCAACGTTCAGAGGGCGGCTCACAGTGCAGCCCATCTGTTGACCACCCAGCCCCACGGAGGGTGAGTTTGTAAAGAGCCTGGCATGGTGCCTGGCGCAGAGTGGGGACTCAGCGCATGCCAGTCCCCTCCCTTCCTCCTCTTTCTTCGGTTCTGGCAGAGCTGACTGGGCGATGAGGAGAGGCAGGTTTACAGGAGAGTGTGGAAAATGGAAGTGCTTCTGTTGGGGCGGACCGCTTTTGCTGCAGGAGCTCACTAAGGGGACTGACCTGCAGAAGACATGCTTGAGGTCAAGGGCCCTTAACGTGGGTTATGGACAGATGGCCGGAGGGCCCGAGGACGCTGGGCAGCCCTTCCTGAATTTATTCCCTTCTGCCCCTGGGTGCAGTTATTTAGGAAGATGAGTTAAAAGTCCCTTTAGATTCTCAAAGGGGCTGATGACTTGGGAAAGGTTAAAACCACTGCTCTAAGGGAATGTGGCCCATACTCTCCTCGACGCTGTCCCGACCCCCTGGTCTCATTGTCACAGCGCAGTGCGGGGGAACAGTGAAGGAGATGGAGGGAGTGATCCTGAGCCCCGGCTTCCCGGGCAACTACCCCAGCAACATGGACTGCTCGTGGAAAATCGCGCTCCCCGTGGGCTTCGGTAAGTCTTCGCACCCAGGTCTCTGCTCACAGCAGCTACCGGTCATGGTCACTCAGCACGGCCTTGGCTCACACCAGTCAGTTCTCCGCCTCTCCATTTCCTCATCTGTCAGCCCCTCGTCCGGTCATGAAGGTCAGTTAAGAATGGTTGAGATGAATGTTTTAGAAACATTAAATGTAGCAAACGTGGGGGAAATCCTAGGAATTGCCATTATTGTTATTATGTAAGTAGCAAGCTAAAATCCAGGACTGTGGAATGAGAAATTACTCAGGGATGGTTAAAAAAAGAAAAAAAAAAGGCAATCTATTTTACAGAGACTGAATCTCAAGTTGTGCTTTTAACTATAATATCCAATTTATTATCCTCATTAAATTGAGCCAAGGTCAATGTGAAGCTGAATTTGCATTCCTCATGGGCACTTGCTGGCTAGCCTTGGAGACTGGGAAGGGGTGTCGCGTGGAGAGGGAGTCTGCACACGGCAGGGAGGACAGGGATCTGAGTACAGGGGTTAATTGCTGTGGATTCATCAGATACTGTGCACTGGGAATCAACTTAATCCCAAGTACCTCTGTTAAAGAGGAGAGTACTCGGGTCGGCATGACTGGAGGGGCTGTCCACGTCCGTCACGATGCCCAGGTCGCTGCTCTGCTCCCAGAGACAACACGTCTCAGGCTGGGGATGTCCCCCTCTGCGGCCTCAGGATGAAGACCACCTATGTCATCCTCACTCCAGCCTCGAGGGGGCCTTTTGGTGGGGCTGGCAGCAGAAGGCAGTCTGAACTGGCCTTCTTAAATCAGTTCTGAGGGGAGGAGAGAGGTTGGCGACCCTCCGAAGGATGGAGTTTTACAGTCCGTACCATCTCCTGAATGAAGGACACCAGGGACAGATGGTCAGGTTGCAAAATGATGATGACTTGGGCAGCCTTGGGGAGCTCCCAGATTTGGAGACATGGCGGAAAGAGGAGCCAGGATGTCCTGTCGCTCTGCCTCCAGACATGGGCCTGAAGAATTTCAGATGATAGAAGGGTGGTGGCGGAGGGCAACGGTCAAAGGAAAACGAGGTTAAATGGGAGGTACACCCCTGTTCTCTCTAACTCCTGATTCAGCCACCAGAGTTCTGTCTCTAAGGTACCTGCCTATTCAGGCTCTGGGGAATAAGCCTCTTGCAAGGTCCAGTTGCAAAAGACCAGGATCCCTTGCTTCAAGTAAATGTCGGACTCGCAGATAGTCCCTAATGGGGCTGCAGCGTATGAAGAGCCACTGCATTTACAAGCGGCTGCCACTAGATGGCAGTGGTCACATCCTGTTCTTTCCAGGCAGCTCATTTCAGAAATCCTGCATCCCTGTAGAGCTCCTTTGGCGGGCACACGGCCCAGGGTGGGGACGATGCTTGGGCAGGGGACTGGAAAGCACAGGTGACAGGTGCACAAGTGCTCGTTGCAAAATCATCCACAACTTGGAAACAATCTACCTGTTCATTAGCAGGGGAATGAATAGTGTTGTTGGATAATTCATAAAATACAATTTATTAACATGCCATTAAAATCTGTGAACTGCCCTGGCTGGTGTGGCTCGGTGGATTGAGTGCCGGCCTGTGAACTGAAAGGTCACCAGTTCGATTCCTGGGCTGCGGGCCAGGTTCCCAGTTGGGAATGTGCAAGAGGCAACCAATCGATGTTTCTCTTAAATATCAATGTTTCTCCTTCCCTTCCCCTTTCTCTAAAGATAAATAAAAATCAAATCTTTTTTTTTAAGTCAATGAACTCTATCTTTATATATCAAGGATAGGCTTTGGAAAACATAATATCAAATAAAAGTAAGTTTACAAAACTGTATGTAAAGTGTAATATCACTTATGTAAATGGTTAAAACAAACCCACCTATCTATTTAACAATCTAAAAACAGGAACTGGAAGGCATCTTCCAAATCTGTGATAGTGACCGCCTCTGCGGAGGGAAGTGGGGAAGAGGGTAGGGCCAGGGATGTGAAGCTCTTCAACATTACACATCGAGTCTTATTTTATACTTTAAATAATAGGATGCAAAAAAATCACACATATGAGCTCATTGTGAGCAAATTAGACAGAAAGTACATGTGAGCACGCTTTTAAAATTAGAATGACCAGTAATCCCACCACCCAGTCCCTAACAGCTTGGTCCCCGCCATCGAAAGGTGGCGCCCTCGGAGACACGGCCATGTGGGTCTCATTCATCCTGAGCAGGGCCTGCCGCAGGCCTGGGGCAAAGCACATGTTCAGTAAGTATCATTAGTCCAGGACTATTCTTCTAGCTTTTCACTACAAAAATGAGAATTTTAGAAAACCTACTCTTTCACAATCAGATTGTCACAATTAACTTGGTGGACAATTCTGTATGCTCGGTAACTATATTTCCTTAATATAGTTTTTAATAGTAATCTAATTTTGAGAAATCTTATCATAAGCAAATATCAATAGTCCCACCTCCATTCTCCAAAGAATATGTTAATATGTAAGTTAAAGACTTAAGTAGCTATTTTACTGTTAGGTTGCCAAGAGAACTGGATTAATCCAATTAGGTCCCAAAGTATAAATGTCATTTGGCTTCTCAGTGGAACCGGCAGGACAACATACCCTCCTATTTCTGAGCTATCATCAGTGCTGAAGAAAACACCAGTCTTGAAGTTCATGTCTTTCAGTTGGGCGTGGGGGGGACATTATCTTTAAGTAAAATGTTTATTTTTGCAAAGCTATCTTTATTCTGATATAAGACATAAGAATCCCAAATTAAATCAAGTGTTGATCTTGAACTTCATTTTCAATGAAATAAAATGGACTCGAGGCAGAGCTCTGAAATGACGGATGCCTTGCCCTTTGAATGAATAATACTCGTTTAAGTTCAGTCCTGCCTGAAGACAAGACACTGGGCTGGCAGCTCCCCAAGTCTGCTCTGGGGATCCTAACTGGGTGGGGAGTCAGAAGCTGGGATGCCTGGGCTGTGGCAGGAAGGGGCTTCACAGGGCAGCACCCTGGAAGCAGGACCGGATTGCTCTGGGCACTGTCTGCCTCTGTCTTGCTCCCAGGAGCTCACATCCAGTTCCTGAACTTCTCCACCGAGCCCAACCACGACTTCATAGAAATTCGCAACGGCCCCTATGAGACCAGCCGCATGATGGGCAGATTCAGTGGGAGCGAGCTTCCAAGCTCCCTGCTCTCCACGTCCCACGAGACCACTGTGTATTTTCACAGCGACCACTCCCAGAACCGGCCGGGATTCAAGCTGGAGTATCAAGGTAAGGATGAGGAGGGCCCCGTGTGCTCCTCTGTCCACCCCCATCTCTCTCGCCCAGAACCACCCGTCTGCCCAGCCTCCCATGTAGGAGAAGAGAGAACACAGCAATGGCTGAGGGAATGCCGGACAGGCCTGCCCATGGAGGCTTCTTCTTGGTGGCATGCCTCTCGGACCCAGCTGACAAGCCTTATCCAAGGTGGCAGGGCCAACCACACCCTTAGAGAGCCAACCTCTGTCCAGGCCCAATAGCCAACCGCTTTCCCTGAGCCAGGGACCCATTGATTCCTCTCGATGAGTGCACAGCCAGCCACTTACCTTGGCCTTGATAGGCTTGCTTACTCCCTCAGGTCCTCCCATGTGTCAGGCCCCATTATGGTCGGCAGAGCTAGACATGACAGAGGGTTCTGGTAACAATCCCAGGAGGGGACACAGAGCCTTCGCAATGAGACAGGCCCACGCACGGCCCCTGAGGGTTGCCCACGTGAGGCCCCACCACCCCTTCGCACCGAGGTGAGGTCCTTTGACAGACCCCACCCAGCCCGCCTGGCCCGCTTCCCCTGTGTGAGGCACCATGACCCGTGGCCGGGCAGATCTTGCCCGACATGCACAGCCATGCACGGCGGCCCCGGACTGGCCCGCTCCTCTCTTGGATGCTTCCCTGAGCCACCGGCTCTAACCGGCTTTCCCCAGGCTCTTCCACTGATTTTTTCACATTTTTGGATGCTCTTTCCCCAAATTAATACACACTTATTTAAAAAAATTGAAACATGAGAAGTGTTTTTGTGAGGGCACCGTAGAAAGTCAAGCTCTTCCATACCCCCATTCCCAGCCCCACCTTGTGCAGAAAATCAACTTCCGACAGTTTGATGCCCCATTTTTTCTTTTCATACATTAATTATATTACTATACGTAACCAAAATTGGATCATACTATAAATACCGTGTTTGCAATTTGCTTTTTTAAAGTAATTTTTAATTACACAATTTATAGACACATTCATCTTGTTTAAAAAGAGAGAAAGAAATGAAATTAAACCATCACAGGTAAAGCCAAGACCTTGTTGTCTGCACCTGCAAGCACAGTTGAATCCCCAGCAGGAACTACTCTTGTTTTGGTATGACCATTGCAGATCTTTTCCCACCTGTTGACATACAGGTTATATGCACCTGTGAAGAAGTGTGTAATGTTTCATGAGGTTTTGGACTGTGTTTTCTACGTATTTCCTATGTAAATATAGACTATTCTGTGTACATAGGGTTCTCACACTTGGCTTTCTCATCCCTGTGGGGATGACTAAGGGCCTGGATTTGGGCTTGTCGTTTAAGGAAGAGAAGGCCCGGTGGGGTGTCCCACCAGGGCCAGGTGGGCACTGGGCCGGTCACCAGGCCCGCCTCCTCAGGGCACTGCGTCTGCCCCAGAGGGAGCTTCAGTGAGCACCGTTGGGCTGTCACCTCCGGGGAAGCCTGAGGAGGAGGAGCCGGGCCCCTCGCACCAGTGAGGGGGGTGTGGGGAGAAGCTGTGCTCTTACCCAAAGGTGACACCTCATATTCATCGGTGGGGAGGAAGCTGCCACACCCTGTGACGCTGTGTGGGCCTGTCACACAGTCCAGCCTTCGCCGCACCTGTGCCTGTGAGGCCACCCAGCCTCGGTGGGCGGGCGGTGGGGCGGTGGGGCGCCGTCTAATGGTCCTGATGCCTCAGGCAGCCGGCCGTGGCCTGTCGCGGGAGAGACTGAGGCCCAAACGTGTGGTCGCATTCCTCCCCGGGGCGGACACGCGCCTCTCTCGAGCTGCCCTGTGTATTGGTTTGCGAGGGCTGCTCTACCCAAGTGCCACAGAGTGAGGGGCTTAGACAGCAGAAGTTTATTCTCTCTCAGTTGGTGGGAGCAGGAAAGCGAGAGATCAGGGTTCCTTCGAGCGCAGTGAGGGGCACCTGTCCCGTGCCTCTCTCCTGGCCTCTGCTGGTTTGCAGGCGGGCTCTGACACTCCTTGGCTTGTAGAAGTATCACCCCCGTCTCTGGCTTCATCGCTGCTCGGTTTTCTCCCTGTTTGTCTGTCTGTCTGTCTGTCTGTCTGTCTCCAAAGTGCCCTTCTCATAAGGACACCAGTTGTTTTGGATTAGGACCCACCCTAATGACCTCATTGTAATTTAGGTGAAGATAAGTAAAGTCCCGTCTCTAAGTAAGGTCACATGCTGAGGTATGGGGGTTAGGACTTCAACATAGGGATTTGGGAGGTCAGGGTTCAACCACTACACCCTCTGAGAGTCCAGTGCTCTCCTGGAGGCGTCTCCTCTGGGATAAACGCAAGTGCTGATGAGGCCACCGCAGCGACAGGAACAGTTGCTCTGGGGCCACCCACACCCACCGTGCCTTCACCCCTGTGATGGCCATAGCCCTGCCCACTGAGTCCATGTGGCCCTGGTCAGGCTGCCACTCTGAGAAACTCAGACTGCAGTGACTCCCTCCCATCAGAGAGACCACCTGCGCCCACAGAGCCCTGGTCTCGGGCTGAGCCCCTCCCAGGCTCACCAAGCCCTCACCTGTGAGACACAGCCCCACCGAGGCTCCCCGGCACAAGGGCCCTGCACTGAGGTGGCCGGCACCTCAGGCCCCCACTCTGGGTTGGCGTTCCTCTCTGTGGCGTGCTCCTTGTGCCCACTCAGGCTCCACATGTTCAGAGGCCCAGTTCTCTGTGGATTTCTCCTGGGGAGGGGACAGTGGGGGAGGGAAGCACAGAAAAAGGCAGGGTCTATATATGCTTTCAGAGGCCCAGCACCTCCACCGGGGATCGACCCAACCGTGTGAGAGGCCCGGCAACAGCCCCGGGGGTGTCCACTCTGTGGCCCCCTTCCCCCACTCTCGCCTCACCTTCATGACTTGCCTAGGTGTTCTCAGGCTCAGCCGCCCCGTCACCACCCGCCCGTGTGCCACAGTCCTGATGACACTTGTGGAGCCACCCTCGGTGTCAAGGCAGCTGCTCCCTCTTAGACTTGACCTCGGCTTCCATGGAGGCTCCTCATTTGTGACGGCCCCAACCTCTCGGACTGGGTCGTCTCGGGGCCAGAGGCCCAGGTATTCCTGCTGAGGCCTCACAGCTTGTCACAGACCTGAGTAATTCTTCCTGCCCAGTAGGCCCACACTCTCCGCAGGCACTTTCCTTAGCCCGGGAGACCTGTGCTTTGTAAACCAGCCCCAACTGCTCACGCCAGGTGTTCTCTTTGTGAAAAGACCTGCCTCTTGAAAGAACCACCTGTCACCAGGGAGGCCGCTTCCACGAAGCAGGCCCAGCGCTCCGTGGTCCCTTGGCCTTCTTTGGGGGAAATCCAGCTCCCTACTTTTTCTCAAAATTCCTTCTTCTAGATGCTCTGAATTTCCCAGGCTGGAGTTTTCCTTTCCCTTCTTCAGGCAGATATCACCCCCCGCCCTCAAAATTCTTGGTAACAGCATAATCTCTTCCTACCCAAGTCTCCCAGTCTGATAGGCTTAACTTAATTCCATTAAAGCTTCTTGGGAGGCTGCGCTTACAAAGAACTTAGCACAATAGCAAGATATGTAATTATCCCAAAACGTTAGGCATCGTGGTAATTAATATTTTTAATCATGGCACTTTGTTTGAAGTTGTATCTGTTCCTGCCGTAGCATCTCCCTCTGGGACAAACCCAGCTACTCGCCCAGAGGGGCCCTCTGGAAAAGCTAATGACTCTGCTTCTCAGCGTTCGTTTCTGCCCCATAGGCCAGTCTCTCTCTTCGAAGCTTGTCCTGGTGGGAACGAGCTCTGAGATTTTTCTCAGCATGAGAGCAGTCCAGGTGCTCTCACTTGCGTGTCTCGCTTTTTGAAAAGCCCAGCTTCTTCCACGTGACCCGGTTCCTGTAAGAGAGCCCAGCCACCCTCCTTAAGGCTGCTCCTGGTCCTAGCGTGCGCCCCCTCTCCATCCCATCCGTCAGTCACGTCCCTGGGCCCCAGGCGCCCTGCTTCTACCGTAGACTTTCATCGGCCAAATCGCCCAGACCCCCTGCTGCTGACAGGGCCACAGCCCCTTTGCCCGACCATCCCACCCACTCCCACTATAGTTGCTCGATGTTTGGACATCAGTTACCTTGATGACTTTTTTAGTGAAACCGGCCCAGTTCTTCCCACTAAGACTTCTTGGTACACATTGAATGGAGATGCATCACATGGCCACCCTCACAGAGGGAAATTGCTTAGGAAACATCAGCTCCATGATCAGTATCATTTATATTGTGATTACGTGTGACAGATGCATCCACTTCCATGGAGCATTCATTAGGTTTCCTCTGCTTCCACTGAGAATTTCCACTATAGCAATGTTTCATCTACTCCCACTGCTGATTTCCTATGTAGGGTGGGTCCAATCACTGCCACAAAGGCTATTCCTTGTCCTGTGAATGTGATTAATTGAAGTCTGTGCCCTGTAGCACATGCCCAGCAAATGCCTCTGCAGCCCCTCCCTATTGGGCAGGCTTCAACTGCTTCCAGCAAGGTGTCTGGTCCTGAGTCAGGCCCGCCCATGCTCATACAAGCAGCTTTCTTGCTCTTTGGAGGTACTTCCTTGTATGCTAGTCACACATTCCTGTTAACCCAGCTATTCCCTCTGAAAAGTGTCTCCCACCAAGTTACTTCCTTCCTGATAAGTTTCTTAGAGTTGGAGAGATCCCACCCAAGTCCTCACCTGACTACTTCCTGTGTTTGTGATCTTGATCCTGGTTAAATGAGATGGGCAGCAAGAAAGAACTGAAGTCAACCCCTGGCCCCAAGGGCGTGCTCACAAATAATGGCTCAGTGTAGGTTCCCTTCCTTGAGCCCCCTTTTCCCATGGAAACAATAATACCATGTGCTAGTACTGTGCAAAGAGCTACACATATACTCACCAAGGTCTATCTAGAAGGTATCCAGCCATGTTACATGAAAATAGAGACATTAATTGAAGAAGATGCAAGACACAAGGAACATTGTACATAGGACAATGATGCTTTAGTGCCCTTCAAAGTAGTCACCTTGGGACCTCCCACGGCACAGTTCTCCCAATCACCATCAGCTGCCCCATTGTATTTTCCTGAATCTCATCAATGGTCTGAAATCTTTTCCCATTCAAAGGTGGCTTTAGTTTTGGGAAAAGCCAGAAGTCTCAGGGTGCCAAATCTAGGCTGTAGCAGGGCTGAGTCACCTGGGTGACTTGATGTTTTGCAAAAAAAACTCTGCATGAGACATGATGCATGAGCAGGTGCATTGTCATGATAAAGCTGCCAATCACCAGTTGCCCATAGCTGTGGCCTTCTGAGTCATCAAAATAGTTTCTGCAAAGGAATGTTTGAGCGTAGTGCAAAATTTGATGCAGATTTGTTGCTCTACTCGCTCAGTCGTTTTTAATATGATGGCCACACAGTACACATGCTCACTCAACAGCATCTACAGCCCCCACTGACTAGTACAGTAAAGTCATCATTGTTCACACATGCGCATTCTAGTCCACTCTCCGTGGCTGCCAAGTTACATCAACATTGCACAACCATTCTTGTATATCAATAATGGTTGGACTTTTTCTGGACAGACCTCATATAATCTTACTCAATCCTCACAATAACCATTTTTCTAAAGAAGAAAACTAAGGCACAGAGAAGTTAAATAATTTTCCCAAAGCCAATGAGTAAAAAAATGACAGTTTTTCCTGAATCCCAATTTTGGTGCTTCAGCACTACAATAACTCTGCCACTGCTATGTTCTGACTGGGGAGAACATGCTCAGAGAGAATAAAGTAACCTTCTCTCCTGATCTTTTCCAGCCTATGAACTTCAAGAGTGCCCAGACCCAGAACCCTTTGCCAATGGCATGGTGAGGGGAGCTGGCTACAACGTCGGGCAATCAGTGACCTTTGAGTGCCTCCCAGGATATCAGTTGATGGGCCAACCTGTCCTCACATGTCAACATGGCGCCAACCGGAACTGGGACCACCCTCTGCCCAGGTGTGAAGGTATGACCCTCCCTCATCCCTTGGGATTTTTCTTAAGGAGACTGATCCAGAGCAGCCCTTAGTCTACTTTACTGCTCCAAAGGATCACCCACACTGGGAGGTTCCGGCAAACCTTAACCATCCTGTTTTCCTATGGGTGGGACCCAGCCTACCCAGGGAGGGATCCTGGGGACAGAGCTCTGAACCAGCACTAGGGGGGACCTGGAGGAGATGTGGACCACATCCAAGGAAAAACATACTCAGCCACTGGGAATATCCAACCTGATGAGTAGATGTCCCCTGTCAGAAGGGAGGACACTGCATGAGGGTGTAGGAGCAGGTGGTGTGTTATGGGGTAGAGAGGTAGAGTTAATCATGGTATCTTCTCAAAGGGAGAAGAGAATAAAGCCTAGAAAGAAGAAATTTCTTGTCCCCCTCATTGCCTGTCCCCCTACTTATGCTCTTTTTCATATCTGTGCCTGAGAGGTCTGAATTGATAATATAAGGGACCTAGAGGTGACATGTGTCCAAGTCTTCATTAACCAGAACCAGAATGGGAGCAGACCTAGAGTTTGTGCTGATTCTACCGCCATCAGCTCACCTCCACTGACCTCACCACGTTTTTCCTTCATTTTTCACTCCTGGGGCTCAGCACTCTTCTGCAGGAAAAGCTGGGATTTGTCTTGAAAGGGGAAAGCTTGGTAGGAGGACAGCATGGTCCAGAGGAAAGTGCCCCAACTCCAGCGTCAGATCTCCCTGGGCTTCATCCCTGAACCACCCCACCTCTCTGAACTTCATTTTCTTCCCTAGTACAATGGGGCTTCTCATCTCAGCTGGGAGGGTTTCAGGATGAAGTGCACAGCACAGTCACTGGCTCACAGACAGTGAGCTTAAAGTATTAACTCTCTGAAGAAAAACAGACATTGTTTGCAGAACTGAGCTGTGTTGATGTTAGAATGTAAGGTTGTAATTTCAAAAACAGTTAATCCCCGGTTGGTTTTCAGATTTTCAAAACTATCCCTATGCAAAACCAGTTCATCAGTCTGGAGTTGTTGGTTGATCATGTGCTGCGTGACACGCTTCATTGTGGATTCTCTTCCTTTTATTCCTTTTTACACCTCGTTCATCTTTTTTATGGCATCACAAGAGAGAGAAAAGAACAGTGCTCAGTCAGACATCTTGAACCAGAAGCCCTCCTTCCTCCCGAAAAAGTTCTTCCCTTGACTTCTTTGATGCCACGTTCTCTTACTTTTGCAGTTACTTTTCTGTCTGTGCCAACTCTTTAGTCATCTTTTTCTTCACGTATCCTGAGGCATCTAAATCCCAACATATTCACAATCGAACTCATCACCTTTCTGCCATCAACCTGAAATTCTCATCTAGTGAAGGTCACCTGCTTACTCAGCTGTTGATATGGGCACCTTCCCTCTCACCTGTGTACCATATTCACCAGGTCTTCCTAATTCTACCTCCTACCTCTTTCCTGTGCATCCACTCCTCTGTCCACTGCCTCTACCTTAGTCCAGGCCACCACTTAACGAGGCTCTTCACTGGTCTCTCAGCCTCCAGTTTTGCACTCCTCAATCCATTTTTCACAGTGTAGCTAGAGCAAGTTTTCAAAACCATCAATACATTCCTGACATGCCCCTACTCAGAAGCCATCAAAGCACCCCCATCTCCTCAGGGGGAAATTCCATACCCCTTAATGCAATACACCATGTCCCCTGGGGCCTGCTCTCTGCTTACCTTCTAGTGTTCTCCACTCTCACAGACTTCACGCTCCAACTAAGCTGAAAATTTTTCAATTTTCCCGTGTTCTCTGACCTCTGAGTACATGGTGTTCCTTCCTCAGAGAACATTGCTCTCCTCTCTTGCTTTGCCTGCTTAGCTCTTTGCCATCCCTCAGGTCTGAGTCTAAATGTGAATTCTACCAAGAACCCTTACCTGCACTCACAAGACCAGATGAGGGGCTCCCCTAAATGTCGCTGTGGCATTCCATCCAATGGCGTGCTCCCCGATGCTGTAGATGCCGGTGTTCGTGACTATAGCCCAGTGGACTGTGAGTGCCATGGGACAGGACCACGTGCTCTGCCACACCCTTGCTCCCTTTTGTTTCCCCAGGCCGTGCCTGGACCAAGTGTGTATTCAGTGCATGTAGGAGGAATGGTGTGTCCACACCCCACTTTCAGGATGCATTTGCGTTCTCAGGGCCTTATCCCCTGCTTGGAAGCATTAGGATAGGGTCTATCCACATGTCTGCTTGACATCCCATGCCAGCCAGCTATGCTGGACTCATGATGCTGAGCCAGGTTTTCTTTGCCCAGAATCACTTTTTCATTCTCCTCCTTGGTCCCCAAATCTGATCTCAGCAGAGACCTCAGGGACTCTTCATACCAAAGCCTAGGTCAGAGTGAGTCTAAAACTGGGTGTCACATTTGGGAGATGGGAGGATAGGGAGAGAGATTCATATACATGCAGCAAATGCCTTCTCTGTTATCTAGGGCCTGGGTTGAACATTTTACATTTATCAGTTCACATAATCACCATACAGTCCTATGAGGGGTTCTATTTTTAGTCCCATGTTACAGGTGGAGAAAAAAACTAAACTTCTTGTCTAAGTTCATCTAGTCAATAAATGGTCTAGCCATCATTGGAACCCAACCTTAGCCTCACCACAAGAATCCTCAACTCTTAAGTCAAGACCATAACTACCATTCTAAGAGTCTTATAACAAATAAAAAGGGAAAATTCCACTTTCATAAATTTTTTAGTTCTTCTCAGCAAAAGTACTGCAGCCCTAACATCTACCTTCCATTTCTAGGGAAGGAGAGGGGAGAGCTTTATTTGGTGGGTCCCTTTCTCCTGGACAGGTGTCATCCATGAGAAGGAGAAAGAGAAAGAGGGAGGCGGGAGGCTGAAGCAGGCCCACCAAGGCACCTGCACTGAAGATCGGGGCCAGGTGGGCAGGGTTGTGCTGGGACTGGTGGGGGAAGTCAGGCCAGACCATCTGCAGCCCCATCACCTCTCTCTGTCCCACCCAATCTACTTGAACAGAATGACTTGTGCTGGGAGCTGAGACTTCATTAGGAAATCATTTGAATTCTCAGCTGGGAGGTGACCTCCTGCACTCACCTGTGTTCATGTTCCCTCTCTGCAGTCCCCTGTGGTGGGAACATCACCTCTCCCAATGGCACTGTGTATTCCCCTGGCTTCCCCAGTCCATACTCCAGCTCCCAGGATTGTGTCTGGCTGATCACCGTACCCATTGGCCATGGCATCCACCTCAACCTCAGCATGCTGCAGACAGAGCCTTCTGGAGACTACATCACCGTCTGGTAGGGCCATTTGCCATGGTGGCAGCCAGTAAGGAAAGAGCATTGGATGGGCACTAAACTGGATTACCCATCTGTTAATTCAGCACAGCAAATGAGGGGTCTACTTCCCTTAGCCCTTAATGGCTCTTTGAAGGGAGAGTAATGGGAGGGTAGTGGTTCCCAATCTGGAGTCCTGCTGGGGGCCCTGAAAGTACCAATGAGTGGGTGAATGGGAGTGGGCGTAGATAGTCAGAGTTTCTCAGTATTTCCAGAGTCTCAACAAAAATTCTCCATTTACCTGTAATAATTTACCTGGACTAATGAAAGAGCTTCGGGGTGGAGTTTTGAGAAGCCTCATGCTGAGCCAGCACTATCCAGCAGAACTTTCTACGGTGAGGCACATGCCCTACGACTGTGCCATCTGGCGTGGCAGCCACTAGCTATCAGTGGCCACTGAGGACTTTAGTGTGACTGGAGTGTCAGAGGAGCTGATTTTTCAACTTCATTTAATTTTAATTAATTTAAATGTAAATAGCCATGCATTGCCTAGTGGTTACCAAATTAAATGGCTCTGCTTTGAGTTGTATAGTTAGATTCTCTCAAGTTAATTTTAAAATAGGAATGTGAATTATTAGTTGGTAGGTGCAGTTTCCTAGACAGGTTTTTCCAAACCTCTTGATCTTTGGACAAAGATATGATTATAAAATTCCTTTGTGTTTGAAGGCTACTGTCATTCTGGGAATCAATAGGGGACAGTGGGATTCTCTTCCCCAAATTCCCAGGGAGAGGGAGCTGCAACCAGACTGCCCTGGATTAATTCCCAGCTTAATTTCCAGGCAATGGCTAAGAACAAATGGAAGGGACTAGATAAGTTTCCAGGGAAAAAATTTTTTGCCCAGGAAGGTGACATGGTTCTGTCTCTGCCTGGGAGACAAGGAATGGGGGCTGGCATAGACAGCAGCATGAGCTTCCTGCACCTCTCTGCCACCCCATTCCAGTGCTGCCTGGCACTCAGAGAACCTGCTCTGTGGCTCCTGCTTCTCAGGTGGGAGTGTTGTCCCAGGAGCCCATCACGGAGGCTGGGCTGGTAAAGAATCAGGTGAATGAGGAATCAGTGTGCACTTCACCAACTCTGTCAGCTTTCTTGGGAGACCACATTGGGGGAGCTTGAAGAGAGGTATTTAGAACATTGGGGAAACACAATGTTGGATGCAAGAAAAGTCACAGGCACCCACCCCTGGCCTCTCTTAAGGCCACTAATGGCACCAGGTAGCGTAGGCAGCCATAGGGACTTGTGACATGCCAGGACCTTCTTTCCTACTGCAGGGATGGGCCCCAGCAGACAGCTTCAAAGCTTGGAGTTTTCACCAGGAGCTTGGCCAAGAAAACATTGCACAGCTCAACCAACCAGGTTCTGCTCAAGTTCCACCGAGATGCAGCCATGGGTGGGATCTTCGCCATAGCCTTCTCTGGTCAGTATGGAAGCCTGGCCTGCTGGCAAGGGCCAGGCTCTCAAGGCAAGGCTGGCCTTGAGCCTGGCTTCACCATTCCTGCTTGTGTGACTCTGAATGACTTACATATCTTCTTAGCCTCAGTGTCTTCAAAGTTATGAAAATTAAATGTGCTAGCCTATGTGGACTCTCCTAGTGCAGGGCTCTGTAAATGTAAGTTTCCCTCCTCCTCCACTCTACTAGCGCAGAGAGGCACATGACATTGACAGTTGGTGCCAAGTTCAAGATTAGAGCGGCAGAGTGAGGCTTCTCATCCCACTTGTTCACATCAACTCATTGGCTGGTTAACGACCTACCTGTGCCACAGCTGGTCCCTCAGCACCTTCTAGGGGGTTGTCCTACTCCAAAGCAGCCCAGGGCCTCTGTTGACTTCACAGGACATTCTGTGCATAAATGAAGTCACGGAGAGTTCAAGCAGGAGGAGAGTGAATGATTCAGGATGGGTTTGTTCTTACTGACAGCCAGTTTTCTTCCAAGATTTCAAAGTTATGGATCTGAATATTTCCTCATTTTTGTCGTAGTGGACACAGCACAGAGAAACCTACAGAAAGTTCTTGGTGGCCTTGGGCCCCTCTGTAGAATAATCCTCTGTGTTTATAATTTTCAGAGCGTCACGTATATCTGAACTGGAAATCAGGAAAGCTTGACTTTATACCTCAAGCCAGGAGTGCGATCTCATGCAGGTCTCTCTCCAACTCGACAGCTTGGATTCTTCACCTGTATAATGAGGGGCTTGGGGTTTGTGGTTTGTAAGAATTCTGTGGGGTAGTGAGGCAGATAAGATATTGTTACCCTCTTTTTACAAATGAAGACATGAAGGCCAGGGAAGGCTGGAACACGTGCCCCAAACCACACAGTGGAAACAGTTCTGTCCCCAGGCCTTTGAGTTCTGCACGGTGTGCTGTGCTAGGACTGTACGGTGTCACCATGTCACATGTGCATGTAGAGAGACTCGACTACATTTACCCCTAGGCCCTCGGGAGAGGTGGGGGTGGAGAAGCAGAAAGAGACCTAGGGAAACAACCATGTGGAGGGCCCAGGCCACCACGGCCACAGCAGGGCTCTAACCGCCATTCCCAGGGAGCTACAGCCCAAGGTGAGTGTGCTGCAGTTTCTGAAAACCATTTTCCACAAAAATGAACCAGCGCTCCTTGGAGAAATGGCTGATTTCAGGACTAAAGCAGAGAAAGTACAAGATGAGCCTGGAACATTCTATGGCAGAAAGCAAGGAAGTGCTCAAAAACGAGGGAGACATGCCAGAAGGATTGGAGCCAGCCAGAAGGGGCTCCCACTGACTGTGAAGGGGATAATTAGAGCATCAAAGTAATTAATGTCGGTAACAAGCAAGTAACCTGCCGAATCAACCAGGACACCATGTATATCCATATCCGTACAAGCGTTACCTAATTAGTTACTTAATTAAAAATTTATGAAGAACAGGCTATTTTGCCTCAAACCACCTCCTCACACAATAACTACAAAGGGATAAAAAGACTAGCTCTGCAGGGGGGAGGCCTGGAGGATGCCACCTCCGTCAGGTCACTCACGTGAGGATCGTCAGTAAGAGGACAACCTGAAATCATCCGCAGTGAGAAGAGCCCGGCACCGCGCCGGTGGCCGTCCTGTCGAAGATGCACACCCCGGATCTAATCGTGAGGAGTCAGACAAACCTAAATTGAGGGAAGGACTGAGACACGTGGGAAAGTGTCCTGGTTCCTGCTGGTCCTTCAGTCCCTCGTCCTCTTCCCTTAAATGACATCTGGCTACACTTCCTCCCCAGCTTCTCAGCCCTGTGAGCCTTTTTTTGCTTGTTCTACCCCAAATTGATGTGTGTTACTTTCAGCCGAGGTTCCTAATTAACAACGGTCTAGGACCCACCAATCCTACTTCTGGGAATTGTGTGTAAAGATAATCCTTGAAATGTTATTTATAACAGGTAAATTAGAATCAATCCAAATGTAAGATAACAGGAGACTGGGTGAGCAAATGATGAGACACCAAAAAAAGAGGGAAAATATAGTCATTTAAAGTCATTCATGTAGAATATAATTTATTGCTTAAGAGAAATGTTTATATTCCATGAAAAAAATCAAATGATGTTGAGGGGCTCAGATAATGGCATAACCGAAGGATGTGATGATTATGGACTCCTAACCCCACCTGCAGCCACCCCTTTGAGAGAGACAGAGAGACAGACAGAGAGAGAGATGCAGGAACAATGGCAAAGGAAGCCATTTTACTACTACCTGAACTTGAACTGCCAAGCCAAATACAGAGCCTTGAGTCATCTGATGAAGTCAACCAGTGAACCACATTCTCTCCCTAAGCTAATTTGGCTTTAAAAGCTGCAGATGAAAGGCCAGTTCCACTCAGCCATCCGCATGAGAAAGAGCGGACCTAGAAAGAGTCAGGAAGAAGAATACGAAGTGCGGTGACCTGTGAGGGCTCCTGTTGAGCTGACTGCGCTTGGTGCGCAGCAGTGAGCCTCCCCGTCAGTTAGGATGTGAACCTGGACCGGTCTTGACTGGGCTGCATCAGCGCCTCCCCCTGAGCAGGAGTAGGGGTAGGGCCAAAATGAAACGGAGGAGCCTTGACCACCCCCTTGCCCTTGAGTTCTGTAGCAGTAACGTGGCCAACACACTGTGTGTCTGGGGGGAGGGGTTGTCTGTAAGAGATCCACAGTCATTCGCCAAAATGCTAACAAAGGTTGTGCCTGGGTGGTGGGATTCAGGGGACTTTTGTTTTATTTCTTTTCAGTATTTCATCAGCTCTCCATTGAGCAAAATGTATACTTTTTAAAAAAGGTAATTTTTAAAATGTATACTTTTTAAAAAAGGTAATTTTTAAAATGTAATAGGAGATCACCCCTATCAAACTAGTCACAACAAAATATAAAATACCCAGGCTGTGTTTAGATTTCTTTTTAGTGATTTTTTTTCTCTAGAAAAGTTAAGTGTCTTAGAAAGTTTTATTTTTTATCATTTTTTATTAATGTTTGAATACAATTGCCTCCATTTTCCCACCACCACTTTCCCCCGTCCCACACATCCCCACCCCCCACCCTCAATCCTACCTCCTTTGGCTTTGCCCATGGGTCCTTTATACATGTTCCTTGATGACCCTTCCCCTTCTTTCCCCTGTTATCCCCCTCCCCTCTGGTTACTGTCAGTTTGTTCTTTCAATGTCTCTGGTTATATTTTGCTTGCTTGTTTGTTTTGCTGATTAGATTCCACTTATAGGTGAGATCATATGGTACTTGTCCCTCACCACCTGGCTTATTTCACTTAGCATAATGCTCTCCAGTTCCATCCATGCTGTCAAGAAAGGTAGGAGCTCCTTCTTTCTTTCTGCTGTGTACTACTCCATATGTAAATGTTCCACAGTTTTTTTATCTACTCATTTACTGATGGGCACTTAGTCTGCTTCCAGCATTCGGCTATTGTAAATTGTGCTGCTCTGAACATAGGGGTGCATAGGTTCTTTTGGATTGGTGTTTCAGGATTCTTAGGGTATAATCCTAATAGTGGAACTGCCAAGTCAAAAGGTAGTTCCACTTTTAGTTTTTTTAGGAAATTCCATACTATTTTCCACAGTGGCTGCACCAGTCTGCATTCCCAGCAACAGTGCACTAGGGTCCCCTTTTCTCCACAATCTCACCAGCACTTATTGTTTGTTGATTTGGTTATGATGGCCATTCTGTGTGTCTTAGAAAGTTTTAGATGGTATGTTTCTTTTCACTGTTATGACCCTTTATTTTTCAACTTAAGTTTTTTAATTTTTATTCTTTTCTATGGAACTCTGCTTCTAGGACAATTTTTTGTTTGTTTATTTTTAATCATTTGTTATTTTTAAATTAAAGTTGACATACAATTTTATATTAGTTACAAGTGCTCACCCCAATGATTAGACATTACATAACTTACTAAGTGACCATCCCAATATCATTCATGCCCCTCTGACACCATACATAGTTATCACAATATCATTGACTACATTCCCTATGCTGTCCTTTACATCCCCATTACTATTCTGTAACTACCAGTTTGTACTTCTTCATGCCCTCACCTCCTTCACCCACCCTCCCAACCCCCCTCCCTTCTGGCAACCATTGAAATGTTCTCTATCTATGAGTCTGTTTCTATTCTGCTTGTTTGTTTATTTTGTTTTTTTTAGATTCAATTGTTGATAGATATGTATTTATTGCCATTTTATTTTTTATTTTTATCTTTTATTTCCTTTTCTCAAAGAAAACCCTTTCACATTTCAGGTAATTCTGGTTTGGTGGTGTTAAAGTCCTTTAAATGTTCTTGTCTGGGAAGCTCTTCACATGTCCTTGGATTGTAAATGATAACTTTGCTGGTTGGAGTAATCTTAGTTGCAGATCCTTGCTTTTCATAGCTTTGAATATTTCTTGCCACTCCCTCCTAGCCTGCAAACTTTCTATTGAGAAATTAGCCAACAGTCTTATGGGGACTCCCATGTAGGTAACTAACTGCTTTTCTCTTGCTGCTTTTAAGATTCTGTCTTTGTCTTTAATCTTGTTTGAAAGGTAAGCATGAGGCTGAGAATGAAAGGCATCAATTTTTTTAAAACTCTGTAAAAAAAACAATGAGAACTGGCTAAATAAACAATATTTCTACAAATCAAAAGAGCACCATAAATAAATATAAGCAAACAATAAATTGGGAAAATACATTCCACAGAAAAGGTCAATCTTAAAAATGCATAGAGTTATTCAAACTTAAAAAAAATAGGGGCAAAGGACACGAAGAGAGAGTTGAAAAGAAAAGAAATGCTGTTCTCTTTTTTTTGTTTATCAAGTTAACAAATATTAAGATTGATGACTATTTTCCCAAAGGGCCCCAAATTCCTCGAGGGCAAGCCCTGAGTCTGTTCACTCTTGCATTCCCAACAGCTAACACCGCGTCTGACCCAGGGTGGGCCCTCAAGGGCGGACCATGAAATGAGTAGGGGGAAGAAGAATGAGTGCGCCCAGCGTTGGAAAAACTGATGCTCTGTGGACAGTGTCTGTTGGAGCAATTTTCCTGCAGAGAAAATGGTAGCGTGCGTCCAGTGCAGCCACTGTGCTCCCTGGTTTGCGTTAAATCCAGGTTAAACCTGCTTGGTTACCCCAAGAGCGCCTCTTGGTCTCAGTATCCACACTTCGTAAAGCTTCTGTATCACTCAATACTACATTTTTCAACTGACACGTCTATAAAAAAATTAAAATTAAATCCCAAGAACATAATATGAGTTTTAAAAAAAAAACTATAGTTCAAGAAAAGTCTTAAGTTACATTCTACCTACTTTTGGTAAAATGTCACAGTCCTGTGTGAGCATTTGGAATGCGTATTCCCATGCCGCTGGCTCTGGAGTCGGCACGACGTGATGTTCACTGTGAGCTGTGCCCCACCACCTGGCGCTGTCCTGAATCTGCTCCCACCGAGTCTTTTGTATTTACCCTTGTTTCTGCCCGAGGTTTTACAAAGTCTCAGGTGAGAACCTCCGCATGATGCACTGAATGTTTGTGGGGGATTTGCAAAAGGTACATGCTGCAATGCGCAGAAGCGCTGTTCTGTTACCACTGTGTTCATCGTTGAGTGATCATGAAGTGATGTTTTAAGAATTTAGCTTCTAGAATAATGGTTTGTTGCATATATATATGTTTAGTTTTAAGTACTTTTTAGATTTTGGGTTATGCATTATAATTATTTCCTATTACAGTAATGGGAAATAGACTCCTAATTAGCATCTTTGCACAGAACATCTGATTTCCAGGCATGGATTACTGACATTCAACAGGAGATGCCTGTACTTCAAAAAGGTCATGCAATTTAATCATTCCTAGGTTAAAAAACAAAAAGGAAAATCCACAAAAGGTGCATCTATGGAAGGATGTTCATCACTGCTTTATTTTAAATGGCAAAACTTTGAAAACCTAAATGGTTAACAATAGAGTATCTCTCAAATAAATTCCAGTAGGTTATATAATTAAATACCGTGAAATCATTTTAATCATACTTTTGAAGAAGTGTAATTACATGGGGACATTCTTGTAATGTAGTAAGTACACAAAGATCAACACCCAATACATATCATGATGCAAATTTTGTAAGTGAAAAATACTTACATATGCAGAGAACAAATACCCCAAGAACTTACAGTAAAGGGTTAGCCGTGGTTATCTCTGAGAGGGCAGTGGATGAGTTTAATTTTCCTCCTATTTTCATAGAAAATCTCGTATCTTCTTTAATGACAATGTATTACATTTGTAATTCTTTTTTTAAAAGTGCTATTTTAAGGAAACCATGGGTTGAGGTGACTTTGGAAGTAGCAGCAGCAGCAGCGGTGGCAATAGCTAATATTTATATAGCACTTAACCACATGGCAAGTAGTGAATGAGAAACAAGTTGTGAGCCCACGCCAAACTTTGCCTTAGTGACACCATCCACACACAGTCTAGTCTCTGTCCAGAGGGGTGGGTTCCAGTTTAGAAAATCCACTGCAGCCAGAGGTGTTTGGGCAAAGGCCAGATGGTAAACAAGCTGAGGTCAGCAGGCACTCACCTAAGGCACACCCACACTGTGTATAGTGGAAAGAATAGAAGACTTGGGAGCAGCCAGACCTGGGTTCAAATCCTGCCTGTGCCACTGACTTCCTGTGTGACCTTGGAGGAGTAACTGAACACCTTGCAGGGGGGATCAGCTATGGTGAGAATCAAAGGTGATAGCGCCTGGCACATAGCTGTTGCTCAGCACATGCTTCTCTCCCCTTCCCTTCCCTGCTAGGGACTGTCTCCTTTGTTGTTAGTCTTAACAGCAGATAAGGAAAACTGTGCTTGGTTAAACTGGCCCTGTATAGAGATGCGCATTAATATCTGCCGTGTAAGTGAAGGAGGAGCGAGAAAGGGAAGCCCTGAATGACTGAGTGCCCCAAGGGTGATGTCCTCACACTGACTTGTCTGCTGTTGTCTTTTCAGCTTATCCACTCACCAAGTGCCCTCCTCCCACCATCCTCCCCAATGCGGAAGTCGTCACAGAGAATGAAGAATTCAACATAGGTACCACACCTCCCAAACCGTCAACGAGGGGCCAGGTGGAGGTGGGGGCCAGCCAGCAGGTCATCTTTCCCTCCTGTCTGTGGAGAGAAACAGTAGGCCCGGTGCAAGAGGGCTGTTATTCCATCAACTGAGTTTGCACCACATATACCCACTCTTCCTTTTAGCCACACCTGAGAAGAGGAGCTAGGAAAGCTAGTTTGTTTGTTTGTTTTTTTATTTTTCTGTGATTTAAGTCAGTATGTTTTTGAGAAAAAAAAATCCCTGTAAAATACTGTAAAAAGTTCCTGGAATGTTAAAACATTCTCAGGCTCAGCAAGGCTGAGCTGCAAGAGGGGAGGAGTGGTTGTTGGGATCATTTGATTGGAGCGGAGCTAGTTACTTAAGCCTGAACAGAACACGACCCTCCAGTGATCACCTTGCCTGGAAGTGGGTTCAAGGTACTAAGGGGTGCTGATAGGACCAGACCTCTCCAGGACACCCACGTGTTACTCTCTCTTTGACAGGTGACATCGTGCGCTACAGGTGCCTCCCTGGCTTTACCTTGGTGGGGAGCGAAATCCTGACCTGCAAACTCGGAACTTACCTGCAGTTTGAAGGCCCACCCCCAATATGTGAAGGTAATTACATTGAGCCATGCCTTTCTGGGTCTGGAGTTCCTCCGAACCCCAGCCCTCTCTATCCCTGTCCCCACCCGGGGAGGGGGAAGAAGAGGTCACACGGTGAATGTTTGTTTGCATTAGCGAGTGAGTAGACCAGGTACTCACTAGTTCTAGTTACGGTCTCTGCCCTGCTCCTAGGTCCAAGGCAAGGAATTGGCCATAGTGGCCACATCTATTTCTGTCTTCTTTTTGTTTGACTGGCATTCCCTGGAAATGGCATGATGATCATTGGAAGGAGGAAGTTCCAGGACCTTGGACCTTGGACCAAGGCTGTGCTCGCACACCAGCCCTGTCCTGCTGGAGTGCCGATGTGCTCAGGGTCCTGTGCGCTGAACTAGGCAACTGAGAGACCATAGTTGTCTTCACTGCAGAGTGATGCCCTGACAGAGGACAAGTCCGCTTCACTGATTTACCCCAGCTAAAGCCAAGAATAAAACTCCAAACTCACTTGCACATAGTAACTACTCAGTGTTGGCTATTATTATAATTACTAGTACTACTGTTTTTAGTATTGCTGCTACCAACAAATATTTAGTAGCTTACGGAGAAAAAAAGTCAGCTTCTCCCCTACCTCTCAGAAAGTAAGGGAAAGGATAAACTGTACTGTGGATTATTTGTGAGGAAGAGAGGAACCGTATACCCCAGAATTAGGCTGCCCTAATACTAAATTGAGAAATTCAGTAGCTCTTTATTTTAGTGGAGCTGACCCACCCACCACCAAAACAACCAGCCCCCAATAAAAGTGAACTTTAGCCTTCATCCTGTTCCAGAACCTCCTTGATTTGCTCTGCCTGGCCAAGCCTGAGTCTCAGCAATTTGGTGACATTGACACAGCATCTCAGGTCACTCCATGCCAGTGGAATGACAGGTGTTGGGGTCTTGTTTGTGCTCAAATACTGGCTCTCCAGTGGTTGTCTTTTGCACCAGGGAAAAGTATGTGTTGGTCTAGTTCCTTCTCTGTCTGATGTACCTGGTATTTCTCTTTCTTTCTCCAAGTGCACTGCCCCACGAATGAGCTTCTGACAGACTCCACAGGTGTGATCCTGAGTCAGAGCTACCCTGGCAGCTACCCCCAGTTCCAGACCTGCTCTTGGCTGGTGAGAGCGGAGCCCGGCTATAACATCTCCATCACGGTGGAGTACTTTCTCAGCGAGAAGCAGTATGATGAGTTTGAGATCTTTGATGGTAAGTCACACGCTGTATCGCGCCCTGCTGCAGATGACACAGACTTGCTTTGGGACCCTAGAAACCTATGCTGCAACCTATGCTCCCAGTTAGAGCTTTCCAGAGGCTCCGCAGAATGTCTTCTCTCCCATAGAAACCCCAACACATGGGAGCTGACGGGTGCACGGCCCAAGCAGCAGGGCTGCTTAGACTGCAGCCTGGACCTGCTAATCCAGAACCCTCTCTTAATCTTGCCCCCACTCAAAGCTAGCGCCTTGAGTGTCAGGCAATAAGTGGGTCACAGCGATGCCACCAAGGGAAGAATATGCTACCAGCAAACCCCCCGAGAAATTTACCAAATATTGTGCTTCTTTCTTGATGGTGGAAGGAAAAACGATGCAATAACTTTCTCTTTACTGTGGAGGAAATATCTCAACATGTCCTGGACCCCTAAACCCTAAAAATTTTACCTGAAACTTTGTAGGATTTAGCTCTCACCCTCTATGGCATATGTGTCTCACAAATGCATCTGCACTAATTGTCCCTTCTGGCTCATCAGATCCGATTAGTACTATGTCATCAGTATAGAGAACCAGTATGTTCTGTTCTACAGGACATGCAGATGGCCACATCTCCTTGTGCTGCATTATGTCAGAGAGCAGGAGAATTAGGTAACTCTGAGGCGAGACCATGAATGCATAGTCTTGTCTACAGGACACGGATGCAAATGGCCTATGATCCTTCTTTCTGATGGAGGTGGAAAAGAGTGCATTGCTAGATCAGTAACTACATTCCGAGTAACCAAGGCTATATTAATCTGCTCTGATGAAGATAGCACATCCGGCACACCTGCTGCGATCGATGCTACTAATTGGTTAGGTTTGTGCTGTGAGACGCACCTGGGCCAGGACTCCATGTATCACCAGCCCCAACCCGCAGACCCCCTGCTCTACAGAGGAGCCCTGAGAATGCTCTGAGTCCCCGGGGATCGGCATCAGTTCAAACTCTGTGCAGAAGTCTTCAGAATATCTTGGCATTCCCTTTTCCCCAGTATTCAGTTACCTAGATACATAGTGGTAGGTTTTCTGGGGGGAAGAACTGAGGGAATCACTACTATACACAAATGGTGTTGTTTCATAGGGTCCTTTTTCACAGGCACGCAGCCTCTCCTTCTGCCAGCATGTTCTGGAGTAAGAACTAAAACCTGGCCCAAGTCTCCCAATTAGGAAACAGTAACTTCCCACTGAGATTAGCTTTCCTCACCCTTGGACTGTATATCCATGACCTGTTTCGTTCCTGTATTCACTTATTTCGGTCCATCTGCCCTGAAGGCTATCGTGTTCTGTGAGCCATCCCCATAGACCCCGCAGCTCAGGCCCTCCCGCTGCCATGCCAGCCCCTGCCGTCCCTTTTGGGAATGATGCCAGCCTTGCTTTGGACTGTTAAGTGCCTCCAGCTGGCCTCTGTGTTCTAGAATCTCCTCGTCCTCATCAATACGAGGAAGCTGGGTTCTGTGACAGTATCTCCTCCTGTCAATGTGGCCTTAAAAGGACAGCCATTACTCGGGGTGTCCACAAGGCTGGTGCTCACACTCGCCAGTGCAATGCACTCCGTGTGGCATTAGGACCTGGAGTGTCCCCCAGGTCCTCCTGGGGAACACGGTCAGCTAGGGGGTGTTCTGGTCCCACACAGTGGGCCTCTCCTGGCATGCCGCTTCTCGGAGCCTTTGCCCTCCTCTCTCACGGTTTGTCCCAGCAGTTCTAATGGCCCTGCTTTGTTTAATGGGGTCTGTTATTTTCACCGGGCTTCCAACAGCTGACTCAGCAGCATATTAGAACCACCACTCAGGGCTCTTTCAGGGTCCCAAGTCCTGTGCTGTGGATTATCCGACTTTATATTCTGCCTCCCTGAACCAGCCGCCTCAGAATACACTCCCAGGCATTTACGGTGGGAAAGGAGCAGAGGGAGGCCTTTCTGGAAAAGTCCTGGAAAGGAAGATGAGGAGCTGTGTTATTTATGACATTGAGTCTTGATGTTTTTCTCTAGCTTTATTGTTATCTACTCATCCGTAAGTATATTTCCTATATGGCAGGCACTGAGCTATTTTTATTGCTTGGCCAAAAAATTTCATTCTTTTTTTTTCCATAAACTGGCTCTACTAACGCTTAGTTGTCTTTAACTTCATTCAAAAGTTTTTGTTAGGTTGCATTGTGACAGCTGTCATATCAGCGTGCATTTAAAAAAACTTTTTGAAATTGCTGAGTTTTTGTGTAGCCATTTTAATATTGAAGATGGAAGAAAATAAGCAACATTTTTGGCATATTATGCTTTGTTACTGCAAGATAGGTAAAAATACAACTTTAATGCAAAAAAAAAGATTTATGCAGTGTATGGAGAAGGTGCTGTGACTGATTGAACATGTCAAAAGTGGTTTGTGAAGTTTTGTGCTGGAGATTTCTCCCTGGACGATTCTCCATGGCTGGGTAGACCAGTTGAAGTTGACAGCAGCCAAACTGAGGTATTAACTGAGGGCAATCAATGCTATACCATGTGAGAGGTAGCCAAATAGCCAAATCAGTAAATATCCAAATACCAAAATATCCAAATCAATAGTTATTAGTGAAAATGGAAAATGTGTCTTTTATTTTATGGAAAAAAAACTGAACAATCTTTTTGGCCAACCCAATAGTGCACACAAGAGAGGTAGGGTGGCAAGATGGAAGTTCCCAGGTTGAAAACCAGCTTTTCCATTAACCCGCTGCTTGACCTCGGGCAAGTTCCGAGATGGCAAACAGATTACATCTCAGCTGCCAGCTGCCCTGGATTGGCGGTGGCCCCCTGGAGCACTGCTGCAGGGCTCAGGAGGAAAGAACACCTAGAGCAAGACCTGCGGGTGCAGAGAGGGGAATGGAAGGACAAATGAGCGTGCCAACTCCGACCAAGTTACCGACTATTCCTAGCCTTTGCGCCTTCACCTGAGTGGGGAGGAAACAGGAGGTGGTTACATTAAAGGGATCGTATTCAATATCTTTGATGGCTGGGGTGGTCTGTAACCTGTGTCCCGGGCTCTCATCCCAGGTCCCTCGGGACAGAGTCCTCTGCTGAAAGCTCTCAGTGGGAATTACTCGGCTCCCCTGGTTGTCACCAGCACCAGCAACTCTGTGTACCTGCGCTGGTCGTCGGACCATGCCTACAATCGGAAGGGATTTAAGATTCGGTATTCAGGTGAGTAAAACATAAGGACTTACGAGAAGGGCCAGAGGCTGAGAGCCCCTCAAGTTCCTCCCCTCCAACGCCCCTATAAGCCACAAGCTGTATCTTCATCAGCGGCAGAGCTCCTCCGTGGGGCTTGGCAGCCTTCTCCTCCCCTACGTCTCCCTGACCTATCACTGCGCATGTGTCTTTGACATGTTCCCACCTTCCCTGTTTCTGCTCCTTTACCCACTTTTAACCTCTTCCCTCTCTTCTGCTCATCCTGCCAGCCTGAGTCTTTGGATAAGCTTAGTATGCATATGTATATGCTCTGAGAATGCCTAAAGGTGAACCCATCTCTACCCCTGTTGAAATGTTAGTAAATTTTTTTGAACTGAAAAACCCTAAGCCCTGGCCAGTTTGGCTCAGTTGGTTGGAGCATTGTCCCCTAACCAAAAACTTGTGGGTTTGATTCCCCATCAGGGTGCTATATACCTAGGTCGTGGGTTTGGTTCCCAGTCCAGACACATGGGATCCCAGGTCCGGCTACATATGGGAAGCAACCAATCAGTGCTTCTCTCTCGCATCAATGTTTCTCTCTCTCTCCCCCTTCCTTTCTTGCTAAAAAGCAACAAAAAAAAATGTCCTCAGGTGAGGATAAAATATTTTTTTAACAGGAAAACCCTAAGATGTGGGTCTCCAACTAGCAAATGTTAGGCAGCCCATAGATGGGCTGCATTTTAAGTCCAGGAGCTTAAGTCCTGCTCTGCCAGCCTTATCTTCTGGGTGGAATCAGGGCAAAGGCCAAGCAGCCCGGTGGCCGACCTGGGCAACAGTCTGCAAGGAGCACAGAAACATCCCTGGAAATGTAAAGAGATGGGGGAAAGCGAATCTGTCTGAACTCCATCATGGGGATCACTGTGTGTAGCTGGAAAGAAAACTTGATGAGCTGTCGGACCCCATTCTGCAGGCGAGTGGGCCCAGTGAGCTGCGGCTGGGAGCTCATGAACTTGGAGGCAGAGATGAATGACTTAAGACCAGGGGTGTTCCACCAGGTCCCCTCAGCACACTTCCCTGCCTGCATTAGCCTGCACTCCAAATAAATGTTGGACAATTTTTTTAAGAATATTGGTTAGAAAGGTTGCCAAAGTATAGCCTGCTTGAGTTACCACTTGTCTTCATCCGTTTCTTCTCACTGGCCACCTACTTGGAAGACCAGCCTGGACTAAGTGGGCTCTTGGAAGTCTTAAGGAACTCCAGGACATGGCTTCAGGGATGAGCAGGCCAGATGAAACTGAGGGGCTCATGGGAGCCTGGGAGGGGAAGGGTCTTGACTATCTGAGTCCATTTCCTCTGCAAAGTTGACCCTAAACTCCTTCCCCCCCATGTATGCGAGAGGTAGGGGGGCTCCCTAACCCCCAGGCTCGGTGATCAGCGCTGCCACTACCTAGCCAAATGATTATCAGACAAGTCACTTTACCTCTCCAGGCCTGAGTTTCCTCATGATGAAAACTAAACCTTAAGGTACCTCTCAGGGAGATTCAGACTGAGTTCCTAGGAGCTACTCACACAAAAAGGGAAACACAGACATGCAGCAGCGTTGCACTCTGCTGTTGCTAAACTAGGAACTAAAAGCCATTAAGGAGTTGCCCTTTCCATGATGTCTTCAAAGACTAACCACATGTTTGGGGGTAATGAGTCAGTTGTAATTACAATACATAGGCCAAGTAGAAAATGAATTAATCACACAGTGAAGCAGTTAGCACTTATTAAAATACAATAGACCCATGTAATTTGCAAGTGCCTCTATCACTGTGATTAAGTCTGTTTTATAACTGAGCGTCTTGTTCTTGACTGAAGTAGACATGTAAATACAATATACACAGGACGCAGGTGGCAGAGCGGGAGCGAGGAAACACATCTGGCTCGGAAGGGGGGTATTTAAAACACATCTCACCAGCAGAGGGACGTGGGAGGATGCAGGAAGGACCTGACACCCTCATTCTGCCTTAGCGTATGCGGGCCTAGGACACCCCGCCAGGGACTCTCAGAGGAAGCGAGGGGCATGCCCTGCACAGTCCTTTGTTCATCCTTCTTTCGCAGCCTCTCAGGACTCTCTAAGGATCCCTTGGCAGGGTTTCTTATTGCGAGTTCTCTGCAGCTGGGATTTTTGTCTGTTTCTTCATTGCTGTGTTCCCAGCCAGGCACATAATAGACACTCCATACACAATAATTGCATAAGTGAATGAAGTAAGTGAAAGCCATTCATTGCAGGGGAATTAGGACTGTGGATTCTATGTCCTGTATTGCCACAGTGCTCTCTCCCTCCGCTCTCTACAGGACAGAAAGGAGAAGGACCACTTATTGAGCACTGAGTGCCCTGGGCTGGATTGGGGGAGCTTTACAAGCACAACCCTATTTAAGTGGTCCAAAAGCCCATAAGGTAAACATTACCAGTCCCAATAGGCAGGTGAGGAGACTGGAACTGAGTGAGCTTCAGAGATTGGTCAGAGTCACACACCGTGAAGGTCAGAAACGGGACGTGCCTGTGGCCCCGACTCCATTGCTTCTGGTTTTTGTGTCTCTTTGGGAGCGGACGGGATTCGAGAGCCTGAACTTAGCTGCACAGCTAAGGCCGCAAAGGGGCCCAGTGCTTCACGTTGTTTTCTTTACTTCCCTTTCCCTTGGCTTCACCAAACTGGTCGTCTTTCTTTCTTTCTTTCTTTCTTTTTAATTTTTTTTTAGAGAGGGGAGAAGGGAGGGAGAAAGAGAGGGAGAGAAACATTGATGTGCGAGCGATACATTGATAGGCCGCCTCTCCTATGCCCCAACTGGGGATCTGGCCCGCAACCCAGGCATGTGCCCTGACTGGGAATCGAACCAGCGACCTTTTGGGTTGCAGGATGACATCTAACCCACTAAGCCACACTGGTCAGTCTGGCCATTTTTCAATATCAACCATTCAGACCTTTCTTAATAGCAGTGGACCTGGCCACTGTGAAGACAAGGAAATGGGGAAAGAATGGGGCGGGGTGCGCAGGAAGGAGCATGTCTGTCTGTCTTCCCACCTGTACATGGCCCCCTGACCGCATCTCGTTGTTCAGCTCCCTACTGCAGCCTGCCCAGGGCTCCACTCCACGGCTTCCTTCTGGGCCAGACCAGCACCCAGCCCGGAGGCTCCATCCACTTTGGCTGCAATGCTGGCTACCGCCTGGTGGGACAGAGCATGGCCATTTGTACACGGCATCCCCAGGGCTACTACCTGTGGAGCGAGGCCATTCCTCTCTGTCAAGGTGAGAAGCAGGTGGGAAGGGGGTAACAGATGGCTCAGATCCTACTCACATCTTGGGTTTGCCTCATAACCAGTGCTTCCAGATAATGGGTTTCCTCATTGATGATTCATCCTTTCAGGAAGCAGACATTGAGGATCCACAATATTTTCAGCCCTGGGAATGGATGGATACACACACACACACACACACACACACACACACACATATATATAATTATATATATATATATATATGCATAAAACACAGTGTCAGCGTCTTCAGAGCATGAGGAGATGGATGTTAGCCATGTACATGCAGAATGACAGAGGAAGGAAATGCTGTGTTGGGAGTGTAAACCACATTGCTGGGCCCAGAGGAAAGAAGGGGCCTCCCTCCTTTCAGATAGCAACGAAGCTTCCAGAACACGCATGCTTGGGATCGGGATCGGGCTCATAGAGCAAGCAGGGTGTGGAACGAGGCGTTGGCAAGGAAACATTCTAGACAACATCGAGGGCATTTGGAAAAGCACGAGACTGAGAGGGGTAAGACACGTGAAGCAGTTCAGGCTGGTGGGAGCTCCCGGTCAGAGGAGGAGAGGGCGGAACAGCGACCCCGGCCTATGATCGGCCCCAGGTAGTGTCCCTACATCGCCTTTGATAACTTAAGGGATTTCTTAACTTAAAGGAATATACCTTCAGACTAGTGATCTGAAACAATATAAATATAGATAATACCAGAGGAAAGAGTAAAAATGACCTACAATCCCATCAATTGAGATCACCACAGTTAACACTTCAGCACGCTTCCTTAGCCTTCTATATACTGTTTACCAAGATGGCATCATCGGCATCCCAAACTCTGCTCACATCTGTCATGTACCTAAATACACTTCCTCGTCATTGTTTTCAGTGGTACATGATGTTACAGAAAAACTGTCAGTTTTTCCAGTCTTATCCTATTGTTGGTCACTTGAATTTCTATATTTTTTGTTTCTGTAAATGGTGCTGCTATTACAATTGTTTTAATGTCATTGTTAGGGACATTCATATATATTTCTTAAAATGAATTTCCAAGAATGAGATTGTTGAATCATAACCTATTCAAAATCTATAGCTTTTGAAACTTAACCTCCCTTCCACATTCTCAACATAATGTACTACATTAACAAAAGAAAAGAACTTTGCCAATTATATATGCAAACACAGGAAGCCACATTGCTGTTTTATGTTCTTGTTCTTCAGTCCCCAGCGGGGTGCCACACTTTTTAATGACACCTGTCATCTCCAACCCCCACAACCTTCTGGCCTGTGCCTGCGCTTTCTCAAAGAGCAGAAACAGTGTGTCATTAGTATTCTGTTCGATTCCCTGAGCAAAGGTCAGGGAGAACTAACTGTCACAAATGGCAAATGTCGTCTGGCTTTGATCTTGGTGTCTAACTCTATCAACACAGACACTATGTCCCCCCTCTCCCCGGAAGCTCCTATTGAAACCTACAAGTGCCTCTCATCTCTTTTATCTTTTGTCACTTCCCCAAAGTAAGCCCCTCTAGGCTGTGTCTATGCGTCCTCATACTGCTCTCTGCCTCTTCTCCCCAGCCCTCCCCAGCCCTCCCCAGGCTTCCCTCCGATCCTCTCCCTCCCAGCCACTCCCCCTCTCTGGATTCCTGGTTCCCTGCCCCCAACAACAAACGCCCTTGCTCCCAACCCAGAGGGGCTCTCTTCCCTTCCTCCCTCCACAGAGACCCTGGCTCTCCTCTGAGAACAGGCACTCTGTGACCCTTTCAAGTGAAATGTGTTAGTCACCCATTTCCCACACAGCCCAGGGCCAGGAAAGCCCTGGTATTCCTCCAATTCCCCATTGCTGCTTCCAAACCATGACCTCCCCACCAGCAAATACATCCCATTTAGAGTCTGCATCTCCTAATGCTTTCTCTCTCCTTCCCCAGCTCATCCTCTCACAAATACCCTCTCCCTCGGAGATATCATTCCACCACACATTGCAAATACCTTGTGATTCTCTCCCCGCCTCTCCAACCCACAGAAAGTGTCTCTCTTACCTGGGTTTTGGGGGACCATGTTTTGACATGGAGATCAGGAGACAGGCTTTTAGTCTCTTAGGCTGGAAAGTTATCTGTCTTCTTAGTTATCCACAAGAGAAGGGCCAGGCCAGGGCCACGAGAAGGGGCTGCTGCCCTTTTCTGTCACCTGCTGCCTGATTGACTCCCCACGCAGAATGTCATGGGGACTAAGCATTTCTTCCCGAGGGTTCAAGGAAATGAGGTAGTTAGGTCATCAGATATGACAAGTTAGCTAACCCGGTACCACTGAAGGAGCTCAAAGCCTTGCTGTACAGGCATTAAAAGAGCATCACATTCAAATGTGCCCTTATTATATTGCTGAAGCACAAAGCCCCGTTGCCCAGGCTCACCTTATCCACAGTGGCCAAGTCTCATCCTGGGTGACACCAGAGAGGGGCAGACAGGACAGGTGAGAGGTAGAGTTCAAGAAGAGACCACCCAGTTTAGAATACTGGCATGAAAAAGGGCAGATGTTGCCAAGATGTTGCCAGATTGGGTCTTTCAGAACTCCACTCTTAGTGGAGTTCTGAAAGACCCAACCCAGCATTTAGAATTAGATAGACTCAGTGTTTGGAACCTGCATATATTTTTTTAAATGCTCCCTGTCCTGACTGGTGTGAGTCAGTTGGTTGGATGTCCTCCAACAAAACAAAAGGTCGCTGGTTCAATTCCTAGTCAGGGCACATGCCTGAGTTGTGAGTTCAGTCTGCAGCTGGGGCGCATACTAGAGGCAATCGATCAATGTTTCTCTCACATCAGTGTCTCTCTCCCATCAATGTTTCTCTCCCTCTCTTTCACCCACCCTTTCCCTCTCACTAAAAGATAAATAAATAAAATCTTTTATAAATAAATAAATAATGCTCCCTCATTTCCTCACTTCTTCCATTCCTGATCCTTCACCTGGTCTTGGAATCTTCCTTCCGTCTTGGTTTCTAAACCCCTCTCCCTCTGGACAGTCCCTCCTTCTCCATATCATCGTCATAATGGAGTCCCAGCCCTGTTTCTTTTCTTGGCTCTGGACATTCTAGTAACATCGAGCATCACTGTTAGCTCGAGCTTCTCGTGACTCTGAGGGAGAGAGGTCTGAGTTCTAGCCTCGTTTACAGAGGGGGCAGGTGAGGGACAGTGGCGGGCACTCTCATTGGTATCACATCTGTAAGAGCTCCTGAGCTATGTAGTAAAGGGCAGGCATGGTCGGTAAGCATCGATTTCTTTCCAAGACCACACAGGCCCCTCTTACCAATGCAATAATGTACGTTCCTCCGATAAACATAGTGTGGGCCCTGCTCCTCATAAAGTCATTGCCCTGGCCAGGTTGCTGCACACCTTTCTCTCCTGAGCTGTCAGTGTGAGATCTCTTTTCTTCATATTCCCGAATTAGTTCTCTCATTGTTTATATCTCATATCCTGCCTTTTCTGGGTTTTTATACTCTTTTTGGTGGAGTAGATAGTAAATTCTTCAAAAAGGGCTCATGAGAGATCAATTTAATGAGTCTTTAAATGTCTGAAAATTATTATTATTTTTGCCCTCACACTTGCTGGGTAGGTTGACTAGGTAAAATTGTAGGGCACAAATCATTTCCTTCAGAAATTCAAAGGCATTGTTCTGTTATCTACAAACACCGTTGTTGCTGATGGGAAGACTGACGCTGATCTGACCCTCATTCCTTCACAGGGAAGTCACTTTTCTCCTCTCCCCCCGGGAAGTTATAGGACTCTCTGTGTCTGTGGTCTTCTGAGAGTCCATGATGGTGGATCTAAGAGTGGTTCTCTTTGCATCCTCTTGGCTTCCTTTCATTCTGGAGACCGTGTCTCTGTTCCACTCCTGGAAGTTTTCATCTGTGATAACTCTGTCCCTCCCACTTGCTCTGGTGTCTGTCTCTGGAGCCCTGACCCACTAGATGTTGGACCTCCCCGGCTGAGCCTCTGCTTCCAGTCCTTTGTGATCATTTTCAGTCTTTGCCCTTTCGGTTGATATTCTTGGAAATTCCTTTGCATTTTAATCTCCAGCCCTTCTGTTGGATGCTAATTTTGGCAATCATGTTTTTAAATTAAAAGAGGTCTTGTTCTCTTTTTGTTTTTCTTTCGTCAAAGCACTCTGTTCTCACTTTATGGATATAATATGTTACCTTGATTTTCTCAGGATACTACTTACTAATCAGAAGCTTAAAGAGTATTATGTATATTCAATGTAATGAGTTAGCTCTGTCTCCTGAAGGAGACATTTTTTCTTGTTTTTAATCTCTATGTCTTTCGTGCTGCTCTTTTTCTAAAATGTATCATGGTCTTCGATGGTGCACATTTTGAAGTAAAAGCCAGGTTGATGTTTTTCAGGTAGCAGATGTGAGTTACCTCTGTTGTTACCACACACAGACACCTTTGCCCACGGGGTCTCCCCTGAGGAAAGCAGCGGAGCTGAGTATGCCACGGAGCTGAGCAGGCGGAGGGGCAGCCTGAAGGCTGTGAGGGTCCTTCAGTGCTAGAATCAAAAGAGCTTTACTCTGGGATGCCAGCTCCCGCCTCAGCAGCCTTGATTCTCTCAAGGGAGTTTTTGTTCTTTGTGTGTTCTGTTTTTGGGTTTCCCTCAAATGGGAAAGAAGACCCTCTCTACGCTGTTTGAAGAACACGTGCCTGAATGCCTCCACACTGTGGGCAAGGACAGAAAACTAGTCTCACTCCACCACCACCCCTCCCCTCTATGTGTTTATTTTGGTCTGTGGCTTGTTGGCACCATTTAATCCATCAACACCCTTCTATCTACATTTTGTCCTCCAAAGTTGTTTTTTGAACTCTCTTCTGCTGGTGATCCTCATATTTTTTTTTGGTTAAGAAGATTTTTCCTTTTGTTGGTGTTTACTATGATTTTATTAGGGTATCGGGTTAGAGGAAAGATAAAAAATATATCCCCAGAACACCATCTGGAAGCAGAAACGCTCATGACTTTTCTCCCTTCGCTAGCTCTTTCCTGTGGGCTTCCTGAGGCTCCTAAGAACGGAATGGTGTTTGGCAAAGAGTACACGGTGGGGACCAAAGCCGTGTACAGCTGCAACGAAGGCTACCATCTGCAGGCAGGTGCTGAAGCCACCGCAGAGTGCCTGGAGACGGGCCTGTGGAGCAACCGCAATGTTCCTCCCCAGTGTGTCCGTGAGTCATCCTCGGGCCGCGGAGGCGGGTGCGGGAGGAGCTGGGTGAGCAGCTGGAAAGATTCCCGCAGGGAGTGGGGGGAAGCAGGTTCATGGAGGCTGAGGATTCAGAGAGCAGAGACGGGTGAGTGGCATCATCTGCCCACTTAGGTTCCCATTTGAAACTGCTCCCAAATCATCGATAACCGTCGCACCCTGAGTTGTCGCCATCAAGCATCACAGAACTCGGGAATGACCTGCCCCACCTCCTCTTAGATGGAAAAACTGTCAGAATATTTGCACAAATGTCCTTTGATCACAAAACTCCAAAATCACAGAGGTGCAGTTCCGCTGTAAGGCCGAAGTCTCAAACTGGCCGCCTAATGGGCTGTATCCAATCCGAAGATACAGGGTTTTGGTTTTCCTTCTGTTTTGTTTCTTTGACCTACAGGATAACTTATAAAAAACTCATAATTGCCTTCCAGCATCTTAAAACCAGGAAATTTTATATAAAAATCCATTATTTCTAGCTTTTCTTGAAAACGATGATCTGGCCACTTGGATCCAGGTAGTAAACAATGATGAAGATTTTTCCGAGCACATTAAGGTTAAACATTATTTTTTGTCTCCTTCAAAAGACAGAAGGAAAAAAAATGAAGATACGACCAAATAGAACTTGCAGCCTCACATCCAATGACCAGCGTTGACTGCCTAGCACTGCCCTTTTTTTGGTGGGGGGGTGGCCACATTCCCCGCCCCACCCACCTCATTCATTACCAAACTTGCCTGGGGACTGAAGACTCTGGATGCATCTTTACTGTCTGCTAGTCCCCAGCTCTGGACTTCTGCCTGTCTCTTCCATAATTAATTAGTTAATCCTCCTCTCTGCCCCTTGCCCACCCAGCCGTGACCTGTCCTGACATCAGCGGCGTCAGTGTGGAGCACGGCCGATGGAGGCTTATCTTTGAGACACAGTACCAGTTCCAGGCCCAGCTGATGCTCATCTGTGACGCTGGTTACTACTATACTGGCCAGAGGGTCATCCGCTGTCAGGCCAATGGCAAATGGAGCCTCGGAAACTCTATGCCCACCTGCCAAAGTAAGCCCAGGAGGGGAGGATGGGCAAGTTTTGGCTCAGTGCCTGCTACCTGAGCTGTCTCATACGGGGAGGGAGAGAAGAGGGATATCACTTGGGATTCCAGTGTGCCTCTTCTTTAACACACACCTAGAATCAGGAGCTGGGGAGAGGCTTACTTCTGTAAGGAAGTGCTTCTTAGCATCTTGTCATCTTCTTAAAAAGCTGCCTTTGTCCAGGTGAGCACCCACTAACTCGTTTACTCAGCATTCATGCCAGGTACAGTAGAGGTATAAGGAGACAAGTATGGGACTCCTGCCCACCAGGAGCGTGGAGTCCACTGGAGAAGCAGGCAAATAAGGACACGGGGACGGTGGCATGTGAGGAGGCCTGTCATAGGAGTGCATACAGGAAGAATGGGCACAGCACAAGGGCCAGGCCACCTAAGGGTTTCTGCCTTTCCTTCTTCATTGCCAATTGTTCTTCCTTGGTTCTTCTAAGAGAGTTTCAAAATCCAGGGTCCCTGGGAAGCCACTATAAGACAGAGGTTATTAGGGAGTGCTCCTGGGGTCACTACCTGTGGAAGGAAGGGAGGGGAGGACACAGGACTGGGGGGAGGGAGAAGCTGGGTTCCAAGGGAGTAGCCGTGAAGGCCTCGGTCCACCCCACCAGGGGCCCTTACCCCTCCGCACTGACCAAACATTAGGTGCAGGCTGCCCTGGCAGGAGAGTACAGCTTCAGACGGGAGGACTCATCCACCAAGGCAACCTGAAGAGGGCCAGCTGCCAAGGGTTCCTTGCCAGCCACTGGGGAAATAAACCCTTCGGGCGTCAGTGGGGGTCTGAGTGGCTCACCGCGGCATCCACTACACAGGAGATGCTCACAGTGCTCACCTAATCAATAAGGCTGTGATCGAGGAAGGAGGTGTTTGTACGGGGACAGAAGAAGATAGCTTGTCAGTGAGCCGTGGGAAGTTTGAGACTGGGAGGCGTGGTGGCTTCCCAGCACCTGCTATGCAAGACACCGTTGTCTTGTCACTCAAGCGCAGAGCCCACAGAGGAATGTAGTCATGTCGGTGGCAGAGCAGGAGTCAGGAGCTCACGCCGATGAAGCGGTTCACATTCCAGTGTGGCCTGGGCTGCGGGGCCCCACCCCTGTGCCGGCCCGTGGCTGTCTGCAGGGCTCCGTGGAGGGGTGCGAGGCCGCTGCCCTGCTCGGCAGAAATGACCAGGGAACTGATTTGCCGTATCTGCTCTGAACGCCGAGGAGCACACCACTGATCCACCGTTTCTCCAGTCCGGTGCTTCCTAACCCAGGCGCACCTCTGAGCCACCTGAGCTGTTTAAAAACGTGTGTGCCTGGGCCAGAGATGGTGAGTCAGGGGTCCAGAGTGCAGCCTGGGCATTTTTAAAGCTCCTCAGGTGCTCCTGGCAACACCTCCAGTTGAGGATGGCTGCTCCAGTGTAACGTCACACAGGTCACTGTCACGACCCGTGTTATGGTCATGCATTCCAGCAGAGTGAGGTCAGACAGACCCCGTTTTCGTCACGGTCTTGCCAACCAGAAGCAGCACGTGTCTTACTGAGTGTTTTGTTACCTTTCCAGTCATCTCCTGCGGCGAGCTGCCCATCCCGCCCAGCGGGCACCGCATCGGAACGCTGTCCGTCTATGGGGCCACGGCCATCTTCTCCTGCAATTCCGGGTACACGCTGGTGGGCTCCCGGGTGAGGGAGTGCATGGCCAACGGACTCTGGAGTGGCTCTGAGGTCCGCTGCCTCGGTGAGTGACCTCCCCAGGCCCAGCCTGCCCGTTCTCCCCACTCGGGATGAGTTAGATCTTCCCAAAGCAGGATCCCAACCTCAGAACAGTATCATTTTACCCACTGTCACAAAATGCTTAATTCAAACACCAGCTATGGGGCATCTCCCTTGACTAAAACCCTAAACTGGCTTCTCCTGGGGCACCCAAAAGAATGAGAACCTCTTAAAGTGTGACGAGACAAACCTCTGAGGGGTTCTCTTTCTGATCAGAAAGACGGCTTTTTCTTATTGGCCCTTGAAAGATGGGTGAAGCCCCAGGCTCCACCGTCAGGGCAAGGCACAGAGACACCTCCCTGCGGCATGTCTGAAACACCCTTCGTATTTATGTTAGCAAGTGTTACATGGACATGTATTTTACATATGCTGTATGATATAGAAATATATTTTTGTCGCTTGCTTATTCTATACAGTATACACACACACACACACACACACACACACACACACAATAAGCTATGATAAACTCATTTTTAAAAACCTGGCTTACAAAGAGTAAAGTTATTATTTCCTCCATGGTTAATCCATCCTCTGCCTAAACCTTAGATACGAAGGTTCTCTGTCCTCTCCTTTCTTGGACCCCTCAAGTGCAAAGGTGGGTCCCAACTACACAAACCTAACAGCATAGATTGGATGATCCATCCACAGTCAACAGTATGGTCCTCCCACCGTCTCAGGCCCCTGTTGAGTTCACACAGAGCCAAAGGAAGCTGCTGGAAATGCTAGGAATATGCTCTTCCCGGGTGCCATTTAATAAAATAATTCACCTGGGTTTCCACTCTCTGCGTGCCTTGCCTCTCAAGGAAAAGGAAGCATGACTTTAGCCAGACCACCTGCTTTTACATGGCTATTTTTAACCAACGAGGCTTCAGCTGCCTTACTGTACACTGTGGTGCCCTCCAGTAAAGGCACAGTAAACGCCAGTTGCTGAGAATGGGGCTGGGGTGAGGGGTGCAGGGAGGTAGCAGTGACCATTTCTCCCAGCGTGTAGACACACACTAAAGGTCAGAGATGGATGCCATGTAAGATGCAGCCTTGGGATTTGGGGTTGCCACGTCTTCAACACCATTGCTATCACGTCTCGGATTCCTGAAGTCACTCCTCGATGGATGGCTGCTTTCCAGGGGAGGTGGGAACTCAATGGGTGGTTGGGCCCTTGGTCCTCTTCCCCACCATCCCTGTCTCCTCCAATCCTGACCAAGCCCCGCCTCACTTTCTGCAAACTCCTCCTTGATTTACACTCTTTTCTCGTCCCCCATCAAAGCCGGACACTGCGGGACTCCCGAGCCCATTGTCAATGGACACATCAACGGGGAGAACTATAGTTACCGGGGCAGCGTGGTGTATCAGTGCAACGCCGGCTTCCGCCTGATCGGCATGTCCGTGCGCATCTGCCAGCAGGATCACCTCTGGTCGGGCAAGACCCCTTTCTGTGTGCGTAAGTATGTTGCCCACTCTCCCTAGTCACGGCTCAGATTCGACACAGACCAGCTCCCTTGTTCTCTTGATCAGCTTAGCTAGAGGTTTCCGCATACTTTTTTCAAAGATGCAATTATTACATCTGTTGTTTTTAGTTTTCTTCATATCACTAATTATTGCTTTCACCTTTATTATTTCTTTCCTTGTGATTTCTTTTGGTTAACTCTTTTGTTCATTTCCTATCTGTTGAGTTGGGAATTTAATTCACCTAATTTCATTCATTCTTATTGACCGTCATGATGTAAATGTTTAGGACTGTGAAATTTCTTTTGATCACTACTCCAATGGTATTGCAGTGACTACACTAATTCATGTTTTATTATTTAGCAAAAATTTGGCAATTTTGGTATTCATTTCCCCTTCCACCCAGAAGTTTTTAAATAGAAGAGTATTTTGTAAAATTCCAGGTGAAGGGCCTTTTTAATTTTTATTTTGTTATTTATTTCTAATGTTATTGCATTAAACGTAGTCTTTCTACTTCCCTGGCCTTACTGATGCTCTGTTTGGGGCTTACTGTTCTATCAGTTGTGTGAGTGTTCCACGTGCATTTGAAAGGAAAGGGTATTAGAGCGTGAAGTTCTATGTGTAGTCACGAGGTGTGCCTCATGGATTATATTGTTTATGCCTTTGTACCCCTATTTATTTTTTGTCCGTTTGACCTGTTTTGTTCTGAGAGGCCTTTTTTTTCAAGTTTTCTATTGTTAGTGCATTTCTCTTTATTTTCCCCTGCACTTCCTGCAGTTTCTGCTCCATAAAAAATAGTTGCTGTGTTATTTGGTGTGCAGATAGAACTATTATAGCCACATTTATGATTGTGACTTTAGCCTTTAAAAATGTCTTCCCTATCACTCTTAATATTTTTGACTTGAATTGCCCTGGGCCTGATAATAGGCTTACAATCCTTACTTTCATCCTTAACATCTAAACGGCATTTTGTTCTTATCACATTTTAATGCCGTTAGCCCCCCGATTTTCTCATTTAACCATTTGTTACCTAGTTTATCCATTTTTTAAAGATTTTATTTATTTATTTATTTATTTATTTATTTAGAGAGAGAGAGAGACATCAATGTGCGGTTGCTGGGGGTCATGGCCTGCAACCCCAGCATGTGCCCTGACTGGGAATCGAACCTGCGACACTTTGGTTCACAGCCCGCGCTCAATCTGCTGAGCTACGCCAGCCAGGGCCTAGTTTATCAATTTTTAATAGTGCCCTTTGACCTCCTCTATGGACTGCACAGCGATCAACGAGCCTGTTGCGATCAATAAACCTGTTCTGCTTTTCTTCCCTCGCCCCTTTCTCCTTCCACATTTGGTTGCATTGTTTCTACTTTGTCAGAACATAAACTGTTTATTATATTGTTTATGCAATATCATTCTACCCTTTTCCCTACCTTTATTTTACTCCCAGATCTACCATTAAAAATATCAAAAGCTCACCAACGCTGCTGAAGTTTTCCTGCTCACCTCCTGGCTGGGTCCAGCTCAGTCTCTGGTATAATACATTCTTCAACAATGCCTCCTTTGCCTAGTGTCCCCAAGTTCTTCCATGTATAAAGTTGTTTATCTGGCCTTAAAACGTGAAGGATAGCTGGATTTTATATAAAATCATTGGTCACTATTTCTTTCTTTGACTTTCTTAAAAATGTTCTTTCATCATTATTTTGCTTTGCATGTTACTCTGAAGAGTGCAAATATTAGTTTATTTCTGTTGCTCTTAGGAGGTACTTGGTGGCTTTTCACAGGGCCCTGATAATTGTTTTTTCTTTATCCTTAAAGTCTAATATTTTACTTGGATATGCCCCTGTTTGCTGTTCAGAGACCATTTCTCCAGGTATGCTGTGGACCTCTGAATATGGAGATTCAAGTCTTATTTCTGAAACATGTTCTTGAATTGCAGTTTTAACCACTCATTCAAGCCCACAGCTTTGTTTTCCTTCTAAATCAGCTCCCATTATGTGTGTGTGGAAATTTTTTTGCCTGTTTTCTATTTCAGCTTCTTTGTCTCTGATTAATTTTACTTCCTTTTGTAATCCTATTTTAATTCCCTTGGTATTTGCCTGACTTTCCTCAGTACCTCTCAGTAAATTACCTTTCGATAATCTTCTCTCTCTCTTATAATTTAGTCTTTATTTCTGAGATAATTTTCTTTTTCTTTAAGTCTTTCCTGCATGTCATCAATTATCTTTTCATTTTCTCCCATGTTTTGTCCATGTCTTGTTTTAGTTTTTTATTTCCTGATTTAAAAAACTATTTAGTTTTATTATTTCCTAATTCTCAAGATGGCTTTCCACATCTCCAAATACTTGTGTGTTAATATTTAATTCAGTTTAGACTGTTGTTAGAGCTGCCTTAGGTTTCATGTATTTCGTTTTTGATGAGATTTTCATCATCTGAGCTGCTTTGATTTCTTTTGATTTCCTTTTTGTTATTGCTTTATACATGTTTAGGCTGATGGTTTCTGTTCCTTTTGTGGCTTAGGGTGGTTTGCAAAAGCACCCCCTTCCATCAGTGTAGCAAAATGTGATAGTTTTGTTTTTGTTTTAAATTTATTTTTCATTTAAATTAGTTGGCATACAGTCTTTTATTGGTTATATTAGTTTCAGCTGTATAATATAGTGATTCAACATTTTTATACTTTACAATGTGATCACCCCACTAATTCTAGTAATTACCTGTCACCATATAAATTTATCACAATATTATTGAGCCTTTCCACCCATACCCTTCTTCCTTCTGGTTACCATCCCTTTGGTTTCTGTTTCTATGAGTCTGTTTCTGTTTTTTTGTTTTGGCTTATTTCTGTTTGTTTTTATTTAGATTTCATATACAAGTGAAACCATATGGTACTTCTCTTTCTCTGCCTGACTTATTTCATTTAGCACAATACCCTCTAGATCCATTTATGTTGTCACAAATGGCAAGATTTCATTCTTTTTTATTGTTACATAATATTCCATGGCATATATATGGCATGGCATATATCTCACGTCTTCTTTATCCACTCAGCTATCAATGGACACCTAGGTTGCTTCCAAATATCAATGCAGTTCCTATCAAAATACCAATATCCTTCTTCTAGGAACTAGAACAAATAATTCTAAAATTTATATAGAACTACAAAAGACCCCAACTAGCCAAAGCAATCTTGAGAAAGAAGAACAAACTTGGAGGTATCATGTGGCCTCGTCTCAAGCTATACTACAAAGCTCTAACAATCAAAACAGTATGGTACTGACACAGGAGCAGACACCTAGATCAATGAACAGAATAGAGAGCCCAGAAATAAAACCTTGGTTATATGGCCAACTAATCTATAATGAATAAGGTAAAAATATACCCTGGGAGTAACAACAGGATCTTCAATGAGTGCTGTCAGATACGCTGAACAGATGCATGTTTCGTTTTCTAATAGAAGGCTTTCTTGTGTGTGGTAAGGAAAGGCTGCATGTCCTCCATTTTGTTTGTCTGTTTCTCATTTGTCCTTGCAGGACCCTAAATTCTCTCCCTTTTGCTTCTTTTCCCCAGTGTTACCCAGTCTGCAGAGGATGTCTTTGCTCTCTACCTCCCTCCTGTCTTTCTCCTTCTCACATTCCCTTTACTTCTTTGCCTTTCCTTTCCTCTAGCAACATCGAGGAGAATCACACCCACTTTTAGGTCGCTTCCCTATAGTTGTTGTATTCCGATGTACCTGAATCTTTCTCTAGTGTGCTCCCACTTGAGATGAACATTTTCTCTCTAGCAGTGATTTGGGACCAGCACGCGATCTTCCCCGGCTTCTCTGTTCTCTTTCCATGCAGCCTTGCTCTGCACAAAGGCTTGAATCAGAAGCATGAGAAACAGTTCTGCCTAGGTTTAGTGTTTGTTTTTCTCCTTACACATAATTTAAAGTTTATAGCATTCTGTGTCTTCTAGTTATGCTGCAGGCCCACGCTTTTTACAGATTTATTTGTTCTTCTTGTTAAACTGCATTTTTTTAATTTAGGTGACCACCTTATTCTCAGCTGCCTGCAAGTAATTTGGAAAATTCTTTACTTTTTAACACTCCCTAAAGTAAGCCTTTGTGTAAATTGCAGGATTTTGTTCTTAATTTTTGTAAGGCCAGATTTTGCTTTTAATTCTTTTTCTTCACGTGGCTCCTGTATATGAGATAGAACAATAAAATAATGAAACTTACTCAATAAGCAATCCATTAAAATTGGTCTTAATAACTTCTGAAGTATCATGGATATGGACAGCAGTGTGGTGACTACTGGGGGGAAGGGGGTATAAAGGGACTAAGTGGTAATGGAAAAAATACAATAAAGATTAAATTAAAAAACTATAAAATAACTTGACAGATTAAAAAAATAAAAAATAAAATATTCAGTTTCCTGAAAGCAAGGCCCGTCTATATTCGGTTTGTCTTCCAGATGCATATAAAGAAAATATATTTGGTTTCCTCCAGGAGAGGAAAATTCATATGCCTTCAGGAACTTGGCACAGAATGTGTGTGAATAGATTGAGTTATAAAGAAACGGGAAGGATGGAGTCTAGAATTAAATGCAGAACATCTGCCTAGAAGATATTCTAGGCCTGGCCCACACTGAAAGGCTGTGTAGTAAAGCATTCAGACAGGCAGACCCGGGACCCAGGTTGCCCGGGTTCAGATCCCAGACCCGTGACTCTGTGGCGCATGGCTGCATGACTGTGGGTGTGTGAGGTTATCTCACAGGGTCTCAGGGTTCTCATCTATAAAATGCAGACACTTCAAAGAGTATTATGAGGATGGAATAAATGAATCCGTATAAAATGGCCAGAACAGTGAACCCTAAAATAAAGTGGTCAGGACAACGCCTGACGCAGATGTGGAGCAGATGCTGCTGTTGTCGTTGCTGTGACGATGGCGAGGACAAGGACGGCGGTGGGGGTGCGTGGGACGGAGGGCTCAGCCCAAGTGCTCTGGGACCAGCCTGTGGGCACCAGGTCCTCTTCTTCCTCCCTGCCTGTGGCTGAACACATTATAAAATAAAACAGAGACATTGGTGGGTGTCAAAATATCACCTTTGCTACTAATAAACGATTCGTTGGATACCATAGCTCCATGCAAAAGCCAAATGGAGTCTACTCAATGAACCCCAGAGCAGGGTGGGCTCACATGCAATCAGAGGCAGTACCACCCTGGCAGAGGGAGGGGGCAGATGCCTCTTCCTTTTTGGGGAGAGCAGTGCCCCCTACGGGCAACTGGGTCCCCAGAGGAAAAGGCAGAGCTGAGCCAGATGAAGCAGATGGGCTATCCGGTGTGGCCTGGGGCAGGGTTGGTAAAAGAGCACAGAGAAAGGCCAGGAATCACACCATCTGAAGTCCGTCCACATGGAAGGAGGGTTGTGTTCTCCCAACAACTGTGGCTTCCTGGGCTTGGCCTCAGCCCCTGGTCTGGCAGGATGACCAAACCCTCTGCCTGGGCTTGGTTAGCATTGACTCTGGCTCTGCCAAGACTGGCCCAGGAACTAGGATGGCTCTTGATCAGCTGAGGGTGGTTGTCAGTGTATCTAGCAATGAAGAGGGAGAGGGGGAGCCACGGGAACCAGAGGCAGGACTGTGTCCCTGGATGACAGAGAACTGCAGTCCCAGCCTGCGTTCTGGGATGTTCCAAGCTGTGGACATGCCTTCAAGGAAAAAGAAGTGTTCCCATGAGGATTTCAGGAAATAAAGGTTTTATAGCAGAAGAGACCAAAGTTAGACTTAGAGCTGAACTTTACTGATGGGCATGAGACATACCACGTGAGAGGAGGAGGAGGAACATCTTGGGGTATGGAACACCAGGAGGACTTACCTATCTCTGTTTTGGTTACAGCAATTACCTGTGGACACCCAGGCAATCCAATCAATGGCCTCACTCAGGGCAACCAGTTTAACCTCAACGATGTGGTCAAGTTCGTTTGCAACCCTGGATACATGTCTGAGGGCGCCTCTAGGTCCCAGTGCCTGGCCAACGGGCAGTGGAGCGACATGCTGCCCACCTGCAGGAGTGAGTCACCCCTCCTCTCCCGCTCCCCTCCCCCGCACCTCTGCTGTCTGTGGCCCAGTGACGTGTGAGTGGAAGCCATGGATTCGATCCTGGAGTTATTTTGACTCAGACAGGGAAGACTTGGGACAGAGAAGGGTCATAAATGGGGGCTTCCTAGACACAGCCATGTAAAATTTCATCACAGTTACATCAAAAAAAGCAAATGAAGTTTCATACGTCAAAATAGAAGTCAAAAGTAATATTTTTGTTTATATTTCATAAGCCAGTAATTCATCATATACAGCCCCATTCTTGATGAAGGAAAAAAAAGCAGAAGCGTTCAAACGAAAACTAAACAGCACATAGGGGTTGGGTTGAAGCGACAGAGGGAAGAAAAGAAACCAAGGACTCAAGAGGCAGATTCTGCACAGAGGACATTCCAGCCCCATCTGGACTGTTTGGGAAACAGCTGCTGAAACTTTTGGAGGTCTGTTCACAGCAGTCAAGGGCAAGCGGAGCCGTCTGCCTCTCACCAAGAAAGGCCAAGTCGGCTCGGTGACATCTAAGTGGAGAGTTAGAGTGGGCTGAACACGAGAGAGCCCGGCCCTGACCCGGAGGTTGATCAGATCTTCGGGGTTACGAGAGCTGAGATCCCCTGGGACGGTGGCTCCTCCCGGCCGCGTTCAAGGGGCGTGGTGATTGGCTATGCAATAGGTCACAGCTCACTTATTACTGATATTGAAGGACCAAAATTTTCAAATGATTTTTAAAAAATAAATTAAGTCACATTCACCACTAATCCTCAAATCACATCCCTCTCTTAACGTTTCAAAGATACCATTTGAGTGAGAGAGGGTCCCACAGAACACAGGGAAGATGGCCAAGACCTCGCTTCGTGCCTTCCTCCCGGTCATCCACATGGGCAGGAAGAGCTGAGAACTGCAGCTTGGGGGGTTGTCCCATGTTCCCTTCTCCCCAAGAACTGTGCTTCGTCTCCCAACACGCGGTGCAAATTCTCCCATGCCTTCAGCTCCAACCCCTCCTGCCCACAGCCGCCAGCCTGGAAGTCAGAGGGCAGGGGTAAAACCCTTAGAAACCATGGCCTCCGGTCCTACTCCCCTCTAGCCCATTCTCCACCCTGACAGAGCAGTCTGTTTAAAATGCAAACCTGATCAAGTCTCTTCCTGTTCCAACCGCCTTCCCAGACTTCCCCCTGCCCTTGGGAGAAATACTCCCGGGGTTTACAGGGCCCCCTGGGGACCCAGTCCAGCCTCATCCTCCTTCACCTTGCCTGCTCCCTGCCTCGCTCTGCACTGGGTGCCAGCCACACTGGACCCCTTCCGTTTCCTACACCTGCCCTGCACCCATGCTCCCACAGGGCACTCCCAAACGGCTTCCTCGCACGAGGTCTCCCTCCTCAGTCCCCCTCGCCACTCCCTCTCTGTCACCAAGAGGCAGTTGAAATGTTGCTTTCTCCTGGGAAGCCTTTCCTGCCCCACCCTCTGCACTGGACTTTCCTGGTCCACGCCCTGCTCTGATGCTCTGCTCTGTGCTTCCAGAACATTCTCTGCTGCCCCTATCAGAGCACTTATCAAACAGCATAATCGCTTGTTTGTTCTTCTCCCTAGACCAGCAGTTCTCCTCAGGGGATGACTGTACCCGTCCCCCTGCCCCAGCAGGGGACAGAGGTCTGGAGACATTTTGGATTGTCACACTGGAGGCTTTCTGTTGGCATCTGGTGGGTGGAGGCCAGGGATTCTGTTAAACATCCCACAGTGAACAGGACCGCCCCCCACCGACAAAGAACCATCAGCCCAAATGCCCACAGTGCCGAGGCAGAGAAACTCCAGGTTGTAAATTCTGCGGCGTCCTCACTGCCCAGCACCCGGCTTGGCACTTGGTGCATCACAGTAAATACCATGAACGAATAAATGCCACTCACTTGTTCTGAGATTCCAGCCTCTCTGAGCCTCAGAGACACGCATCAAAGTAAAAATACCTTATACTTTAAAAGCTTGTCAAAACTTTAAAATACCTGCCCTGATGCCTGAGATTCAGGCAAGATAATGAATGTGAAAGTGTTTGGGAAGCAAAACATTCATGAGTTATGAATGATACCGTCATTATTCTAAAACTACACTCTGATTTTGAGTTAAGCTGCTTTGGAAACACTCGAACATTTAAAAGTCAAATGTAGCCCCCAGGACATTAATCTCTCCCTGGAATACTCATAAAAGAGATTAAAAGTGTTTCCAGCAGAGGCCAGCCCCTGCTCAAGTCGGCTCTGATGCATGGGCCTGCAGCTGGCGAGCTCTGCTGCAGGAGGCTCACGTGCCTGGGATCAGCCCCTCGGATCCAGGCAGCCATGCCCGTGAGGGACTCAGGCGTGCAAACGTCCCAGTCCTGGCTGACACCGTGTGCAGTAGACATGTGTGCAAGGGAGCACTGAGGAGGGAGAGGTAACCAGTCAGAGAGGAGGCGGGAAGGCTTCTCGAAGGGGGTCATGTCTCGCTGGACAGGCAAGAATGAGGCCCTCAACCAGGGGATGAAGGGACGGGGAGAAGAACCAGCCTCAGGACCAGCTCACCCTCCCGGGCAGGATCTGCTCCGCATTGCCTGTTTTGGTCTGGAAACGTTGCTGTACTGGGATTCCATGCCTGGGCTGGGCTCCTGAGTTCTGGTTTACAAGGATGTGAGGGTGTGTGTAAGTAGTCTGACGCTGACTGTCCCGTTCCGTTGCAGTCATCAACTGCACAGACCCCGGGCACCAAGAGAACAGCATCCGTCAGGTCCATGCCAGTGGCCCGCACAGGTTCAGCTACGGCACCATGGTGTCTTACCAGTGCAACCACGGCTTCTACCTCTTGGGCACCCCGGTGCTCAGCTGCCAGGGCGACGGCACGTGGGACCGCCCCCGCCCCCAGTGTCTCTGTAAGTAGATGTCGCAGCCTTCAGGATTCTCTTTCTTTATAACTCACTGCCTGGCAGACGCTGTCTCCTACTGCCCCCTTCCTTGCTTTTTGGGAAAGGCAGCACAGTCCTTCCTTTGAAGGCCTGGAGCTGGAATGCCATGGGCTCTCGAGGCCGGCCGACATGCAGCTGAGCCCTGGCCTTGGCACGCAGCAGGCTGTGTGATCTGAGAGAAGCCCATCGACCTCTCAGAGCCTCTGTGTCTCCATCTAGAAAAGTGACTCTGATCCCCTATTCCGTGGGGTTACTAGAGGATTAAATAAAAAATCCATGAAAGTGCCCAGTATACTATCTAGCACCGGATAAACAATAACTGCTTTAAATATTATTAGGAAAAAGTATGGGGGCAACATGTTTAAAAAACAGGAGGGAGGGGAAGTGGTCAGAATCTTGCCATCTGGTTATAGCCTCTTATATCCCTATGAGGAGAAGCCCCTTGGGGGCCCACTCTCTCCTCTAGTTCCTGGAGTTGAATCCTGTGGGTCACTCTCTCCCCAGTCTTCCTGGGAGTGGAGGTAAAGATGCAATCCAGGGGTTAATGGGCAGTAGCCCTCCAAGAGCCCACTCAGATTGTTGGATTCCCCACACCCGCCACCCCCGTCTGCAGGACTCCACCTCCTCAGGCGCCGGTGCCTCTAGGTGTGCGAAGAGACTGGGGCAGCTCCTCCCTGCCCAACCTTATCTCGTTTGAGGACCCCAACCTGGCCATCCAGCTCCTTCCATAACTGATGCATTGACTGGCAAATTTGGAAATGGGCTGCCACCTGCTTTACAGTGGTACCAGCTGAGGTTCAAAGCACATGGTGGTTTCAGATTAATCTTCTGGTAAAAGGAAGCTTTAATTATATTAAAATTACTCATCTATATGAATTTCTTGCCCAAAGCTTGTTTGACCGGATGTTAATACTGCTATTGAAATAATTAATTAATATACAATTACGCTAATATAATGAATGACCAGCTTCTTCTGGAAGATTTAATCCATTTGCATTTTTCCTTCCTTAGTGAAGGATAATTCACATGCCATAAAATTCACTCTTTCAAAGTCTATAATCGAATGATTTTAGTGTAGTCTCGAAGTGGCGCAGTCTCGCCACCATCTAATTCCAGGGCACATTCCTTCCGCGCAAGGAAACCTTTGAGCCTTCCCTTCCCGTTCTCCACCACCACCGCTCCGTCCACCGGCGGTCACGGTCTGCTTTCTGTCCGTGGGCATGCCCATCCTGGACATTGTATGCAAGTGGAATATTACATGTGGCCTTCCGAGACCAGCTTCCTTTACTTAGCATAAGGTTTTCAAAGTTCATTCATGTTGCAACACTTATCAATCCTTCATTCTTTTTATGACCAAATCCCGTTCCATTGTACAGGTGCATCACACTTTGCTTATCCTCCCTCAGCTGGTAGGCATCTGAGCTGTTTCCACTTTCCGGCTGTCACGATTAATGCTGCCCTGAGCGTTTACGTCCAAGTTTCTGTGTGAACGTATGTTGTCGGTCCTCTTGGGTACACACCAAGGAGTGGAATTGCTGGGTCACACGGGAACTTTATTTTTAATGTTTGGAAGATAACTGTTCTCCAAAGTGTCTGCGCCATTTTACATTCTTACCAGCAGCATATGAGGGTTCCACTTTCTCCACATTCTTCCTCATGCATTGTTCATCTTTTTCATTATAACCATTCTAGTGGGTGTGAAGTGGTATCTCATTGTGGTTTTGACTTCCATTCCTTAGGACATTGAGGACTTAGGACATTGAGCATCTTCTTGTGTGCTTCCTGGTCATTAGTATCTCTTCTTTAGAGAAATGTCTGTTCAAGTCCTTGGCCCATTTTTTGAGTTGCTTGTCTTTGTGCTGTTGAGTTTTAACAGTTCTTTATATATTCTGGATGCTGTACTCCTACTTGCAGATACATGATTTGTTAACATTTTCTCCCATTTTATGGATTATCTTTTCACTTTCTGAATAGTCTCCTTTGATCCGTGAAAGTTTTTTTTATTTGTAATGAAATCCAATTTATTTACTTTTTCTTTTGTTGCTTGTGCTTTTGGTGGAATATTTAAGAAACCATTGCCTAATCCAATGCCACCAAGATCACCTCCTCTGTGAACAGGCATAGTTTTACTTCTTCCTCCAGACTGGATGCTTGGTACATCTTTCTCTTACCCAATTGCCTGGCTGGAACTTCCAGTACACTGTTGAGCAGAACTGGCAAGAACAGACATTCTTGTCATGTACCTGGTCATAGGGAGAAAGCTTTCTGTCTTTAATCATTAGGTATGATGTCAGCTGTGGGTTTTCTCGTAGGTTCCCTTGATCCCCTTGAGGGAAGTTCCCTTCTATTCCTAGCCTGTTAAACATTTTCATCACAAAAAGGTGCTGGGTTTTTGTCAAATGATTTTTCTGAATCTATTGGGATTATCATCTGGGGATTTTTCCCCCTCATTCCATTATTATGGTGTATTATACTGATTGATTTTTCATATGTTGAACTACTTTTGTATTCCTGGAACAAATCACACTTGGTCACGGTGCATAATCCTTTTATCATGCTGCTGGATTTGGTTTGCTAGCATTTAGAGGATTTTTACAACTATGTTCATAAAGGATATTGGTCTGTAGTTTTCCTTCCCTGTGATGTCTTTGGCTTTGGTGTCAGGGTTATACGGACATTGTAGAATGAGTTTGAAAGTGTTCTCTCTCCTGGTTTTAGAAATAGCTTGAGAAAAATTGGTGTCATTTCTTCTTTAAAAAGTTGGTAGAATTCAGCAGTGAAGTCAACTGGTCCTATGCTTTTCTTTGATAAAAGTTTTTGACTATTGATAGATTCTACTTATTTGCTATAATTCTATTTAGATATTTCATTTCTTCTTGAGTCAGTTTTGGTAGTTTGTGTGTTTCTAGGAATTTTTGTCTATTTCATCTTAGTTATCTAATTTGTTGGCATACAACTGTTCATGTTCATAGTGTATTCTTTAATCCTTTTTATTTCTCCAAGGTTTGCTGGTAGTAATATTCCCACTTTTATTCCCAATTTTAGTAATTTTAATTTTTTTCTCTCTCTCATCAAATTTGCAATACATTTGTCAATTTTGTCAATCTTTTCAAAGAACAAACTTTTGGTTTTATTTTGTCTACTGCTTTTCTACTTTCTATTTAACTTATCTCTTTATCATTATTATTATTCCCTTTCTTCTGTTTCCTTTGGGTTTAGTTTGCTCCTCTTCTTCTAGTTTCTTAAGGAGGAACGTTAGGTTTGGGATTTGAGATCTTTTTAATGTTGGCATTTACAGCTATAAATTTTCTTCAGAGCACTGCTTTCTCTGCATCTCCTAAGTGCTGGTATGTTATGTCTTCATTTTTCACCTCAAACTATTTTCTAATTTCTCTTCTGATTTCTTCTTTAACCTCTTAGTTATTCAGGAGTCTGTTGTTTAATTTCCATATATTTGTGAATTTTTCAAATTTCCTTCTGTTGCTGATTTCTAATTTATTGCACTGTAGTTGGAGAATATACTCTGTATGATTCCAATCTTCTCAAATTGTGTGGCGACTTATTTTATGGCCTAACATGTGTTCTAGCCTAGAAAGTGTTCCACGTGCACTTGAGAAAAGTGTGAATTCTGCTCTTCCTGAGTGGAGTGTTCTGTAGCTGCTTGTTAGGTCTAGTTGGCTTATCATCTTGTTCATTGTATTTCCTTGTTGATCTTCCGTCTGGATGTTCTATCCATCATTTAAAGTGAGGTGTTGAAATCTCATACTACAATTGTTGGTTTGTCTATTTCTCCTTTCAATTCTGTTGGCTTTGTGCTCCATGTGGTTGGTGGATTTGTTGTTAGGTGCATATATGTTTATAGTCGTTACATCTTCTTAATGGATTGGTCCTTTTATCTTTATAAAATGCCCTTCTTCTGTCTTGTAACAATTTTTTGTCTTAAAGTTTATTTTGTCTAATATTAGGATACCCATCCAGCTCTTTTTTTGGTTATCATATGCATAGTATATCTTTTCCATGTTTTACTTTCAATCCATTTGGGTCTTTGAATCTAAGGTGTGTCTCTTTCAGACAGTATATAATTGGATCATATTTTTATTCATTTTTCTAATATCTGGATTTTCTGTGTTTAATTCTCATTTAATGTAATCACTGATAAGAAAGCACATGGAAACAAGGATCATGTGGAGAACAATCATGATTTCTCAGTTAACAGTGAGAGCCAAGTCATCTCGCAAGTGAGTCAATTACAGTGCTTTAAGGGCAAGTTCCCTTGGAGTCATCCTACTCGGTGTGAAGAACTAATTCTCCTATTGACTAGGTCTGTGATCTTGGGGAAGTTACTTTTCCTCACCATGCCTCATTTGCCTCCTCAGCAAGACGGAGATGGAAATGGTGCCTACCTCATAGGGCTGTCTTAGGAAATAAATGATGTAATGCTTGAAACTCATTCTGTCAGTTATCTATTGCTGTATAACAAGCCATCTCAAAACTTAGTGGCTTAAAATAGCAACTGCTTTTGTTTGCTCACAATTAGGTCAGGAATTCAGGTAGAGCTTAGCAGGCATATTAGTTGGCTACACAAGAGAAACAGAATCAATAACATATCTACACATAAAATAAGGAATTGGATCATACAATTATACAGTCTTAGAAGTCCCAAGATTTACATTTGGTCAGCTAGGAGAGCAGATGGTGTAGTTTCAGTCTGGGTCATGAGCCTGAGAAGCTGGAGAGTCGATAGTGTAAGTTCCAGTCCAAGCCCTAGTCCAAGAGCAGAAGAAAACTGATGTTGCAACTCAAAGACAGACCAGCAGAGAGAGAGAAATCTGTCTTACTCAGCCTTCTGTTCTATTCAGTCCTTCAAGAGATGGGATGAGACCCACCCACACTGGGGAGAGCTACCTTCTCTACTCAGTCTACCTCTTCAAATGCTAATCTCATTAAGAACCACACTGACAGAATAGTGTTTAACCAGCTACCTGGGCATCCTTCCAGCCCAGTAAAGTTGACACATAAAATAAGCATCACAGCAGGGATAGCCCACCTGTGCCACCTGCAGCTCAGCTAGGACTGGAGGAGCCAGGATGGCCTTGCCTACATGTCTGAGCCCTTGGGACCACCTGTCCTCCTCCTTGTGGCCTCTCTCTGTGTGACCACTCCAGCAGGACAGCTTGGTCATGTTTACTTGGAGGCTGAGTTTCTAAGCAAAAGAGGAAGTTATAAGATTTTTGAAGGCCAGAGCTGAGAATTCCCAAAACCTCATTCACCAGTCTGTTAATCAAAAGTCATAAGACCACCCCAGATTCAAGGGGAGGGACAATAGTAGACTCCACCTCCTAGAATGGGAAGAATGGCAAACACGTCCAGGGACGGGAATGATTGTGGGGACCATCTTTGCAGACAGTATACCACAGTCAGCCCTTGGGAGACCCCAATTCACATTCTTCCACATGCAACATACAACCCCTCCCCATCAAGACCTCCAAAATCATATTCATTTTATTTTAGTAATCTATTGTGTAACATATCACCCCAAAGTGTAGGGGCTTAATGTAACCATTTTCTTGCTTATAATTAGCAGGGTTCAGTGAAGACACTGCATCTCTACTTCATATGTAGTTGGCTGTTGTGACTTAACTGGGACTAGACAACCCAAGATGGTCTCAGTCACGTCAGGGAACTTGGTTCTGACTGTCAGCTGGGGGCATTGTGGTTGCTCTCCACATGGTCCTTACCTCCACGTGATTTCTTACCATTCAGTCATCCAGGCCAGACTTGCTTACCTGGTGGCAACAATATTGCAAGAAAATGAAGGCAGAATCCACCAGACCTCTTAGGCCACAACCAGTCGAATGTCATTTTCACCACATTCCAGTGGTCAAAGCAAGTTGCAAGGCCAGTTCAGACTCAAAAGGGAGGGGAAACAGACTCCATGCCTCGATGGGAAGAAGTGTTAGCCGTAGTCTTTGCAGCTAATCTACCACAAGCACTTCGGAAAGTGTTTGGCATACATCAAGCCCACAGTGAAAAGTGGAGATGCTCAGGACCTATTCATACCATTCCTGTGCCTGGCCAAAATTCCATCATTGGGACACATTTCATCCCTTTGGTCACCTCTCCTGGTCAGTGTCCATACCATGTCCTATCTTCTTTCTGGGTAGAAGCAATGACTACAGGTATCTCTTACCACACCCCAAGGCTTAATCCATCCAAGTCATTGTCATCTCTTCTCAAGCTGCAGCACCCCCTGATTCTTGCCCCACTCTGGGATGTTCTCCACACAGTATCCAGAATGGTCTTGTTAAAGGGTATATCAGATCCTATCACTCCAATAGCATCCCTTTGTGCTCATAATAAAATCCAAATTCTGTGCCATCATCTCATCTGGCTCCTAGCAACCTCTCCACCCTTGTCTTCTTCCATTCTCTCCTTGCCCTTTCTATTCCAGCAGCCCTGACCTTCTTGCTGTTCCTCAGGCACACCAAGTTCGTTCTTGCTTCTGAGCCTTTGTGCTTGATGTCCCTCCCCTCAGAATGCTCTTCACCCAGACCTTACATGGCTGGCCTCGTCACATCACTCAAATCACTGCTCACGTGTCACCTCTGAAGAGAGCTTGTCCCTGACCACCCTGCTCAAAAATATCCCACCCCTGACACCCTTTTCTTGACACAGCTTTATTTTCTTCATAGCACCCCCAAGAATTGCCTATTTATTTTGTTATGTATGGTCTCTCTTCCCCACTAGAATATGAGCTCCACAAAAGCATGGACTCTGTTCTCCCAAACACATAGAACAGTGCCTGGCACCCAGTAGGCACTCAGTAAATATGTGTTGAGTAAATGAAAGAACCTGAGGTCAACCCGTGGCAAGAACAGTGGGAAGGCAAAGCACAGTGACCTTGACAGCATCACCCTGCCCTAGCCTGTACACTTCATCTTTAATCTTACCAGTGGTTTTCACAGTTACACTCCGGTGATTCAGGAAATGGAACTTACAGACTTAAGGTGCCAAGTTGAGGACAATGGATGCGGGCCACTATAAGATACAGCTGGAAAAGGACTATAACTGGCCCTCATTTTGGAACCTGTGGCCTGTGCAGTTAGTCCTAGAATCACGATTGCCCATTTTGTCTTACATATACTATGCGTACCACCTTTGGGCCAGAGATGCCTTGGGTATGTCCTACAGCAGTGAGGAAATCAGAAGAGACCACAAGAGGAGGGAAAGAAAAGAAACAAATGGGATTACATACCTGCTTCCTGCTGAGCAATTTCACACATATTATCTCTGCAACGCTTAAAACAAAGGTGTCACTCTTCACTTCACTGATATGGAAACTGTACAGCGAGATGGGTAGGCCCTGTCTGCTGATGTCAGGTGGGTGTGCCAGCAGGAAGTGTGCTCCAACAGACACCCAGGGTGTCTTCCTCGCTGCCTGTCATCACAAAAAGCCTAGTATGTGTCGTGTGATGACAGTCTCTCCTGAGGCAGAATCACTAAGATGTTTGCTCTTCCCCACAGTGGTATCCTGTGGCCATCCCGGCTCCCCACCCCATTCCCAGATGTCCGGGGACAACTATACCGTGGGCGCGGTCGTGCGGTACAGCTGCACCGGCAAGCGGACTCTGGTGGGAAATGCCACCCGCATGTGTGGGCTGGACGGGCACTGGACAGGCTCCCTGCCCCACTGCTCAGGTATGGGGCCTGGCATGGGGGAGGGGTCCCAAGGGAACACTTGGCTAATGGGAGGCGGACAAGCTCCCAGGATGTGAGTGTGATAGAAGGACAGGAGGAAAACAGACCTTCGCAACCCTCGTCTCATCCCTAACAGGCAGAGAGAGCACAGCTGTCGGAGGTCCCAGCTGGACTTCCACCCACACTGATCTGAGCCCAGCTCCAGGTTCTGAGCCCAGCTCCGGGCCCTTAGTCAGTTCTGGCCAAGTTCTTGCAGCCAAGAGACTGCAGACTAGGGAGGATACAGCTATCCTTGCAGTTTGAGATTCCCAGATGATCCTGTCACCCAAAATGTAGGGCATTTTCCAAATATGGAACCAGATATTTGTTAGGTTTCCCCAAGAAAGATAAATTCTCAAAGCACTAGCCACTGTTTCAAAGGGCTGTTGGCTGCCCTGGATAATCCCAGACATATCATTCTATTACCCTCCAGGACTTTTTGGCCTCTCGCCTCTAGAAGTCTCATTAATCACCCAGTTCATGACCTTGGCAGGACTAGGTATGAGCCACGGGGACTTCTTTACCCTGCAGTAGAGGAAGGCCAAGTCTCTGGGTTCCTCCCTAACTTCCTTCTGCTTGGACTTCTGGTGGCAGTGACATGGGGAGAATGGCATGGGGAGCACAGGGGTCAAATGTATTGAGGCCACCTGGGTTGTCCACAGAACAAGTTCCAGGAGGAGGAAGAGCCATTCCAAAGAGGAAAGGCACACATTTCCCATCCAACGCCCTTCCAAGCCAGCATTTGCCCCCCTCTCTTCTGTGAATAATCCGTTTGCATAAAGCTTCTCCCTCTGGAAACTTCTCTAGCACATTGGGCTGAGGGTGCTCTTCAAGTCTGTTTGATCTATTTGGGGGATCTTTGTTCTCCCTGGGAAAGGGAAGCGCAGGGTAGAGGAGACGGAAATGAGACAGAAAGCCCTGAGCATCTCCTCCCCATTAGCATGTGCCACATACGCGTGCACGTACACACACACACACACACACATACACACACACAGCCATTCTCCCGGCCCATGGACAGAACCCAAGTCTTTTCACTAAACTCAGATTTCTCTCCTTTGGAGTTGTGTTAGCAGAGGCTGGAAAATGACCTCTTGGAAATATTACAGAAACAGTTCTTGTCTGGAGTTGAAAACTAAGCTAGAAAACCTCTAAACCTTGTTCAGCCCTGAGATGTCATAATTTCGTGACTTCCTAAGTGCTGGTCCTGTGTGCAGAAGAAGGGCCTCTTCCTTGGCCACATCAAAGTTAATAAGGGAGACTCAGAAACAAGCTGACACCTTGGGAGCATGAAATAGTAAGGAGCAAGGACGGACCCTTCAGAGGACGTGGACCCTACACTGACAGGTATCCTGCATTCAGCCGTCTGAGTTCTGATGCTGAGTGTTGGAAGGCAGTTAGTGGTCTCATTTCTCCTGTGTACCCATCAAGGATGACAGACACTTAGGAGACCAGAATCCTGGACAAAGCTTTCCTAGGGACCTCCAAGGATGGGATTAGGAGGGATTCTGTGAATGCCAAGGCTGAGGACTGCATGCCTTAGATAACAAAATAAGGGATGAGAATAGGAGATTAGGAAGCAATGCAAGGTGTGGTGTGCACTAAAGGGTAGAACGTAATGCCTCCCTTCCTGAAACTTACAGACGGCATCTTTTGCAACAGCATCTCTTGCCAGGCCTAAGAAATACACCAGTCAAGAGTTCCGAGGCAAATTTTTGAACCTCATTCTATACAATCAGTGCATTCAAATGATGCATAACAAAAAGTCCTGAGTCCTTGAGTCATAAGTCCCTAGGCCATCAAGGACATGCAAAGATTTCTGGCACGGGGACATACTTTGGGAAGTTCATCGCCCACCTCGGCAGTGCCGTCATCTTGCGGATATGCCTCTGCAGTGAAAGAGTCAACTGTTGCCATCTGCCCCCATGACACATACAGTCTTCTGTCCCACACTCCCTTATGTCATTGACACACAAGCTCCAAACACTGCAGTGGGGACCATTCCCTCCCATGAGCCCCCAGGACTGGAGAGCTGCACCCTTGGCCTGTTGCGTGACAGCGCCAGCTCCAGTCGAGGTCAGCTGGCCAGTGCAGGAGTTCAAAGACTCACCATCGGGTCTGCCTTCCAGGGGACACACTGCTGCCTGTTGCATGAGCTACAACCTAGAAAACTTCAAAAGATAAGAAAACCTGGCCAAATGCGATGGGCTCTCTTTTTTCCAATGTTTGACTTGAAGGTTGAATGAATCCCCCATCCTTGATAGGGGGCAGAATGAGGAACGTGGTATTCCCATAGTCTGAGACTAAAATGGAAAAGGACCTAATTCCAGAATTGAGAGGAAGAGACAAAGATGGTACATGATGGTTTATACATGACTTAAACGTTTCTTAACTTCAACAAAGTAAATGTGGCCACACAGACATTACCATGTGATGCCCACACTTGTGGGTCATGAGGAGTTGCATTCCACAGCAGTTAGAAATCTGATCTTCTCGTGCAGTTGCCATGCATTCCTTACTTTCCCTCTTCCTTCCCATGTTAACCATGGCCTGTTCTGGTCCAACGATGTCCTTGCACATCTCTGCAGTATGAGGTGTGTTGGCTCCTACAGGCTCACTATCTTATGACTTTGTCTCCTATTCTCTACCCTCCTCCACTTCTTGGGTAGGTTTTCATAATATCAGAAGCCAGATAAATGCAAGAATGTAGCATGGTGCAAAGACAGAATGAGCTGAGAGGGTCTGAGACATCTACTCCAGAGCCCCACCTGTATTGCATAATTTGTGAACAGGAAATCCTCAGTTGAAGGATCAGGAATCAAGCTGCGCTGTTGAGAAGGTGAAGCTGTGCTACGGAGTTTGGACTCTATCCTCTAGGCAGTGGGAAGCCGGCCAGTAGAGCTGCTTCAGCAGAAAAGAAACAAGAGCCAGATGATGGGTGGTTGTTCCTTGTTAAGAGTCAAGGATATGTGGAAGATGCATTAGAGAGAGAATTTAAGAGGAAGAGACATCAGTAAATGAGTGTTTTAAAAAAATGTGCATTTACCCAATGGAACGCTACACGGCAGAAATAAAGAAGGAACTCCTACCCTTCACTACAGCACGGATGGAACTGGACAGCATTATGTTCAGTGAAATAAGCCAGGTGGTGAAAGACAAATACCGAATGATCTCACCTTTAAGTGGAACCTAATCAATAAAGCAAACAAGCAAACATAATAGAACCAAGGACATGGAAATAAAGAACAAACTGACAGTGACCAGAGGGGAGAGGGTGGGCGGTAATGGGGAAGTGTCCAGTCTAGGAACTTGTATAAAGGACCCATGGACAAGGAGAATGGGGGGCGGGGATTGAATGTGGAAGAGCGGGGTGAGCAGGGCAGGGGAGAGCAATGGGGGGAAAATGGGGACAACTGTAATTAAACAACAATAAAAAAATGTTTTTAAAAGAGGAAGAGACATTCATTAGAAGGCTCTTGCAATAGTTCAGGCAAGAGAATGCTGAGAGTCTGAACTAAGTCAGTGGAACTAGGAATTCTGGAACCAGCAGATATTGGTGGGAAAGAGGGAGATAGAGGAGAGGCGGCCAGCTCGGACCACTGACGCTCCACGCCGGCACAGGCCAAGGCGTGAAGGCAGGATCCACCCAAGAGCCTTCCCTCTGCCTCCTTTCTTCCCTTGCTGTGTGGTCTCCAGGGGTTCACTCATGCCCTCAGACCTTTCTGTTCTCTAACCACTGAGTAGTAAGGCAGAAGCCTGCTCAGATAGCTGGGACTGGACACAGTCTGTTTTCTCCCCTCTCCTTCGTGGGGCCCACCGCCTCCCCTTAACCCTGGCTTCCTCCCCCCTTTCTTCCATGCCACAAACAACAGCATGTGTTGGGTTCTGGTCCTTAGGCACCAGCGTGGGACTCTGCGGTGACCCCGGGATCCCGGCGCACGGCATCCGTCTGGGGGACAGCTTTGCCCCCGGAAGTCTGATGCGCTTCAGCTGCGAAGCTGGCTACGCGCTCCGCGGATCCTCAGAGCGGACCTGCCAGGCCGACGGCTCGTGGAGCGGGACGCAGCCTGAGTGTGGAGGTAATGTATGTGACCTTCTGCTTTTCCCCTCTGCCCGCCCCTGTGTCCCCACTGCCAGCACCTGCTCTCACACACACACAGAGGACACCCACAGCCCCGTGTGAACCCTCGCCTCGTGGGTAGCAGACACCAACAGATAGTGCCCGTCCATCCTCACTCGTCATCCAAAGACAAACATTTTTGACCCTCACCTAAGAAGGGAAGAAATCGGAATACACTAAGTTTAGCCCATTTACTCATTTATTTCCCGTACAGTCTCATTCAACAACCATGTGTCAAATACCGTCATACGTGCTAGGGACACGAGGTGGCCAAGACAGTCGCACATTGTCCTCCTGGCGCTTACAGTTGAAGGGGAGAGACCATGTGAAACAAGCATGCCAAGTGCCAAAAGAAACAGAAATCCAAATTTTAAAAACCCTCTAAAAGTAATATAAAGTCTTAATGTTGTTTCCTGAGGCAGCCCTGGCGGGGCCAGTTATATTTCTCCACAGGCTCCTACATTTCTGGAAAAACTCGTTCTTTAAACCTCTCCTCCCAGAGTCCAGCTTCTTGCAGCCGCTCTCCCAGCCCCGGTGTCTGTAAAACAGCCCGCACAGCACTCTCCTGGTTAGGAAGCAGTTTAACTGCAGAAATCGGGGTCAACTGAGAAGTGGTTGGAAGAGGAAGGAGACGCTAGGAAATCATCTAGCCAGGGAGGTACGAGGATGGAACAGGGAGTTACCTAACTGCCAGGTAGCGCCCAGGGCTCACTTCAGCGAAGAGGCCATTAATTTAAAGTGAGTGCGGTCAGCATCAGTCTGCATTTTTGCTCAACGACATATTGCTACATAGGTGCAGGCACAGTGTAGGTGAAGCATTAGGTGTAGGGTTGGGGTTTTATTGAGCAGCTAAGACATCAGCGGAAGGGGCGAGGAAGATGAGGGTATATGCAAAGTGGTAGCTGTGATTGATCTTGGCATCTAAGCTGAGTAAGGGGGAGCATGTTCATGAGCGGAGTAAGAGGCGGTGAAAAAATGATAGGATCCATGGATTATACATCCAGCAGGACCAAGAAATGACCAGGAATGAATCCCAGAGGCAGCGAGCTGAAGAGATAAGAGATGGTGGTTGGAGAACAGGCTGTTTGAAGCCGAGATTCTGCAGAGCACAGGGAGGAGTTCTGGCCAAGGTCAGAGGACACCTGCCCAGGGCATGAGGCAGACGGAGCCAGCGCCCTCCCACCTGTCTGCCCAGAGTCCTGCCTTTCTGGGGTGCAAAGTTGGCTTCTGTGGGATTTTTTTCAGACATAGTAAGAAAGGTTTGTGGCAGTCAGAGAGGGGACTGTCAGGGAGAGAATTTAGCATGTTCTCAAATACCCGCTGTGACCCAGGTCCCCTTCTGTGCTGCTCAGATCCCAGGATGGAGCTAGTCAGCATGCCAGGAGCACTCGGGGCACAGGAGGTTAGTGGCTAAGAGACGGGACGTGGCAGTGAATGTGCGTGAGTGTCCACGCAGCCGCAGCACACACAGCTCGCTGGGCCTTCCCCCGCCCTGCAGGGCCCCGCGCACGTTCTTATCTCCGCCCCCACACGATGCGCCCTTACTAGTGCCTTTCTTTCCACCAAGTATAGCACTTACTGTATCACATTTTAGCTCACCTGTTTACAGGTAGTTCTTTAAGACACACTGAGCTCCTCAGGGCAGAGGACATAACTTGCTCATCACCGGGTTCCTCACCGTCGGCAGCGCAAACGCTTGTTGAATAAATGGATGGCAGGGCCTATCTGGTGTGCTGACTGTGGAGGAATCAGCTCGTAGATTTGACTTTGGGGCCACATAAATGTCGTATGTACTTACAAAATAAAATTAAAGATTAGAAGCAAGCAATCTCTAAATATCAAAATCAAAGTGGAAACTAATGGATTTAACTATGTATCAAGTTGGTGAGTTAATAACCCAGAGACTTGAAAAAAAAGAAATCTGACTATGGTGTGTGTGTATATATATATCCCATGGACAAAGAGAACTGCAGTGAAATTTTAAACTGTTTGTAGCAATCATGCTGTTAAGGAATAATGTTGGTGTTACTATTATGTATATAATACCATAATATATGTGGATAAAACAAATTGAAATTCTTTATTGTCATTAAGAATCAAAATTTTCAGCACAAAAGAGATCAAAATTTTCAGCACAAAAGAGATAATATAAAAAGGTTAAAGTTAAGGAAAACTCTTAATCCTAAATGTGAATTGGTAATATAAACTCTTAGTGTATCTTCAGTTTGAAAAGTTATTTTCCCAGCTGTGTCCTCCCTAAAAGTCTAGAATCAGTGAGTACCCTTAACACCAAGACTGCGGTTTCTAAATCCATCCTCCACTGGAAGCAACCAGAGCTCTTTGGAGAAATGGCAAATTCCAGGATGGGAGCAAGAAATATAAACTTGGAACATCTTGTCCCTCCAGCAAGTGAACCAGAGACAAGGGGGGTCATGAAAAGGCCCCCAGTAACCAAAGATGGGATAATCTGAGCATCAGTGAGAGTAATCATGGCAATGGATGGCAGCATAGTAAACAAGTTTAAGTCCATGAGTTCAAATGACCATAAGTCACCTTTGGAGTTTGCTAGGGAACCAACTTACTGTCCTGATGTCTGATTTTAAAAAATAATCAAATTTTATCCAGCCTTCTTGCATGAATTACATTTCAGGGTAAGCAAATATCTGGTGATGGGCATGTTCTTTATTTTTAAATTCTTTTGAATACAGAACTACAGAATTTGAGTATCACCATTTTCTATTCCCTAATAGCATAATGAATCTAGTCAACTGTCATCAATTGCTGCTAAAACTATTAAGTGAGGTCTAGTAGGAACTTTATGATGCCAGAAATCACTGACCAGCCACAACATCAGGAACAAGGAGACACCCAGATATTCTGTGCCTCCTGATGTGACGCAATAGGGAAGGCACAGAACCCGCTGGGAAGCACCCTGGCTGCTATGTGGGCCCTGGCTATTGGAGCCGCAGGGGCAGGGTCACGTGTTGAGTGATGCCCCGTGGGTGCAGTTAGCAAAATCCAGGAAGTGTGACATTCTACCGGACGAATGCCCTGGTTTCTGTGATGGATGGATGGTAGGAGAGGGAGCAGTCTTCTCTGGATTCCAAGAGTCTTGGGGGCATGCCAACCAAATGTCACATGTGGGTCTTATTTGGATCGTGATTCAAACAAATCAACTATAAAAGAGAGAAGGAGAGAAAATTGAGGAAAATTAAGCACGGATTGGATATTTGGAGACATTACAGAATTATTTAAATGTATAGGTGGGATAATAAAACAGATATAGTCCTCACGTTTCAGAAATTAGAAAAAAAAAGTCATACAGGTCTCTTCCCCTCTGAGGGTGACGGTCAGACGTGGCAGCAGCGTGAGAGGCATCTCGACCCAGGGTCCTTCTGTAGCACGCGGTTTCCCCTCTGGGTGGTTCTTGTCCCCGGCGACCCCTGCCCTTATTCCGGTGAATAATGTGCTCTTTCGGCTCCCTAGTGATCTCTTGTGGGAACCCCGGGACTCCGAGCAATGCCCGAGTGGTGTTCAGTGACGGCCTGGTTTTCTCCAGCTCCGTGGTCTATGAGTGTCGGGAAGGCTACTACGCCACAGGCCTGCTCAGCCGGCACTGCTCGGTCAACGGCACCTGGACAGGCAGTGAGCCGGAGTGCACAGGTGAGAGCCCAGGCCCTCTGGGCTCCGTGGCAACTGGTGGCAGAGAGGGTTGGGCTCCTCTCTGTCTAAGACAAAGGCTGTCCACGGGAGACTGGGGAGGCCGGCTGGAGGGGCGGGACTTGCCCCTGAAGGAGATTCATACAAACTGAGCACGTGCTGCGTGACAGCCACCGAGCTAAGTGCTATTTTTTATGTGCTTTATGTCATCCACCCATCGGATGTGGTCGTCTGATACCACAGCCCTATGAAGTAACTACTCTTTGCCCCAGTTGACGTCGTAGGAGATTCCTGAGGCTCAGAGAGGTCGAGATACGTGCAGCTGCTCTTTCTCGGGCTCCGGCCAGTTCCTCCGGCTTTTTTTCTCTTTTAGCACAAACCCCAGTGCTCAGCCTGACCTCTTTGCCGCTCTCTCCTGCACCCATCCCTCCTCACCCCAGCCTGGCTCTTCAGCACCGTGTGGCCCTGCTGCTCCCCTCTCTTGCTTCTCTGAAGAACAGCCCGGACCCTGTATCTGTGGGGCACAGACAGAGGGGAGTGATGAGATAAAGGAATCCGACAACACTCTCCCTTTCTAAGTCCTAGTCTTTGATTTCAGGCTCCATCTAAAATCCCACGTCAAGTTCACTTTCATTCCATGGCCAGAGCTCACCAAGCCCCGCCCTCACTTGATACCATAACCAGGCATGACCATCGCTCAGACCATCGGACCCTGCTGCTGGGCCTGGGGGCCTGCAGAGGCCTCCTGGGCAGAACGACAAGGGGTAGACAATTGTGTGTGTAGTCCATTAGCACATCTGAGGCTCTGCAAGCTGCGAACCTCTCCCTGGGTCCCAGCCTCATTTGGGAGCTGAGCCCTCTGGGCACTTCCTCTCAGAGGGGTGGGCCTTCAATAAGAAGGACAGTCTTCACAGCTCAAGTTTCTGGAGTGCATAAGGATGGTGTGGGCAAGGAGAGCAGGGTGCAGGACCCTCACAGGGAGCTGGGCAGTGCCCACCCAGCAGCCCGTGCGGGGCAAGGCACTCTTGATCTGACAGTTTTTCCTCCTGAGTGTGTACACGGAGTGACGAGGGCAGCCTCAGAATGTCGAGGGCGAGGGGGTGTGGGCTGGCAGTGAACGGTGCCGTGTCTCCCTGTCCTAGTCATAAACTGCGGCGACCCTGGGATTCCGGCCAGTGGCCTCCGGCTGGGCAATGACTTCCGGTACAACAAAACCGTGACATACCAGTGCGTCCCTGGCTACATGATGGAGTCACACAGGGTGTCCGTGCTGAGCTGCACCAAGGACCGGACATGGAATGGTACCAAGCCTGTCTGCAAAGGTGAGTCTGAGGGCGGCAGACCTGGACAGGGGGGCCAAAGAAAATACAGAAGTGGGACTTGGGTCTTGGACATCCCCCAGCGAGGGTAACAAGGCAGAGCCCTGACATCTTAACAGGGGGTGTGTGGGGTGAGGTCCCTGAACATCTGCAAGGAGGGAGTCAGAAGGTACCAAGGCAAGGCTTGGGCTCTGAGCATCAAGGAGAGAGAGAGAGCCATGCAAAGAGGAATGGCTTGTCACACCTGAGAGAGAATGTCTTAATGGCGAAAAGACCAGAGCTCCTCCTGCTCAGCCCAGAGTGCCGCCAGGTGCAGGGTGGCCAGGTGCTGGGCCTGGTCTCCCCAGAAGCGCCAGCACTCAGCCCGCTGTGGTCTCTCCCCAGCCATCATGTGCAAACCGCCACAGCTCATCCCCAACGGGAAGGTGGTGGGGTCCGACTTCAAGTGGGGCTCAAGCGTGACGTACGCCTGCCTGGAGGGGTACCAGCTGTCCCTGCCCGCGGTGCTCACCTGTGAGGGCAACGGATCCTGGACCGGAGAGCTGCCTCAGTGTTTCCGTAAGTTGCTCATGGGGTCTTTAGTGCTTCCTGTCTGCCGGCTCCTTCCCCTTCCCTCCAAGCTTTGCTGCTGGGAGTTCTAGAATAGATACCCCACCCCCAAACCAGGGAGGACCTTTGTCAGCGTTGAAGAAGGAAGGAAGTTTAAAGGGAGAAAATGAGACCATCTTAACTGAGCCCTGGCTGCGGACTTTGTATGGAGTCCCAGTGAAAGAAATTAAGCCAGAGATGAGGGGAGGGTTTCTTAACCCGAAAGGTTGTTAACTGGATCAAGTGGTACCCGAAGGTCAGTGGACCCTTGCGGGGCCCACTGCTGGAAACATGCCCATCTTCATGGAAAATACCCCTCACAGGGAAGACTCCTGGGAACTCATGATATTCTGGTAGTAGTTTATTTCTGGCCTTGTTATGTCCCAAAGAGCCCCAGGTCCATTTCAGGGCTCATTTCTTTTTTCTTTTTTTTAAAGATTTTTTTAATGTATTTTGAGAGAGAAGGGAAGTGAGGGAGAAAGAAAGAGAGAGAAACATCAATGTGTGGTTGCCTCTCGTGCACCCCCAACTGGAGACCTGGCCCACAACCCAGGCATGTGTCCTGACTGGGAATCGAACCAGCAACCATTTGGTTTGCAGTGCAGCACACAATCCACTGAACCACACCAGCCAGGGCTCAGGGCTCATTTCTTACCGAGTGCCCCAGAGAAGCAGGGTCCAGGTCGCTCCTTCTTGTCGTAGCCCATGAATTGGCTCTGGAAGCTTTTCTCAGGGCCTGTGCTTTGCACAAAGGGCAGGACCTTTTTCTCCTCTGTACTTGACACTTGTTTAATGCTGCAAAAACCTATCAACATCCAATTACACTTGTTTGGGTACCGCTGACCGTTTGCTTCCATTTGGGAAATTTCAGCAGAGACAAGGACCAGCAGCTCCAAAGTGGACCCAGGAAAGGCAGCATTTGGTGCGTCGTTAGCCCCTCAGACCTTCCCACACCTTCAGGGCACCGTGAGGGACACAGCAAGTCTCAGGGTTGACCTTGCTTTTCTTCTTGAGTTGCTTGTTAGCAATGAATTACAGTTATCACTGAAAAAAATTGTGTGAGAGCTGCAAATACAAAGAATGTAACACTCTCCTGAATCCCCAGTCCCCAAAGGCACCTCGGTCGTGCCTCCACGCTGGTCACTCAGCAGCTTTGCATTTACAGCAACAGGAAGGCAATTTCCTACCAACGGTATTGAATCCCGCTGTGCATGCTGGTTCCTGGCTTGTGTTTGAGTAGCCAACAACACCTTTCTCTCTTGGTGCATACCCGTCTACACATCGCTTTTAATGGTTTAGAGAATTTCCTTGTTGTAGATGCCACAATCTGTCTAAACTTCTCCTACTGGTGACAAATGTGGATTTCTCTAATTTAATCATGTTAGAAGCAGTTCAGTAAGAAACAACCCTGGAAATAGCATGTCTTTACCTTTGTGATGAAGCCCTAGGAATGCAGGAGTGAGCACGCTGGGCCAACGGGCATGCGCTCCGTGAGTGTGGGTGCACGCGGCCAAACTGTCTTCTAGGAAGAGTGTCCCAGTTTGCACTCCTCCAGCGGTTTGCAAGAATATCTCTTGACTGATATCCTCACTAACAATAGATTTTCCCAATTTTAAAAAATATTACCAGACTAAGGAGTTTTAAAAAGATATCTCATTATTTTCATTGGAAACACATTGCTTACCAGCAGGACTGAGTTGCTCTTTCTCTGTCATCCATGAGTATTTCTCACCTTTTGAGTTGCCTCTTTCTAGATACGGTGGCTTCTGATCAACTCGGCCTTTGAGCGACTTCAGATTGGTCAGGTCCAGACTCCCCAGCTTCAGGGCCCAAGCTTCCGTTTTTATTTGCAAATTATTATAAACCCCATGACTCTGTGTATACACACACATACCCACATCATAGCCTAAAGAATGTTCTTCATGCTCGAAGTGATGTCTTGGGGAACTTCGCCTTCCATAGTCCATTTTTAATGGTCCTCCGAAGATCCAAATGAAATGAGCGCACTGCTTGCACAGCCCCCCGCAGGGTAAACACATGCCCTTTGGAAGGCGGCTGCCAGTCTGTCGACCAACATCAGGAGCCGTGAACACACTCCAGCCGGGACAGAGAAGTCCACTCCTAGAGAACTTCCCCCACGCGAGTAACATGAATGAAAGAAAGGCCGTATGTAACTTATAACAAGGGCCTAATATAAAAGTTATAATAAATTGTAATTATGGTACAATCTCTCACTGCAAAATTATGTACCCAGCAAACGATAATGATGTCAAAAGTGCTTCCCAGATAAGGTAAAATTAAAGGAGTTCATCATCACCAAGCCCTTATTATATAAAATGTTAAAGGGACTTATTTATCTAAGAAAAAGATGATGATCAAAAATATGAACAGTAAAATGACAACAAACTCACAACTATCAACAACTGAACCTAAAAAAAAAACTGCCCTGGCTGGCATAGCTCAGTGGATTGAGCATGGGCTGCGAGCCAAAGCATCGAAGGTTCGATTCCCAGTCAGGTCACATGCCTGGGTTGCAGGCCACAGCCCCCAGCAACTGCACATTGATGTCTCTCTCTCTCTCTCTTTCTCCCTCCCTTCCCTCTCTAAAAATAAATAAATAAAATCTTTAAAAAAACACTGAACAACTAGAACAGAAACAGAATCACAGAAATGGAGATCACATGGAAAATTATCAACAGGGGAGTGGGAGGGGAAGAGAGGGAGGAAAGGTACAGAGAATAAGTAGCATAAATGGTGGGTACAAAATAGACAGGGTGAGGTTAAGGATAGTGTAGGAAATGGAGGAGCCAAAGAACTTACATGCACGACCCATAGACATGAACTAAGCGGGAAGAATGCTGGAGGGAGGGGGGTGCAGGGCGGAGGAGAATAAAGGGGAGAAAAAATGGGACAACTGTAACAGCATAATCAGTAAAATATATTTTCTTTAAAAAATGATAAAGATGTCATAAACCTGGGAAATGTTCACAGAATATTGAGTGAGCAAAACCAAGTCACCAACATTTGGACACCGGGGTTTGCAGCCACGCACAAATTTACCTACCACTGAACAAAGACCAGAAGGGAATGGGAAATAAAAAACAGTTTGGGGTTGTGGCTGATAGTTTATTTCGTTGTCAATGTTCTAAACTCCCTGTAATGTTCATCTATTACTTGGATGACGGTTGGTAAGCATTTTGAATGTGGGAAGTACAGAAACACAGCCACAGCAGTGAGGCGGGCGTTACCACTTACCCTGGGCCGCCCCCCTCTCCAGAGCTCAGGTGGAGCCCAGAGGACAGCCGTACAGAGACCAAGGGCCAGGGTGGGGGTGGGGACCGTGGAATTGCAGCCTGGGTTCTGGAAAGCAACTTGGACCTGCCTTTCTCCCTTGTCTCTCCAGCCGTGTTCTGCGGAGACCCAGGCGTCCCGCCCCGTGGGAGGAGAGAGGACCGCGGCTTCTCCTACAGGTCATCCGTCTCCTTCTCCTGCCAGCCCCCTCTGGTGCTGGTAGGCTCTCCACGCAGGTTCTGCCAGTCAGACGGGACGTGGAGTGGCACCCAGCCCAGCTGCATAGGTGAGAGGTGATCTGGGGCAGTGTCCCAGCTGGGGGCCCAAGATGATGACTTTCCTTCCCTGTGGTCAGTCAGGGGTGTGACGGGGTGGGGAGTGGGGCAGAGAGGGGACATCAAGAGGCAGGGAAACTGGGATGTGGCCCCGTTTTCTTTTCTACACCCATTTCCCGGAGTGAGTGGGGGCAATGAAAGCTCCGGTGACCCTATGGTCTATTTCTTTGTTTTGCATTCCAGACCCAACCCTGACCGTGTGCGCAGACCCTGGCATGCCACAGTTCGGGATACAGAACAGCTCCCAGGGATACCAGGGGTACCAGGTAATGAGGTGGGCCGAGACTGGGCCTCTTGGTCCCCCACCCCTTACGGCCACTGTCAGCCTCAGAAGGCCGGGGCGTCTTCCTTGGAACAGCACTAGTGGAGGACGAGGAAAGGACAGAAGCCAGAGAAAAGCTCTCTGCCTGTTTGAACTGAGCACGGGAGCCCCCTTCATTAAATGGCAAGGGGTTCACAGCAGTCCAAGAAGCTGATGCAAAAGAAAGATCCACGTGTCGCTTCACGAGCACTTCGCAGCAAGCCCATGTAGTTGGGGCGGGGCAAATGAATGAGTGAGACAGACAGACCTTGTGTCCTAAAGGTGCCCACACCCACCGCCAAACACAGGGCTCAGTCAGGATGGTGGGAGGGAGCAATGCCAAATGGGAGACGGGCTCCCGCCCTGTGGGCTTGTCCCAGTAGGACACAGGCTCTGCGGACACAGCTCAGAATGAGCTTCAGGAGAAGGAAGGGATTTGGACAGCCCGGGATGGGGCACTTCGAACAGGAAGCTGGAAGGGGTGGGGGTTCACGGCAGGACTGTTGACTGGAGAAGGGGAAGAGGGGCCTTTCTGGCCGGGGCAAAGGTAGGGGTAGGAGTCGAGTCATGGGAAAGTAGCAACCAAGTGACAGGTATGAAGCATTGCTGGGTGGAAGGTGACAGTGGGACCTTTTATCCTTGGCACAGGTTGGGAGCACAGTGCTCTTCCGCTGTCAGAAAGGTTACCTGCTTCAGGGCTCCACCACCAGGACCTGCCTCCCCAACCTGACCTGGAGCGGAACCCTGCCCGACTGTGTCCGTGAGTGCAGATGTGCCTGCGCCCCAACACTGCACCCCAACACTGCACCCCTGGGCAGCACATGGCGCTGTGCAGCCAGGACACGCTGGGATGCTCTGAGTGACAGGGAGGTCACCCTCCTCACTGGGACCAACATTGGTCTCTGTCATCGGCACTCCTTGGGGACTTGCAGAGAACATTTTCACACAAAAGCCTTTCCAATCTTTGAAGGCAATTCCTATGCCTGAACAAAATAAAAAGAAAGCTCTCTCTGGTGGCTGTGAAAACTAACAACTACCAAAGCCAGCCCTCGGGATGAAAGACTTCAGGTTTTGACCACAATGACTCCCGTGCCCTCAGGTTAAGTGCCCCCGGCTTCGGTTCCCCCAGGGCTGACAAGCCAGTGTCCACGTGGTCTCCATCTTGGCTGTTCCGATAGACATGGGACTGGGATGTGGGGGAGACATAGGCAGGGGATGCTGGACATGAGAGGGGCCCACGGGGAAAGGAAGGCACTGTTCCTTCTGGGGACGGGGAATGGTCGAAAGGCATCCTGAAGACCCTACTCTCCCCAGGTCCAACAATGTCTTTCTTCTCGCCCAGCCCACCACTGCAGGCAGCCAGAGACGCCGACCCATGCCAACGTCGGGGCTCTGGACCTGCCCTCCATGGGCTACACGCTCATCTACTCCTGCCAGGAGGGCTTCTCCCTCAAGGGAGGCTCCGAGCACCGCACCTGCAAAGCAGATGGCAGCTGGACCGGCAAACCGCCCATCTGCCTGGGTGAGCGTGCCCACTGGTGGGCCTCGCCAGGGTGGGAGGCCAGAGGTGACAGCTGAGTCTGAGCGAGGGGAGGCGGGCAAAGGAGGAGGAAGGAATACGACTTCCAGAAGCTGGATCCTGCCTCTGATTTTCTGAGGTGTTGAGTTTCCAGGAGGTAAAGCCAGGACAGTCTAAAGACGCATGTAGTGAAGCCATCCCAAGTTTTGTTTTGCTGCCTTCCACCTGAGCTTAAACACTCTCCCAGGATTATGATGAGTCACCAAACAGAGAAAATCTCTTTGTTTCAGCAAAGCAGAATAATAACACACTGTGCATATTATAACCTTGATAAAACAGTACCTACCCACAGGTCCCTCAGGGTCACCAAGAGTTCACAAACTCCCCTCCCCCTTTTCTGAATTTATTCATTTTCTATTTTTTGATCATTGTTGCTGTGCATACCTGTGCCAGCATGGAGAATTTGGAGGTAAAAGACAGAAAGCCTGCCCTAAAGGACCTCCCGCTTAGCCACAGAAGACAAATGCATTATCAGATGTAACAGTACCTTCAGGAACGTAGAGATGGGCTGGATGCTGCAGGGATGCGATGGAAAGGCACTAATTTGGCCTAAGCGGAGGGGAGGGGAGAAGTCAGGGAAGGCTTCCTGGAGAAGGTGGTCTGGGTCCAGTCTTAAGAGTCCAGCAAGAAAAATGCTCAGTTTGGTACTGGAATGGCAGGGAACTCTTTCTTACAGGTGATGAGCTCACCTTATGCCAGGCATTCCTCTAAGTACTTTGTATGCACTGACTCATTTACTCCTCATCATCATCCTATGAGGCAGGTTCTATTCATACCTCCATTTAGTATATAAATGTAATCTGTAAAGAAACTGAAGCACAGAGAGACTAAGTAACATGCCTGAGGTCACTGGCTGGTAGAGGGAAAGAGCCGAGATTCAAGCCCTGAAGGTCTGAGTTCAGAATATGAGCTCTTAAGTACTTTGTTATTCTTCCTCTCAGAGAGGAGCTTCAAGTTCAGAGGCTTTATCAGAGCTAGAATTTAATAACCATCTTGTATTTTCATCATATGAATTGTTATAAATGTCTTTTATTTGTGGAAAGTAATGATTTTTCCACATATGGTAATAATATAAAGTTTCTCCCTGGCTGATATGGCTCAGTGGATTGAGTGCTGGTCTGCAAACCAAAGGGTGACCAGTTCAGTTCCCAGCAGGGCATGTGCCTAGGTTTGCAACCAGGTCCCCAGCAGAGGGCGCTCAAGAGGCAACCACACATTGATATTTCCCTCTCTCTCTTCCTCCCTTCCCCTCTCTCTAAAAATAAGTAAATAAAATCTTTAAAAAATAATAATAATGGAAGGTTTCATTTTTAGGATACATTTATTTAAGCTTTTCATGTGGTAAAATATACATAATGTAAAATTTACCATTTTAACTATGGTTGGTTGGGAGTTCCCTCCCGATCACATGGCGCTATGCCAGGAGTGGGGTGTATAGCAAGAATGTGTCTCAGCCTTTCCCGCCCATTTCTGTGTGGGTGTTTTCTCAGGCAGCCAGTGGGTAGGAGTCACTCAGCTCCTTTCTCTCAGAGGGAACTAACGCCCAGTGTGGCTGTACGTTCAGTGTGTCCACGGGAGGAGGGAAACTCAGGAGCCTCCTACGTTGTCTTTTTGGTCTGGAGTCCCTTCAGTTGTTCTTTATATATCTAGAATATAAGACCCGTATCAGATACATGATTTATAAAGATTTTCTCCCAGTTTGTGAGTTGTCTTTCTCTTTTCTCTTTTTTAAATTTAATAGTACATTCCCCTTTATTTCATTCATCACCTAAAATGAAACTAGACTGTCACATTTTAAACTCCACTGTTGTCCTGGAGTTTAAATTTTTTTCAGATGTTTTCACAGCCTTACTGAGATATAATTGATGCACATAAACAACATATATTTAATGTACACAATTTTAAAAGTTTTGGTCTTTTCACTTTCATGTTGGTGCCCTTTTAAGCACAAAAGTTTTTAATCTTGACGAATTCCAATTTACATACATTTTCTTTGCTTGCTTTGCTTTCCCTATCATATCTAAGAAACCATTGCCTAATCCAAGGTCATGAGGATTTATACATGTTTTCTTCTGAGAATTTTATAGTTTTAGCTCTTACTTTTAGGTCTTGGATTCATTTTGACTTCTTTTTAATTGTGTTCTTTTGGGGTCCAAGTTCATGTTTTTGCATGTAGCTATTTGGTTGCCCTAGTACCGTCTGCCAAAAAGACAAATCTTCCCTCGTTGAACGGCCTTGGCAGCCTGTCTAAGACCATTTGACTCTGGGTGTGTGCGTTTGTATCTAGTCCCCAGCTCTGTCCCATCCGATTTCTGTGACAGTCTTTATGCCACACAGCCCTGAGTAGTGGAGCTTCGTAAGAAGTTTTCAGTTGGAAAGTATAGGTTTTCCTTTTTGTTCTTTTTCAAGATTGTTTTGGCCATTCGGGGCCCCTTTTGTTTCTACGTGAATTTTAGGGTTAGACCGTCAATCTCTGCAAAGCAAACAGCTGGCGTTTCAGTGGGGACTGTGCTGGGTCTGCAGATTGATTCTGGAATCGTTGCCCTGGGAACCCTGCGAGGTTTCCCACCCACGAGCGTGGGGTGTCTCCCTCCCTTTTATTCAGATCTCTCATTTATTTAAACAGTTGTTTCTCTGTTTCAGTGCACAAGTCTTGAACTTCCTTGTTTACATTTATTTTTAAATATTTTATTCTTTTTGATGCTATCATAGGTACTTATATTTAAAAATACAGTGTGCTATAAATGCAGTTAAATCTCAATTCAGCCCCTTACTGTCTGATCTTGGGCAAGTCCCTTCACCTCTCCGCCTCCTAACGAGTTTTTCTTCTATAAAATGGAGACAGCGATCTCTACAACCTAGTTTTGAGAGGAAGAGTCAATGAAATCACATGAAGAGCCTAGAACAGCACCTCGTACATAAAAGGCTTTCTCCCTCTTTGTTCCCTGAATCTCATATAACCTGAGACAATAAAGGTATTACGTTCAGAAGTGCATCTTCACGGAGCCATTGTGGAAAATTTCTCTGCAGCTTTCTGGATGCCCGAACATAAACTGACCTCCAGAATTGGAGGGATTGTGCTAACACTCTGTGACCTCCCAGTAGGGGCAGTCTGTCCTCACTGGGTGACAAGGCAGATTTTTCTGTTGCTCCTCTGCAAAGGAAGGAAAGACATTAACATTTGCTGACCATGACTTTCCTGGACATAACCTCATTTATCCAGCACAGAGCTGTGAGGTGTATTCTAGCAGAAGGAGACGAAGGCTCTGGTGAATTGACTGGTCAAGGTCGCACAGTCGTTAAGCAGCACTGCTGGAACCTGAACCTGGGCTGTCTGGCTCAGGCCCAAAGCCATGGCCTTACCTTTGCTGGGGAGCGCTGCTCAGCCTTAACGTCCAGTCCAAGGGAGGAAGCACTCCACGGAAGCCCCTCAGGGCTCCAGAAACTTACTTTTCATAAGAGGAAGGTTCTCCCTCGTGCCAGGTATCTGGGAGGAAAGAATCCAGGACAGGGCTTTCCGGCCCTCAGTCAGGGGCACTCAGGGGGGCTGTGCAGTAGGGGGGAGGAAACAGACATCCTTGTTTTCCTCTATGTCTTACTGAAGTGTAGCATGTCCTTTCATTTTGAATGCAGACAAAAACCCACAGTACTGTTAGCAATACTTAGGACATTGTTACCAGTGGAAACTGCCAGTTTTCATATTGTATTACAGCTGTTACTGATATCGTGAAATATTGTTTATGTATAGTAATTACTGAACCCGCTGCTAGATGCTGTCATTTAATATAGTAATAAAGAATTATGTGCAATTACATCCCAATTCCTTGTTTAATGGAACTATGACTGATACGGGAGAGTTCCTTTGTAACTCGCCACATATTTTGTCCTTCTGAGGGAGATTCCCACCATCACAGACCATCAAAGCAGCCTGCCCCGCTCGAAGGGGATAAGTCCAAGCAAGATCTCTAAGAACCACTGACCAGTGTTGGAGAGGTAGACACTGTTTTTCCAACAGAATGTAGGCCACAGGCTGATGCCGTGTTCTCCCATGCTCTTTCCCAGCAGAGGTCCGGCCCAGTGGGAGGCCCATCAACACTGCCCGGGAGCCGCCACTCACCCAAGCCTCAGGTATGTCCAGACCGGCTCTTCGGCTCAAGAAACATGTTGGTCCCTCCACCCAATTACCCGGAATCGTGCACATGAGTTTCCGAGTATCCAACGGAAGGGCACGAAAACTATCTATAGAGCCCGACGGATTTCCCCTCCCACCTCCCAACCCCAGGCTGACTTCGGGAGGAAGTGAGCTTGAAGGAAGCAAAACTCGCATCCAGAAGAAGGATCCACAGTTTTCCAAGAGCACATGCAGAACCTCGAGCGCCGGTGCCATTGATTCCCACACCCCTCCCGGCGCCGGACACACAGACCCGGCGCTGCCCGGGGAGCTTCCTGGGAATGAGCCCACGTCTGAGACAGGATTGGTTCTTTCAAAGTGTAATGGCCAGGACTGGACACGGAACCAACTCCAGGCCTGCCTGGCCACTGCAAAAGTGCTGCACACTATCACATCCTTTTCAACCCCTGTAGTTTTATAAGTGTGTGCATTACACAGGGATACCGTACACTCAGTCGAATCCCAGTTTGGCCATTGATCAGCTATGGCCTCGGGCAAGTGAGCTTCCCTTCCTGAGCTTCAGTTCACCTTTCCACAAACAGGGATTATAACACTTGCCTTAGAGAATTACTATGAGGATAAATAGCAGTTTTAGTAGCTATCACCCCTCAGGTGCGTTCATGTATCTGACACCGTGTGAAACACAATCTGGAACATTAGGTCACGTAACCCCTGCAGTAACTCTGATGAGGCAGGTGGACGGCCTCCATTTACAGAACCACAGGTGAGGAAGTCGAGACTCCTGCATTTGACCAAACAACAGATAAGTTACAGCCGAGAGAGACTCCAGGTGTGTCTGCCGTCATTAGCCCAAGTCCTGTCGGCCACGCGATACCAACGTGCCAGTTTTTTCTCTCCTCCCTTTCCCTGTTCTTCATCTTTTCAACCTCCTTCCTTCTTCTCTTTTCTTCTTTCTCTTTCTCTCTCCTTTCTGTTATAGTCCCCCCACTCTCCCTTTCTGAGGTGTTTTCTCCTTTTTGCTATCCATCTCCTCTCTCTTTCCCTCCTCTCACTCACCCTGGGAGCCAAGACGATCACAAGACGGCCAGAGCACTGTGCTGCCTCCCCCAGGCTAAGGAGGCTGGAAGAACGACCTCGTGACTGAACTGCCATCGGTCATCTGAGGACCTCCGCTCCCCCAGCACACACTAAGTCCCTCTCACGTCTGTTTCTCAATCCCTCTAGTGCCCGGGGATGTTTTTGCCAAGAACTCCCTATGGAAAGGGGCCTATGAGTACCAGGGGAAGAAGCAACCGGCGATGCTCAAAGTGACTGGCTTCCAGGCTGTCCACAGCAAGGTCAACGCCACCATGATTGACCACAGCGGCGTGGAGCTGCACTTGGCTGGTGAGGAGCAGGCCACCTCCGTGCAAGCCAGGGGTGACTAGGGGGGACGGCCACATGCCCTTTGCAAAGACGAGTCTAGTGTCATTACGTTGTCCTGTCGTGGGAGGCTCAGACCTCTCTGGTGGGCAGGGGGGACAGGAAGTGTCTGCGCTTCTTTGTTCACATGGAAAAACACCAGGGACAAAAGGGAAATGGCTGGAAAACAAATATCAGTAACTTGAACATAGGCAGGACTCTGAAAAGCAAAGAGAAAGGAGACTCATATCCCTAAAACTAAACCAGAAATGGGGGCTGAGAACCCCCAAAGCCAAAGCACAGGCAGCCAACAAACAAGAGAAAAATATGTTTCATCAGCAATCAAGAAAACCAAAGTAAACACACACTGTCATTTTCCACTTTTCCCACTAAAATTTTTTTGAAGATTTTATTTCTTTATTTTTAGAGAGAGGGGAAGGGAGGGAGAAGGAGAGGGAGAGAAACATCGATGTGAGAGAGAAGCATCACTTGACTCTGTCACACCCCCCACCAGGGAGCTGGCCTCTAACTCTGTCATTGTGCCCTGACCAGGAATTGAACTGGCGACCTTTTGCTTTGCAGGATGATGCCCAACTCACCGAGCCACACCAGTCAGGGCCCCGCTAAGAGTTTTTGAAGTAATACACTTCAGTATGGTCAGGGTCCAATGATACAGTGCTGGTCAAAGCAGGAAACAGCACAGTTCTAGAAAACAGTTTGGCAATGTGTATCAAGACCCTTGAAAATGATTGGACCCATTAATTAAGAATTTTCATCATAAGAAATAATTATGGATGGAGTCAAACACTCATGAATAAAGGATGTTCACATTACAGGGCTATTCATATTACATAAATGCAAATATCTAAAAATAGAGAAATGGACACATTAATTATAGGATATCTGCTGGATAAAATATGATATCAGTTTTGGAGAAATACATCCACCATCATGCATTTAAAATGCAACTCCAGTTTTAAAAGAAAAAATTACATTTATAAGAAAGGAAACTAGAAGTAATTACACAAAAATGTTAACAGTGGGCATTTCTCAGTGGTGAGATCAAGAGTGATTTTTTCCCTTCATGCATCCCTGCATCTTCCAAAAGCCCCTCCGTTCCTGATGCATCTGTAATCAGAGAAACTAAGTGCCATAGAAAGAAGTGTTTACTGGCCAGATGGATGAGTGCATGAGTGGAGGAAGGCTCACATTCTCACACAACCCCACGTACACTCGCATCCATTTATTCACGCGCGCACACAAGCACAAGTGAATGTGCACCTCCACACTTTTGTCTGAGAGAGCCCTAAACACACTCACGTGCTCCTGGATACATTGCTCATGCATTCCTGCACACACTGCATCGCAGGCACACCACGGACTACCTGACGCACTCACACGTACAAAACCATATTCACTTTATTCTCACACGTGCGTGTGTAAACCGGGTCACAGCCACAGGCCAGCAACCCACTGTGTGTTAACACGCATGTGCCTCTGGCACGCGCTCACAGTCAGTCAGCCTTCACAGACCCCCCCAGCTCTGCACCTCCCTGCACGCCGTTGGTTATGCGTGGGGTGCTTACATCAGCACCCACCCCTGCAGTCCCCCTCAGCTGCCCACCCCCGTCTGCCCACAAACTTAGGTGGTAAAATTTCCCCAGGTCTTTCAAGCATACCCTCTGAACTTTCTTTTCCCAGGAATTTACAAGAAAGAAGATTTCCATCTCCTACTCCAGGTTTACCAAATTACAGGGCCGGTGGAGATCTTTGTGAATAAGTTCAGAGACGATCACTGGGCCCTGGATGGGCACGTAAGTTCAGCAGGGCACACTCAGTCCTTGAACTCCCCGTGCCCTTGGCCCATCCCGACTCCCAGATCACTGGCAAGGAAGAGGAGGGGAGGGGGCGGAAACTCCTTGGATCCACATGGATGCTTGGGAGGAGGTTTTCGTAGGGTCAGAACTGGGTTAGCAAGGGAGTCCTCACCTGCTGGAGAAGTGGGCAAGGAAAAGATAAAACGGGCCAGGAGGCTGCGAGTGCAGAGGGTCGGCGCATCTGAGCAGGATGGGGTGGGTTCCCATGTTAGAGCCAAAGGCAAGGCATCGGAGGTCAGCAGTGCACGTTTGAATCCAAGCAAGCTGAAGGTCATGGTGTGGTGGTGGGAGCCAGAGAAGATGGAGAGTCCCAGGCGACTACCTGGAACGTGCACTCACGTTTAAGGATGCGGACTGTGGCTGATGCGGCGTAGCTCGGGAGGCTGAAACAGAGGAGAAGGGGCACCACTTCCTCGCGTTCCCTTGGGGAAAAGTCGTGTTACATTCTAGGGCATTCTTGAGATGGAAGCCGGGTCCCCAGGGGCGCTCCTCTGCCCAAACCTTCCAATTCATGGGCAGCGGAGTTGAGCAGTGTCACCTGTCACATCCTCAGCTTCCCTGTCTTGGCTTGTTGAGGCCAGAAGAAGAAGAGTGGAGAGGAGGGAGGGGTCCTGGTGCCCGGAGGAGCAGAGAGCTGAGGAGCCAGGGCACACCCCGCTGCCCAGACAGGACTAGCTGGTGGAGGACTGTGGCTCTAGTGACTGTGCTTTGTGAGCGCAGAAGGGGAAGCAAGAGGCCTCTCCAGGGGCGGGCACAGAACGTTCGTTCCCTGGTGTGCTCGAGCGTATCCTGTGGACCCCCTTGGCAGGCCATGCCTGGCTGGCTTCCCTAGTTGCAGTCCAGCAGCCTGCCAGGGCAGCAGGCCACCATGCTGGGGGGGTTGCCAGAGGTGAGAGGATGAGGAACAGCTTTGGGAGGGGAAGCCAGGCATGCAGGCCAAGGTCCAGACACAAATGGGGCTCTGGAGGGCCCAGAGCAGCTGGAGCTCTGCCTGGGGTGACAGCCAACCATCGGGCCAGCGCTTTTTTGAGGGGACAGGTGAGGAGGTCAACCCAGGGCACCCCAGACAGAAGGCTCCACCCTGGGGAGGAGCCTGAGCTGACGGGGACAGCAGGAGCACCGATGCTGTGGGGCACGTCCGGGGCCAGCATGGCTGAGTCTCTGAGCCCGTTACGCAAGCATCGTGGAGGCAATGGCTGAGGGAGCAAGAAGGAGTTATGTCCCCAATTACCACCCCCCACAAAAGAATTACAGCCAATGGAACTGGGAGGAACTCTCCAAAGTGCATTCAATCCGCTAGGTCTGTGTTAGTCGCGGTTCGGCTCGTTCCGCGGCGCTCTAAAAGGCAGTGTTTCATGGCAGCAATGATAGCTAACGCTTCTCCAGGGCCTGTTAAGTGCTGTAAGTGCTTCATCTGTACATATTAATTCATTTAATCTTCTCAACCACCCTAAGACTTAGATACTGTTATCATTCTGGTTTTACAGACGAGAAACTGAAGCCCAGACAGACTGAAGGATTTGACCAGTGGGAAATAAAAACGTCTCCCCACCTCCTACAAGCAGTCGGGGTGGGGGGTGAGGGGCCTGCCTCTCCCCAAGCTGGGCAGTTAGGCTCCGCCCCTTCCTGGGGGTGGGCGGAGCTGCAGTCTTCGGGCCGCCACAGTGGGCTGGAGGGTGAAACCAGCGGGTCTGGCCTGGCTGGCAGGACTCGCATCTCCATCCTCTCTCTGCTCCCCACCTCCCCAGGTCTCCTCAGAGTCTTCTGGAGGCACCTTCATCTACCAAGGCTCCGTCAAGGGCCATGGCTTTGGGCAGTTCGGCTTTCAAAGACTTGGTAACTAGCGTTTGTCCCCTGGAAGCATGAGCTCATGGGTGTGGAGGAGAAACGTGTTTATTGGGGTAGAGGGTAGGGGCTTGGTGAACATCAACAGCCTCGGACAGGTTCTTAACCATTTTCAGATCAGGGATGCCCTTGAAATTCTGATAAAAGTTACAGAATGTCTCTCCGGAAATAAGCACAATGCTCAGTACACTCAGCCTTTGCCAGTTTCACGCTCAGCCTTTGAGCTGAGAGGCCCCTGCTCCAGGGACATTGGGTCTCAGATACAGCCCCCTGCAGTACTATCTGGCATCGCCCGGACATCCCGAAGCATTGAGACACGGTGCTCTTTATCCGTATTGCGATCTCCTCCCTGTATGTCCCAGGGGTTGGCATCGCCATCCTCGACTTGCAGAAGAGAAAGCTGAGTATCCAGGAGGCTTCCCCCCTTGCTCTCCCATCATTTTACCCTGCACGCTCCACACCGTCAGTGTCCAGCATCCTCACTCCAGAGATTGGCCTTGACCTGGAGCCTCTGGGTGCCGAGCCTGGAGCTGTAATGGAGGGAAGGGTCCTGGCTTCTTGGGAGGAGTGCAAGGGGAGACATGAAGCCCTTAAAGGGGTGCTCTAGAGCCAGCTCTGGGCCCCCCGGGTGCTGACACCACCAGTCTCCAGCGCCCCCTGCTGGCCAAGGCAGTCATTGCATGTTCTCACAGTTCTGACCAGAAAGCTTCTTGTCTCAGGTGGAAATCTGCTTCCGTGATGTGCCCACTCCAGCCTGCCCCTGCCCCAGACCGGTTCTTAGCTCTGCCCTGTGAGCTGCCTGGAGTAAGACCCTCTCTCTTCCGTGCAGCAGCCCTTCAAACACCTGGCCCCCCTGCCTACAACACTGGCTAGAACTCAGCACACCGGGGTGCTTGCTCTGGCTTCACAGCTGACTCCCTGTCTCCTGAGAAGGGCCTGCACCTCTCAGAGCCTCACCCCCTCGGTTAGGTGGGACACTTAGCAGGGGTATAGGTGCCCCAGAGTGTTCTTCTGAGCCCCAGACTTGTGGGGGCAGGGGCGGGTGAAGGAGGGGAGACCCTCCAGAGACAGAAACTGGAGTGCGCCCTCTCCCACGTCCACCAGAGCAGGCCCACGTGCATCCATGTCATATTTTGGCTGCCTTGTAAGGTTCCATCTGATAAAAATCTTCTATGGCCCAAAGAAGTTTCAAAACTTGTAAAGGGCTATGCCCTTTTAAGATTTTATTCCGTGACATAGTTTTGGGTTATTGAGGAGATTCGCTTCACCAGGACTAAGCTCTTTCTCTGCATACGATCTGATCAGTGCCCGTGGGCCCCTTCTCCCGGGGAAGGCTTCGGTGTGTGGAAGGCAGGCTGGTGGGCCTCTCCCAGTCGAGCTGGAGGAGGTGACAGCCCAAGCCGCAGCCGCACTTCCCAATAGTGACCGCTAGGGGCCGCACTCTCAAACTGTGTCTCACTCGAGGTTTATGCTTTGGAACTTGCAGACCTCAGGCTGCTGGAGTCAGACCCTGAGTCCATCGGCCGCCACTTTGCTTCCAACAGCAGCTCGGTGGCAGCCGCAATCCTGGTGCCTTTCATTGCCCTCATCATCGCAGGCTTCGTGCTCTATCTCTACAAACACAGGTAAGTGAAAGAACAAGGCATGGGGCTGGGAGGGGAACAAGGCAGTGCCAGGCCCTACCCCTGACCCAGCCCACCCAGAGCTCAGGAGAGCTGTAACCTTCCGAAGCCTCCCTCCCCTCCCAGCTGCCGCCCTCTCCCTCTCGGCCCTTCTGTTTCTCCTCTTATGTCCTGGTCACTCTCTTATTCCCAGGAGAAGACCCAAAGTTCCATTCAATGGCTATGCTGGCCACGAGAACACAAATGTTCGGGCCACCTTTGAGAACCCCATGTACGACCGCAACATCCAGCCCACAGACATCATGGCCACCGAGGCGGAGTTCACAGTCAGCACGGTGTGCACGGCGGTATAGCCCCGAGGCCCGGCTGCCCCTGCCACCGCCACCGAGAGCCCCGCCTCCAACCACCGGTGAGAGGGGCTGGGGGCAGACACGTACCTGTGTGCGCACGCTTTAACATCTATCCTAAACAAGTATTTAATGAAGGAGGGGCGATTACTCCAGTGGGATCGTTTCAACAGGCCAGAATCGTTCTGAGGTTCCATCTTTAAGCTCCGGCTTGACTTTGCTCACTCAGCGCTCTGACACATGGAAGGCAGAAAAGAAAAGTAAAATCCCTGATGATATCAGTCAGGCCTTACAGGTGATCAGTGATGACTCCGCACGCTTAGCTGAAGGATTCTTGAACAGGAAAGGAGAAAAATAATAACCTCCTATACCTGCACACGCCCCCGCCCCCGCTCCACATCTGGGCTTCCTCGGGGTCTCAGGTGCCTGGGTGCCATCGGGGTCACCTGGGGGGTTGGCTCCCAGGCCAGGCAGCCCTCAGCGCTGCGCCTCACCAGCATCCTGCCCCAGAACATTCCGCGGGCCTGCTCAGCACTGGGACAGAGAAGGTGCCACTTGGTGATTCAGGGATGGGTGCCTGACACAGACACACGTCTGTTTAAAATGAATGACGACGAGGTCATACATTCAAGTGTCGCCAAGCCAGCACCGCTGGAGTTGAAATAAAAAGCCCCACACAGGGAGTCGCTGAGGCCTGCGGGGTCGGTGAGTTCAGGGCAGCAGGGCAGGCAGGGCTGGGCGAGGACGTCCAGGGACGGATTCCTCCATTAAGAAGAGCATCTGCAAAAAATGATACTTTATCACTGTTACAAAGATGGATGTGATCTAAGCAGGATTCATTATTACATAGTCGTTAGTATTGTAATTCATTTTTCCTTCTGATTTTGAAAGAAACTAAAATGAAGACATTTTCCTGGGCCCCTAAAAGCATGGTAGCCACTAGGCCATGGGTCTCCTGTGCCAAATGGGTAGGTCAGCCCCACCCGGTAAAGACAACCGTGGGGAAATACATGTTCTGCTGTGCACCCACACCCCACCCTCAGCTTAGGAAGATTAAAAATCAAAGATAAGGATCAAGGCAACTCATTTCCTTTCACTGTCTCCCCTTCATTCCTCCTTGGATTTGCTCTTGCTTTCTTTTGTTCCCCTCCCCCCCCCCACCCACCCAGTGCCTCTCTGGTTTGACAGACTCTGGTGTGATCTGTTTGTTCCCAGTTCTCCAGGGGACAGGAAGGAGCTCCCCTGAGCACAGTGCCCAGTGCCCGTCATCGTCCGTCCCTCCGCCCACCTGTGTCTGCTCCCGCTGGGACTTGGGCCCTCGCCCTGCCGCCCTCTGCACCCGCCAGCCTGGAGAGGACTCCCCTCGTGCCCTGCCGGGGGCAGTAAAGGAAAAGGGGCTGAGACGGAGGAAGGAAGCTTATGGATTTCACACAGCAGAGCAGCTTGTGGACGTGCGCGTGTGTATGGGCCTGAGTGTGCTCGTGCAGGTGCACACCCACCCACCTCCTTCATTTGTGTCTATGGGAGAGACCTCAGAAGCTTCAAAAAGAGCAACGGTGTGAAAGATGGCTCGTGCCCTGCTCCCCGCAAACACAAAGAAGTGGAAAGGAGAAGGCACCGGCAGCACTGAGACCAACACGCCCGCCCCGTCTGTCAGAGCTCAGTGACTGTGCTGCCTGCACGCGGCACAGCGGGCCGCGCGCAGAGACCAGCCGGCCGCGGTGAATGGCCCCGCCGCAGAGTGACGGCCAGGATTCCCCCAGGGGCAGAAAAACAGCTTAAGAAATAGTTTGGAAATCAGCCTATTTTTTCCAACATCATTTTATTGTATTCTGACCCCAGTGAATTAAAAAGTCATTCTGGTATCTGGGCCCTGCTGGAAAAGAAAGGCAGGGGATCTGGCCAGAGCCCAAGGTCAGGTCTGGCTGTCAATTGACAAAAAAGAGAAACAAGTCTGTGGCCCGGACGGGTGCCAAGTCTGCAGGCGTGGGGGGAGGGGCCGAAAGGGAGTGGGCAATGAGCCTGGCCCGGTGGCCAAAGCAGTAATGGCTACATTAATGTTTCTACTCTGTGCCTGACACTTGAAATATCTCATTCCTAGGCCTACAACAACCCAAAACATAAGAGTGATTATTCCCCTCTTATAGATGAGAAAATGGAAGCCCAGAAAGGTAGAGGTGTAAGCCACAGTAAAGCGTGCAGCCAGGATGCAAACCCAGATGGCTCCGGCGCCAAAGCCCACTACACTGGCTGCCAGGAGCCCAGGTCTGGAAGGGGCACCAAAGACAGGGAGCAGTAGGCGAGTGTCTGTAGCAGAACCATGGCCAGTGCTAATGGGCCAGCAGGGAGCCCGTGTGTCCTCTCGGGGTTCTGTTCTCTCCGCTCGGGCAACATCAGGGCAAGGACCCACCCCAGCCTCCTGGAGCTGCTCCCAGCAGCCCCTTGCCACAGCAGACAGAGGACCTGGGCGCTCCTGAAGCACAGGGATGGAGTGGCTGAAAACCGCATTCTCCCCAGCTCCTTGCCAGTGCATTTGATTTATTTTGAGTTTCATTGTGCCTGGATTGTTAATGAATTCCAGACAAGCATTGTTAGGAATCTAATGAGTTCAGGAATCAAACTGACATTTAGAGCCACTTTCTCTGTCCTTGGGAAGGTCCCCATGGGCTTAAGCATGTGGGCATGTGTGACATGCTGGTCTCAGATGTTCGTATCAGTTTGAAGTCACCAATAGAAACGTATGGGAGTGGCCTGGCAGGCACACCTGGTTCTTTAGCAATTCTGGGTTGAAACAATGAAAAATCTGACCAACATAAAGATTGGCTACAGTAAAATGAGAAGTGAATTTCCAGCCGACGACTGGGACCCACACCGTCTGGGTCCCAGCATCCCTGGGCTTGGCGGGAGAGGACCGGTCCAGACAAACGCACTCACACGCCCACCTCCCTTCCCCTGGAAACAAGTGCAGGAAGCTCTTTGGCTGCTCCCTTTCCCCTTCTTACACTCCTCTCAGACCTGCTTCCTCCAGCCCTGCCTCTGCCCCCCTCCTGGGTCACCTCGTGAAGTCCCAGGCGATGCACAGGAGCAGCTGCTGGTGAGGTGCCCCGCCCACCTCTGGCACTTTTCTCTGCCCCCAGAGGCTCGGAAGGGACCAGGGCAGACAAGACCCTTCACCCAACATTCATACTGCATACCCCTCACCATCCCATGGGGGAAAAAAAAGTAAACAAAAAAAAACAAAAAAAATCTTTTGTACAGAGATATATTTTTATTATACAAAGTTTGTACAGTACCAAAAAATGAAAGAAAAAAGGTGTAAATTTTTTTTCATTATTGTAGGTAAAGAGTAGTGGAAGCCTTTTTTGTAAATGTAATAAAATGTATAAATATGGTTTTCAGAAAACACCAAGTGCTGTAAATATGTAACTACACCCCTTGGCTTGTCTGCAGTATATACATTTAATTTATCTGTCTCTGTATATGAGGCTCCCCCCTGGGGTCCTGCATTATGGTACTTTCCTGAATTTGAAAGCAATTTTAAATTTTTTGAATTCAAATAAAATATAAATTTTTGCATTTGTTTTCTTATATGTATGTGTCTTTTTTTATGGCTAGGGACGAGTGTTTGTTGGGGAAGGGGTGGAAAGAGATGTTTGGGACTGAAAGCCAACTGTGGAAATCTCTTTGTTAAACTGCTCTGTGCTGCCTCTGTGATGTGTTGGGCACTCCTGGCAGAAATGACAGTGGATTCACTGTAGACAAAAACTAACTCAAAATGGGTCAAATACCTAAACGTGTCAAGCTCTGAAATCAATCAAGCTCTCCCCCCCACCCCGATTCACAATCAGAATTGCAAGGATAACAGAATCTAAAAGGGAAAGAGCTACCTATATCCCACTTAACATGGATAAAGAGTCGAAGTGTGTTAGCAAAGTTTAACCTTGAGCTACAAAGTCTGGGTGTTACCTGAAGGGAACGGAAGGAGGGAGGCAGGGAGAGAGTCTCCATGAAGGGCCCCCTCCCCTTCTCGCTGTCTCAGGCACAAAGTGTACAGGCTCTGCTCCCGAAATGGGAGGCAAGCAAGAAGAGCCAGGAAAGGTTCAGCCCTCTGGGTACGCCTTCCTTTCTTTCGTCCCTGACCATCCTCGAGTTGTTTGGGTCCCAGATGACTCAGATCTCCCAGCACAGAGATCCTGCGGGGGCATATCAGAGCAGATGTGTGGCGGTCAGCAGACCAAAGAGCCACCGGCTACAGGCAAAAAGCCATGACGCTTGGATTATGGACATCAGCCACGTCTGAAGAGCCAAGAGAACAGGGAAAGGCAGGTGGCAATGGGACAGCGGGGGGAGGGGGCCATCCTCGCTGGCAGCCTCCCCGGGGCTCACTGACTTGCCATCTTTCCTCCATGGTCTTGGTGTAACCAGGAAGATGCCAGAGGATCCAAAACAAGTTTGTTTGGTGTTGGTTTTTTTTTTGGCAGTTTAATCAGTGTAATTTAATTATCAGTTCACATCATCCCAAAATAGGATTTGACTAGCTTTAAGAGATGTGCACATTACAGGAAAATAAGGGAGAAAGAAGTGAGAAGAAAGCCAAATAAACTGAGGCCTGGGATCGGAGCACAAACTGCAAACCGCGCAAGCCTCATCTGCTTTTAGAATTGGACCTCAATCTCTGGGCCCCCTGGTGGCCAGAATTTAATCCAGTTTAATTCCGTGGTCAGAAGCCAAAATCAGTCCCAAATATCTGCCTTCCCTATGTTTTCTCCTCCCCCCAGCATTTCGTGTGTGTGTGTGTGTGTGTGTGTGTGTGTGTGTGCGTGTGTGTGTGCGTGTGTGTGTGTGTGTGTGTGCGCGCGCGCGCGCGCTCCAGCCCAGCCGGCCTCACCCCTGCGTTCAGTTTCTAGGAAACCAGGAGTGGGGCGGGGTTAGGGACCTCAGTCACACCTGGTCGTGAATGAGGCGCTCTCCTGCCCTGATCCCCAGGGACAATTCGCAGGGAGAAAGCTTCTCACAACGGACTCCAGGACACCGCCTTGCCCACCTCCTGCTGGTCCCCGCTGCCTCTAACCCGCAGAAACCGCTCTGGCCCGTGAATTCCCCAGACATGGAAGCTAGGCCTCGTTCTACGCGGAGGGAGGGAGAAGAGGCCTTTCGCTCTGCATCGCACGTCACCGGGCACCAAAGCAGGGCTCCGGAGCCCAAGTGTCGGGAGAGGGCTGTGACCACGGCTCTGTCAGCCCTGCCTGTGGCTCCCGGCTCTGTGGTCTCCGATGAACCACAGTGCGCGTGCAGAACCGGAACCAGAACCAGCACCAGCACCAGCCTGGAAGACAGACTTGTTTTCTCACTCTTCCTTCCCATGGCCTCACCCTCCAGCTGTTTGCTCCCCATGAACGTGTCAAAACAAATGTGACTTGAGGGCTGCGTGTGTCCTAACGGCAGACAGGATCAGAATGGTCTTCGCAGGCAAAGAGAACCGCGGAGCGGCCCTGGTGCGAAGATGGACGTCTATGTGGACCCCTGCTTCACTTGCACAGCAGGTTCTGGCAAAACCTTTCACCGGGCTCTGCCCTTGGCTGTTCTGATGCTCTTGACGTAACCAAGTGACTCGGAAAAAAGCTGCTAGCTCGGCCTTGAGAAATGGGAGGCCTGACCGCACACTGAGGAGGGGGCCTCTTAAGCTCTCTGCCTGCTCCCCCAAGCAGCACAGGAAGGGGTCACTGGGGCACAGGCTCCTGCAAGAGCTCCTGACCGGGACCAGGTGGAAGATGCACCGGAAGGAGATGAGAGGTCATCACTTGGCCGAAGCTCGAGGTGGTGGGAGGGATGGGGTGGTGAGGAAGAGCATGCCTCTACCCCCAGCAGAAGTGTCCGACCTGCAACCTGTGAGCTGCATGTGGCCCAGGATGGCTGTGAATGCAGCCCAACACAAAATTGTAAATTTATTTAAAATGTTATGAGATTTTTTTGTGATTGCATGTCACAGTGTATTTACTATGTGGCCCAAGACAGCTCATCTTCTCCCAGTGTGGCCCAGAGATGCCAAAAGGTTGGACACCCCTGCACCCAGAATGTGCATTTGGAGGCAACTCCAGATTTGCCTAAAATCAGAGTGGGGGGAGCGATGCCATGGGCATGGCAGTGGTGGTACAGGTGGTGGGGGTGCAAACAGCCAGGAGCTGTGTGGGAGACTGTCGCCCCAGGCTCCGGGGCCCAGCTGGAACCCCACCTCTCCTGCCAAGCTTCCCTGGCCTCCCACTAAATGCAGCACCGACCTCCAGCAGCAGACTGGCAGGCGCTTCGGACTGGCATTTGCTACCAAGAGGACGGGGACTCAGGGAGGTCCAAAGAGGATGGGGTCAAAAGTGAGGTAAGTGGATGTTTCACAGGACTCAGCCTGCCTGTAGGTGCCACCTCCATTCAGAAGCCTTTCCCAGGCAGCTGGACAGCCGCAGCCTTGATTGGAAAATACCTTTATCAGGGAGCAGTGTATCTGAGGGTCAAGGTCTGAGATGAGTCTGACCCTGGATGTGTAAGGCTCCCTGGGCTATATGAGCAATGTTTGTGAGTTGCGTGAAAATTTGCTGGACGATGGCCAAAGCAGCCGAAGATGCCGAAGATGGCAGTAGGTGGACGTGGCGCCTGCAGGGGCCCAGGAGTCACCTAAGTAGGGCTGGCCGGCAGGTGACCGGGCTGCTAAGGGGGGCGTCCAGGGCAGGAGACAGGCCTGGAGGTCATCAGCACCCACACAGCAGTAAACACACACACGGGACGGAGTGAATGGAGTGATGGAGAAACACGGCTGCAACAGAAGTCTGGAGCACAGAGACGCAGGGCAGCCTGGGTAACGTGAGACCGCCCCCAATACCCACAGCCCCTCTGGCATCGCTGCCTTCAGGACTCCAGGAACTCTGCACCCTGTTCCCAAGGGGACACTCTCTACAAAGTGACTAACCTTTTCTGAGGCCTGACGGCAGAGAGCTATTCCCATGGGGCGGGGCGGGGGGAGAGGGCCAGAACAGAATGGGACAGGGAGAACCCAGGGACCCAGACTACTGTGTTTCCCAGCACGGAGGGGCTCCGGTTGCCTTGCATGCCTTCAGGCAGGGGGGTATGGCAGACAATGAGGCTGAGGCACCCCAGCAGCTGGGGCCACAGCTGAAGAAAAACCGGGTGTCTGTCTAAAGCACCTTTCCCCGCCCTCCCACTGGGTCCGCTGCCTGCAGAGGAGTCTGTGGGGTGGGCCCTTCCACAGGGTGCCTTTTGGTTCCTCGGAGGAGCCGATGTCCTTCTCGGGGTGGAGGGCCGGCGCTGAGTAAGGGGATGAGGCCCACAGGGCACACCCTCCCAGGGCGGCGGTCACCACCACACACTGCCATGACCAGGTCTGGCCTGTGGCCACGCAGCCGAGAAAGTGCCCACGCACTCTGCATCTGGAGTCCACGTCCCACGAGCAGATGCACACTGACAAAGCTCAGGGTGTGCTAAACCAGATACCAGTTCATTCAAGCAGCAGAGGCCGGCTGGAGGGGGGCCCTGGCAAAGGGATGGGCCCCGAACACGGAAGCCACCTGAGAGACTCCTTCCAAAGGCAGGCAGGTACGCAGGGAGGGCCCACGCTGCCCTCACTTTCACGGCTGAACCCACAATTAAGACTTCCGTGAAAGGAGGTAGGTGAGAAACATCAAAACCGTCTCCTGGAAACTTGAGAGGCCGGCACACTCCCAAGGCAGGGGAACAGCGACAGTCGGGGGGCAGGGGCGACCCTCTTCTCCACAGAGCTCAGCGTGGCCTCCACAGTAAAGGCTCCAAGGACGCGGGGTTACCCTGAGAACTGGGGTGTCAGCAGCAATGGACGCGGGGTCCAAAAGGCGACAGGGGTGCAGGAGGTGGCAGCAGGGAAGAGCGCTCTCCATCTCCTGGGGGGGCACCTTCCTCTCCATCTGGTGCTCCTCAAGTTCTGTCCCAGCCCCCTGGCCCCATTTCTGTGACTGCGCACACCCCCTTTGTCACGAGTCTGACTCCACACACACCAGGTAGCCCCTACCCTCCCCCCGGCTTCGGGCCCAGGTAAACAAAGGCCGACTGCACGGATGTCCCCTGGGCCCCCCAGTACAAAGTGTCACAAACCGGACTTACCATCTCCTGCCCCATCTCTCTCCCCTCTGAATGTCATATTCCCAACTCTGAATGTCATGCTCGACGCTGTCCCCAAGGCCTTCTAGCGTCCCTTTGCTGCCGGCTCTGCCTTGGGAACCGCTGGAACCTATCCCCTCTCAAACCCAGCCCCTCCCTGGTTCAGACCCCCCCCCCCAAAGCTGGAATACCGCACTGCCGTCCCCATAGAGCGTCCTGACTGCAGCACACCCCAGCCCCCTTCAGCTGGCAGGTTCTGACGTCACGCTGACCACATCGCCCTCAGCCTGGTGTCCGAGCTCGGCTCCAACATGAAGTCCTCTGGGACCCTGACCCAGCACCCCCTCCACTTCCCCTCCTCCCATCTACACCGCAGTGGTGCTAAGAACTCCCGTTCCCACTCTCATCACCTTGAATCTATGGCATTTCACACCACTGTGCTTTCCCTGGAACGCCCACCCCCTCCTTCGGGACCTTCCTTTTAGCCCACGCGGCTGGTTCCCCCTTTGGCGCTGTTACTGCAGCTTCTGACATCTGCTGGTTCCAATCCCAGGCTCACCCACGACCCCTGCCCTCAGCGACAACGTGAGCTGAGAAAGGTAGGCCAGGAAGCAGCTGATGGACCGTGATCCCAGGATACCCGGTTCCCGGGAAGCTGAGGATGGGGTAGAGGGGTGGTCTCCACAGAACGGGAGAGCAAATCTCTCCCATGACTTCCTCTCATGGGAACCGAGAGGAACCCTCAAAGTCCCCTCGTCCAGGTTCCATCACACCCACTGTCTGATGGGTCCTTCCCAAGTCCATGAGGTAACCAGGGCATGAATGGCACACTGGTGTCACAGGCACATGGATGTCAGGAGAGGGACTTTCCTTTAAAATCCAGTGGAAACCAAAGTCCTTGGTCCACATATCTAAACCCTCCTAAGGAGAAACCCCAGAGGCCAAAATGCTGTGAAGCAGAAAACCATCCCATGTGAGTGCACCTTTCAGGTTCCGCCTGTCCGGGTGGCAGGCTGGCCCTACCGGCCAGCATCTCAAAAGCATGGGGTAGGCCTGGGAAGGGCGGTACCCACTGCCCCCACCTCCCTCCCGCCTCTGTCCAGCCTGGCAGTCAGAAACAAAGCTTCCGCCGTGCCAAGAGGGAAAGGGCCAGGAGACAGAGACACAGACAGGGAAGAGTGAGCACGGGTGAGGAAGGCTGTTTCTGTAAGGACTAACTTAACGCCAGTTCCCCGTCCTGCCCCTCTCACTGGAGTCCCCTTCTCCTCGGAGGACACGCCCCACCAAACACCGCCAGGCGGAACGTGCTGTGGGCCGCATGTGCTGATTGGATGCGCGTGCGTGTGGGCGGGGCGAAGGCACAAGGAGGTTTGGAGTCACCGCTCAGCACCACTGACTGCCTGTGACCCCTCCGTGATCCGCTTGGCTCAAACGCGGATAAAGCCCTTACACAGCAGCAAGTGTGAGGACGGCCTGAGGACTGAGTGTAAATTTTTTACAGGAGAACAAATTACACTTAAGAAAAGTGCCTTCAAGTCTGGATCCTTAGCATTTGTAATTCGCTTCCAAATTACCTGGATTATATCAAGATAACTTCCCTGGGTATACACACAGCTTAGGAATTGGGCATGTTTCCTTCTACCATACATCTCATAATCTGGGGAGACTCAAATACACATTCATCTCTTTTGTCTCAGGGGACGCTGTCCCCTACGACGCCTTCCCTCCTGCATGGGTTCTCCGGTGGGCACTGAAGTGGGAGCTGTTGTTGAAGTCTTTGCCGCACTCCAGGCACTTGTAGGGTTTCTCCCCGGTGTGGATTCTCTGGTGAATGATGAGACTGGAGCTCTGGTTGAAGCACTTCCCACACTCTCTGCACCTGTAAGGCTTCTCGCCCGTGTGAATCCTCTGGTGAGTAATGAGATTAGAACGGTCACGAAAGAACTTCCCACACTCGAGGCACTCGTAGGGCTTCTCCCCCGTGTGCACTCGCCGGTGCGTGATGAGCTTGGAGCGCTCACTGAAGCACTTCCCGCAGTCCGCGCACTCGTACGGCTTCTCCCCGGTGTGGGTCCGCTGGTGGTTGGCCAGTGTGGAGCTCTTGCTGAAGCTTTTCCCACACTCCGCACATTCGTATGGTTTCTCTCCCGTGTGGATTCTTTGGTGACTGATGAGGGCAGAGCTCTTGGAGAAGGTTCTTCCACATTCAGAACACTGATAAAGTTTCTCCCCTGAGTTGGTGCTGTGCAGCCCAGGAGAGTTCAAGTTCTTCTTGGCACCTGGAGGTTGTTCCGGAGCTGTCTCCTCTGCCAGGTTCCTCCAGTGAGCACCAAAGGACTTGCTTTGGCCAGAGTTTTCGCCAGGCTCACTACGGCAGAGAGGGTTTCCTCCCACACGGGCTCTCTGGTGTTTCAGAAGGTCTGCACTCTGGCTGGGGCCTTTCCAGCATTCCCTGCACGCACAGGGCCTTACCCCTGCATGGACTGGCTGGTGAGCCGCAAGACTGGCGTGGTCCCTGAAGCCCTTCCCACATTCGGAGCATCTGCAGGGCTGCTCTCCAGGGTGAATTCTCTGGCGGGTGTGGGGGTCAGAGGGGTCACTGAAGCTCTCCTCGCACTGGAGGCACCGGCAGGGCTTCTCACCTGTGTGTGTCCGCCGGTGGGTGATGAAGGGAGAGGGCTGACTGAAGCTCCTCACGCGTGGGTCACGCTGGTGGGGTTTCTCTGCGAGGTACAGCCCTTGGTGGTCAATGAGCCTTTCTGAGTCCTCCTCAGAGGAACATTCCTCCCACTGCCCCTGCGGTCGAGTTCCTGACTGCTCTTCCCCTTCGTCTTCATGCTCACCGTCCTCCCCCAAACGGCGAGGGTGGCGGGCAGCCTCCGCAGCTCGTGTTGGTAATGCACCAGGCAAATCCTCGAAAATGTCCTGCTCTGAACCCTGGTCGTCATCCTCATGCCTCATCTCAAAACCTGAAAGAATGAACAGAAATGCAGTTTTCTCATTCATTAGTTAGTGTCTATTTATGTATCTGTATCTTGTGCCTTATGAATTTGGCTAACATGAATTTGCACTTTATGTTTTATATGACACATTGTACAAATGTGGCTAACAGGAAATCGATCAGGTTTTGGGGCACACATGCATTTTTGACCCACAAAGCTGAGAACAGAGTCCAGGGCCTGAGGACCCCACCAGCACCACCAGCCGGGCTCCCTGGGCAGCGCCCTCATCCCGCTGTGTGACACTGAACACCTCCTCCGCCTGGCACAGTCAGTACGTCCTCTGGCACGTGAGACGGAATAAACTCTGTAACTGCACAAATGAATCCCAAAAGAGCCCAGATCTGACTGCTTGTACCATTTAGGGATTACACCGAGCCAGACGACATAGTCAGAGCAAAGTATAAATACTTTTCCTGTCCAATTCCTTTCTGGTTTAGTCCAGAGACGAGATAAGGAGCCTGGCTCCCTCCCTGTCGGTATGCTTGTGGAGTCTGTGGACGTGCCACCACTCCATGCTTACCAGTGTCTGGGGTTCCAGGACACGGGGTTGGGGGTCTGCCGGCATCTTCACCTGCCACCTCACCCCAGGCCTCCGGGTCATCAGCCTCTGTACTGCTCCGCCCGGACGCAGGGAGACCCGCCGCCTCCCTGATGGTTCCCACGGCTCTGACCGCAGTCCGAGCCCTCACCAGTGAGTCCAGCTCCTCATAGAAGGGGCAGGTCCCCGGTGGGTGGCTGCTCTTGGCTTTGCGGTAGCTGCGAAGGAGGTTTTTGAACCTGTAGCGACACTGCTCCAGTGTCCGCAGGAAGCCCTGTGCACACAGCCGCTCTGCGATGGCCCGGTACACCTGGCTGTTCTGGTGACAGGTGCGAAGCTTTTCGGGAAATGGGGACTCACTGAGGATGGTCAGGAAGGCCTTGGTCTCCTCGTAGCCCCAGTGCACACCTGCTGTCAGGAGTGAAGTCCAGAGTTGTGAGACTTAAAGAGACTTGCCTAGGTCATCAAGGATCGGGGTCACCTGCCTGTTAAATGCCTAGAACAGGGGCACCTCAGAAATTGTTCACATACCTGGGGCACCAACAAAGACCCTACCCTGGCCTCTCAGGGCTACGCCAGAGCTCCCCCAGCCCCACTCCTTCGAAGGAATTCTATGAGTCCTGGCTAAAGGGGAGGACTTACGTGTCCACGTTATACCAGGTGACCACACCCCCCTGGCTCCAGCTGACTGGTTCGGGGAAAAGCCTGCAACTGGGATACAAGAGACTCTCTCTATCCATTCAATACACGTCCTGAACTTATGTTCCTAAACTTGCCTTGTAACAAAAATGGAAACTGAGAATCCCTAAAGACATGAAGTAAGTTCAAATAATCACATTAAGAGTCCAACTGAGGACACACTTTCCTCCTCCGTGGAAGGAGAGAAAGAAAGCGGCCTGTGCTCAGCTCCTCTGCGGGCGCGTGACGCAGCCGGGGAGGCAGCAGGTGGATGGGGAACCGCAGAGGGGAGGCCGGAGCCCGGGCTCTAACCCTAATGGCCCCGGCCTCCCTCGGACCTGGAGCTGAGACGCTCCGTCTCTCAGGCCGCAGTGCTCCCGCCCTGACAGTGACTCGGGTGTCTCCCACACACCAGTCACTCAGCTACACGCTGCCCTGATTTCTGCTCCAGCGAGTATTTCACTCAGTGGTTTCTTTCCCTAAGTTGACGACCTGTGAAATCACAGTTGACGTGCTCATACACATTAAAATTAAAGGTTTCCTTGTGCAACACCTACGATCATCCTCACATGCACTTTGGGAAACACTGAGGTTCCCTTGGTCTTTAAGGTCCGTAGGATTTTATAAAAGGCTGTTTCTATAGCTAAGAAAGTTGAGAGCTGGTCACAGAATAGCGCAGACGTCTGAGGGTGACTGAAGGAACTCAGCACCTTACTCCAGTGGCATCAGCCCAGACTTCTGTGCCCTGAACTCAGAGAGCAGAGGCCTGGCTAGCAGGAGGGCTGGAACCTGGACCCGATTAAATGCCTGTGTTCTTACCAATGCGACTCTGGAACAGAGCTGGACCCCCTGGAACCCTGGGCTCCTGGACGGACTCGTCGATGGCCAGGTCATCACCGTCACAGTCCTCTGCCGTCTCCTCTGGCTCCCAGCCCCCTTCCTCTGGCTCCTCCATCTCTGCGTCACTGTCCCCCAGCCTGGGGAGGGCCGCAGCCTCGCCCGGGCCGTCCGCGGCTCTGATGGCCGTCCGCGCCCTCACCAGGGCCTCTAGCTCCTCGTAGAAGGGGCAGGTCCCCGGTGGGTGGCTGCTCTTGGCCTTCCGGTAATTCCGCAGGAGGTTTTTGACCCTGTAGCGACACTGCTCCAGTGTCCGCAGGAAGCCCCGTGCCCTCAGCCGCTCTGCGATGGCCCGGTACACCTGGCGGTTCTGGTGACAAGTCCGGAGCTTTTCAGAGAAAGGGGACTCACTCAGAATTGCCAGGAAAGTCTTGGTCTCCTCATAGCCCCAGTGCACGCCAGACACCTTAGTGTCTTCCACGTCCCACTGGCACTGCTCCTCCCAGGCCTTCGCGTCCCTCCAGGCCAATGCTGGAGCTGCTTTCATCTGCTCACTGTCCAGGCCGCAATTCCCAGTGCTCCTTTTTCCAGGAGTTTTAAGACTCGGGCCCCAAAATTCTGGTCCTTGCTCTGGCTGTGAGATGACATTTGGTTTTGAAACTAGAACTCCTATATAAAAAGAAATGATTCATTGAGCACAGTGCTTGTCCAAAATGTCCCTGAAACCTGTGTCCCTGTGAGAGGCTGATGGGAAACTCCCACGCTCATCCCATCAAACGTGCGGAGGGTTAGAGAAGGGCAACAGGAGCCCTTCACCGGAAACGCTCACCCGCCTGTTTGCTCAGTTCATTTGCTGTTTGGCTGTTGGGAAGCACATCGTACAAGAAGGAAGTCACTGCGGTTGGCCCACAAATGGGCACGTGACTTAAACTGGCCCAATCAGAATGAATGCAGTGGCTGGAGGAAAGGCCTCCCCCTCTCTGTATGTAGGTGTGTGGTGTGCATCCTCTCTTACTGGGAAACTTGTGGCCTCAATTGCCATTGGCATGCATCTGTCTCTCGACTCTGACATACAATGGCTTTAATGTAAAGCTGAGCCAAAGGACGGCAGAGAGAAAGGAAGAACCGCGCTGCTGCTGAGCCCATCTGCACTGCGGTTGGAGCATGCCCTCCTCTGCACTTCCAGTAATGAGAGGAAGTAAATTTTCTCGTTTTTTACAACAGTTCGCTAACATTTAAAGGACTGCTGTCCCAACAGCGCCCAACCCTAACAAAATAGGAAGTCTTTAATTACATAAATATTTGAAGAACACTAGAAAAAGAGCTTAGAGCTCAAAGAGGCCTAAAGACTCTCTAGTTCAGCATTTTGCAAAGTTCGTCCCTTTGAACTCGATTTTCACCAGATACCACATATAAAGGGGGATTCACACTGCCAAGCGAGTGGCCAGCAATCTTCTAGTGTCTTACCTCACTGACCCAGGTGAGTGAGACCTGTCTCTGTCTCCTACTTTATCCCACCCAGTGTCTGACTCCCAAGCTCCCACGGGAAGCGGAGCATCACTACTCAGCTTCCTGTGCAGCGGTGTCCGCAGGAGAGGCGTCTGTGCAGGTCACGTGGGCCTCAAGTGTGTCGAGCCCTGTGATGGGCGTTTCTCACTGTGGTTTAGCACATCAGTCCCCTGGGCGTAGCTCACTAGTGTGCCCCGAGAGACGGATCCTGCTCGATGCTGAGTGGCCTGGACTTCTGAGACGGCAGGCAGCGCCCAGCCCTGCGCCCTGGCAGAGGTGCTGAGGAAACGCAGGGAGCGAGCCCTGGGAGGGCAGGCTCAGGGGGCCAGCGAGCCCTGGGAGGGCAGGCTCAGGGGGCCAGCCCGCCCACCTCCGTCGGGCCGGCTGCAATCCCCACACGTCCCCCCACCCCCACAGCGCTGGCTACAGAAACCTTGTCCTCTCCCTGTGCCTGAAGTTCCATAGATTCACAGAGGCATGAATCTTAAGGGAGTGATAAACGCTCCTCGGGAACTGAGTGCACCGGAAACCCAGCATCTTCTTCAGCGGTCACTATTCCTTACCCAGGGACACGCCATTCCCACAGCTGTCTCTTGGGGGGTCCTTGTGAAACTCCTTCTCAGCATGTTTGCCAGGGCCCAGGGCTTCCTGTGAGATGCACAAAAGAAGGGCCTCAAATGTCACAGCCCAGGAACCCCACCGGGCCCCAAGAAAGGTAATGGGAATACAGAGGCACTGTGCGTGAGTCCAGCATCGTAAGGTGCAGCATGACCAAGGAGAGGCCCAGTGGATGGGGGCGAGGGGCAGAGGCTGACACCCTGTGCCCTTTTGCTGAGGGGAGGCCATAGAGAAGGACCACAGCGAAGGGGCAGAGGCACAGGAGAAGTAACGGCAGGAAAAGGAACACAGAGAGCAGCTTACCTGGGACTCAGCTGCCACCTCCCAATCTCCAGCGCTCCCCATCTTTGGGAGAGTAGGGCCTCGGGGAGCGAGGACAGCTGAGGAGAAGGACACGTCTCTGAAACCCAAGCTCTGGTAGCCAGAGAACCACCCCCAGTCCAGCTTGCCAAAAGCCCTGCTGGCATCCAACCGAGGTTACCCCTCAGCCGGGGCAAACCTCCCCTTTTCCCTCCCTGCGAGAGAATCCAGCGCCTAAGCTGCCTCTAGTGATGTGCCAGGTGCGAGGCGTCAGCCCCAGCTCCCAGAGCACCGCCTCGCCCCAGTGCCAGCGTGGACCTGCTGCACGACTCAGCACAAAGGGGCGAGCTGACGTCACTGGGAGCTTCATGTCCTTTAACAACGCTGACGCGCCTCGCTTCTCAGTGTGTCCAGGAGACACTACTCTATCCCTTGCCTTGAACTCGGTACATCCCTCCTCCCCACGTACCCTTCCTTCGCACCCCTCTTCCTTGACGTTCCCTGATTTTTGGTACTCACCACTCTCTTTCAAGGCCGGGGGCACCATCCTGGTGTCTGGATGCTTGGGACGGCCAGGGCACGGACTCCTCTCCCACTGCCTCTGGGTCCGTCTCTCGGGCCAGCGACCCACTGAATGTGGCCGAAAGCCCTGCGGTTCCCGCACTGCCTTCCAGGACCGGGTCTCTTCTCCACACAACTTCAGTTCCTACACACAGACAGTCGAAATTCCCCATCGTCAGTTAAGACCCCTTTCCGCAGGGTAGGAAATGTTCTTTGGAGCACAACTATGACCCAGAGGTCAAAAGGCTCTTTTTTTAAGACCCAAAGACGGCTCAATGTCTGACAACAAAGCCATCAGACCGACCTCAGTAACAGACCAGCATTCACACTGCCAAACGCCTATTATCCCGCAGCACAGCGGGGCTGGCTACCCCAGTGTCTCAATGAGGCCATACTGCTCAAGACATTTCTGTGTCATAAACAGATGAGTTAAGTAAAATTTTTACAACATTAAAGATAATCTCTAAGCATCCAAAACAGGCTGTTTAATGTTTAAGTTGCCAAAAAAAAAGATAAAAAATTACCAGGTATGCTTTAAAAAGCAAAGAAATGCATAAAAACAGATACAACTATAACTCTAAATGTACTTACTCTAAGTATTCCTGCTGAAGGCAAAGAAAATTCAAAACTAAATATAAGAAAAAAGGAGGGACAAAGAATTACAGATGGAATTTTAAAATGAAAGAGAATTTTCAGAAAGGCACGTCTCTCTTAAAACGGAAGGATCAACAAAGACCAGGGACTTGAACTCCAAAGGAAAACCGAATTTCAATTTCAAAGTGGAAGTTCAGACAAAAAAAGTACTCAGAGACATAGAGAACATATATAAAACAAAAGGGAATAATCAGTTAGGAGGTGACATGACCCAATTCAGCATTATCAATTGTAAAATTAATTTCTTCCCTCTCTCACTTGGTTGCAAATTCAGAGGTAGAAGCCCGGATGTTATTCCCTGACCCTAAATCCCCCAAACATAACCATTTCACTTACAGCCTTACAGACACACTCCATTCAAGTGCCTTACAGACACACTCCATTTTAAAAATGTGTTACAGCCCTGGCTGGTGTGGCTCAGTGGATTGAGTGCTGGCCTGCGAGGCAAAAGGTCGCTGGTTCGGTTCCCAGTCAGGACACATGTCTGGATTGTGGGCCAGGTCCCCAGTGGGAGGGGCACACAAGAGACAACCGTTCAATGTCTGTCTCACACACTGATGTTTCTCTCCCTCTCTTTCTCTCACTCTTCTCCTCTCTCTAAAAATAATAAATAAAATCTAAAAATTAAAAAATGTATTTTAATGTCTTCAATAGGTATTTTCAACACTCACATGGCTCAGAAACAGAAAATATACATAAAGGTATATTCAGTGAAAACAGCCCAGCCCCACCTCTGCCCCCATTCCTCCCCACAGGTGAGCACTCTTTACCTGCACCCTTTCAGAGATTCTTCACATACACGCAACTGTATAATGTATACTCCTACTTCTTCCCCGTTTTTACACAAAAGGTAGCAACTACATACACTGCAGGCCTGTCGACTGTCACAGATGCACCACCCCTGTGGGGGAGGTTTGTTGATAATGAAGGAGGCCGTGTGAGTTACGAACCTTGCAGTGTAAGATCCTCAACTACAGCTGGGGTTGGGGGAACGAGCTACTCATCCATTTGTTTTGACACTGGTGAGCACTCAGGAGCAAATGGGAAAGTTAAAAAACGGAAGTCACAGGAAAAAATACATTACAGAGTAGGTTTCATCACCTTATTTTTTTTTCAGTCTCCAGCTCACATGGGTATAATTTGAGAATTTGGGGTCTAGCCCAACCCCCTCATCTCACAGATGCAGAATCGTAAAGACCTGGATCTAAGTCAGCTCTCATCTCTGGGTCTCACGTGCTTCTGCTTCCATCCCTGAAGCCCTAAGACTTCCATCTGTCTCCTCACTGCCACATGCGGCAAGCAGCTGCGGGGCACACGAAAACAGGGTGCGTCCTCCCACACTTAGTTCTGCTCCTCACTGGGAAAGCCAGGACAACAGCACCTGTCTCATGAAACTGTGTGGACAGGACTGAGTGAGTTAATACACAGAAAGCTCTCAGAACAATGTCTGTCTGGTACATAGTCACGCTCAATAAATGTCAGTTGTTCGATAACAATTATTATTTTGGCAATTATTAACCTTGTCACAGCCCCGCTGCCGTGCCTGGCCCACTTCTGGAGAACAGACTGTTTGCCTCACCCGCTGTCCTGCAGCCCGGGCCTCTCGGTGCCAATCCTCCACCAGGGCCACCGCCTCCTCGCCGCTCTCCGGGTGGCGCGCCTGCACCCAGGCCTGGGCCTCCCTGGGTAAGATAGTCAGGAACTGCTCCAGCACCAGCAGCTCCAGGATCTGCTCTTTGAGACGGATCTCCGGCCGCAGCCAGCGACAACAGAGTGCCCAGAGCTGGCTGAAGGCCTCATGGGGTCCAGATGCATCCCTGTACTGGAACTGCCTGAAGCGCTGCCGGGAGGCCTCAGGGCCAGGGACAGGGTCACGGTCCTTCGCCTGAGGTCTGGATTCTGATCTCCACGCGTCCTCCTCCAATTTCACAATCAGGAGTTCTTCCAGCTCTGGTGGGGGAGAGACCTGGGCCTGGGATTCCAGCGCTACAGCCATGCTCTGTCCAGGACTCCTCACTTCAGCTGGGCTGTCCTCACCCGCCGTCTTCCTGCATCTACGGTGTGTCCTTCAGGAGGCTCCTGGGAGAGGAAATGCTTTCCAAGGCTCTGAATGCAGAAGGACAGAAGACAGTGGGCAGGAGGACCCAGGAGCCTCACCTCCCTCGCTTCCCCCACACTCACCACTGCCACTGAATTGGGGGGGCAGGTAGAGCTAAGGGATGCCCTTTTCCACAAGCAAGCAGTTAGGCCACAGTCTGGCACCAACACCAGAGCCAGCACAGCGTTAGGTCCTCTGGGGCACGCTCAACGCCTTCGCCTGGCATCAGGCCTCCATGATCCAGTCCCAGCGAAGCCTTCCCCCCTCTCCACATGTCCCAAGTCTGCCCCCGCCCTCCAGCTGGGATCCAAACGCCACCCCTCCAGAAGGCCTTTCTCCCTGGGCCGTGAGGCCTTAGTCTTCCTCTGAGGGTGCTCTCCTTGCAAAGTCCCTTGCTCACTCCGTACTCCCCCTTGGTCATCCTACTTGCCTGGCAGTTTTCACCACCTCTGTGACTCCTCAAAACTGCGACCAGGACCTAGCTCCAGACCCCCAGACACCCAAACCTAACCACCTACAAGACACTTCCACTTGACTGTCTCTTAGGCACTTCGAACTCATCGGGTCAAAAACTGGATGCATCGTTTTCTCTTGCAAGCCTGTCCCTTTCCTGGAGCTGTCCATCCAACACAGGCACCCCTTCCGTCAGCTCAGCCAGGCCAGAAACCTGGCCGTCATCGTTCTCCAAGACCCTCCTCATCCCGCTCACCACCAAACATGTCCACCTGGCCTTCTAACCACTTACATCCCCAGTGCCATCCCCTCGGTCCAGGGACTCACCGCACTCGTCACTCGATCAGCACCTTATCTCTTGCCCCTGCCTCCACTCCCCTCACCAAAGAACCCCTGGCCCCTTCTGTGCCCAACAACCAGACTAGACCAAAACCTGACCGTGTCACTTCCTGCTAAGCACCCTTCAGTGGCCTCCCATTTCCCTCGGGATCAAGGATGAACCTTGCCCAAACCTCATTTCTTCACCGTGCTCCCGCCGGCCACAGTGTTTCAGCTGCACAGCTTGCAGCTCCTGCACCGTGCTGCCCTCTGAGCCCTGCCACACACAGGGGTTTCCTTTGGGAGCGGTCTCTTCCCTTTCTCCACCTGGCTCGGTCTCAGCTTAAATTGTACTTTCCTAAGATCCGGTCCTCAGCCTCAAGCTCCCATGCCACCTTGCGTTTTCTGTGCCGTCACCCAGATCATACTTGACAAGCGCCTACCCGCCAGATCACAGGCTCCCTGCGGGGCCTGGCCCAGTGCTCCACACACGCAGGAAGCACTCAGGGACAGCAACTCAACTACTGACAGCCATCTGTCACGGAGCAAGGATTATAATGATGCCTTCCTAGGCAAACTAGATGAAAGGAAAAGAATGACCTTCCTCATGCCAGAAGGAATCCTTTTCTCCTATTTATTTCCTTCCCTGTGACACTGGCCACTTGCCAGACTGTATCACAGGGATGTGTGTACATGTGTGTGTACATGTGTGTGTCCCCAGAGAGATTACAGCCTCGCTGAGAGCTAGGGCCACGGCTGACCTCTCGTGTTGACACCTGCCCGCCCCCACAGCCACAGCAGCGCAGTGCACACTGGATGCAGGAGGCTCTCAGGAAACGCGTGCAGAGCAAACGTCCAGGGCTGCCGCCTCCACACAGCGAAGACTCCGCAACACTCACGCTCGCTCGGCTAGCTGGGAAAACGAGCTCCGTGTCACTCCCAACGAATCGAGACAACACATACCATGCCTGCCCAGAGGAGGCTCTCAGCGGCTCCCATGTGGGACGACACAGCTGAGCTGAGAGTGGAGGGAGGGGGTGTTTGGTTTTAGGCCACAGGACTGGACTGTCCAGAAACAAGGCAAGGACGATGAAAAGCAAAGGCTCGTCCTAAAGACCTCCACATACTTAGGGACACAACTCACAACCCCCTGGCAACTTCCTACTTGTCCTTCAGCTCTCAGCTCAACATCACCTCACCTGTTAAGACTTCCTTGACCTGCTCTTACCATGCCCTGCCCCCTGCCTGCTCTCCCACAATCGCCTCCCCAGCCCTGCGCTCCCTAAGCAAAGGGCACACACCTCGAACACACGTGTTTCCTACACTATCGCAGTTCACGTTCTTACACCTGACAGCCCCACCCCTCCCCGTTAGGTTGCGTTACCAGGGTCAGCGCTAAATCCTACTCATTTGTGTCCACGGTGCCCGTCCCAATGTCCGATAAATAGCAGGGCCCTTGGAAGTTTAGTTGCCTTTTATTAAAACAGTAAAGCTGGTACATTAAAAACCTAACGGGCTAAGGAAAAGCCATAATTTACATCACACTAAAAAAATTGACCTTCCGTGAAATCTCTTTTTTAACCACAGCCTTCCTCATACACTATCCTAAACACACTTGGGTCACAACCCTCTCACACAAGGACTGATTTGCCAGCCACCTGCAGCGCCCCCTATGTCCCCTGCATGGTACTGAGAGCTGGAGAGCCAGCGGTAACCAGGACAAACAGTCTCTGCCTTCACAAAAGTTATAGTCTAGTAAGAGGCAATTGAAAGCAAAACCGGTACCCGGCACGGAAAGAACACTACAGCAACACGGGTAGTCCCACCAGGCCAGAAGCCCAGGGTCTCAGATAACAGGTATTTTCTTCTGGGATGACTTGAAAGTCCCAAAGGTTATTTTCCAACACAAACCTGAGGATTATTCCGCTACTCTCTTACATATGAACAGCAGCTTATCCACAGGGAGTGGTCAATGCAGTCAGCCAACAACAGGGTGGCTTCACACAGGGAGAAAAAGGACAAGGGCATTCCTCAGTGCTGACACTACCAGAAATCTCTGGGTTGTCACTAGAAGCAGCAACCTCCAAGAGACCCTATTTACTGATCGCCCACGGTGCCAGGGCCAGAGCTAAGTGCTCCCAGCCATCATCTCACCGAATCCCCCAGCCAAGCCAGCGAAGCATCACTAGTGCTGGGATGACACTGACGTGTAACTCACCCATATTAACTGCACACAAACACCAGGAGGAAGAAAGGCCAGGATTTAAACAGCGCACCAGTCCCATTCACTCTGCGCCTCTTCCAGAGTGAGCGAGCGGTGACGTGATGACGCCCATGACTCTGCTGGTCCCCGGGCTGGTCCGAGTCCCCTCGAGCATCCCTCCCCCTGACTGTGAGCAGCGTCCTTCTACAGCAGTCTGTATACACAGCCGACTCTTTCATCTAGTGTTCAACCAGGAAAACCCAGCTGTTCTGGTTAGCTTATCCAAAGACAGCATGTTGGTCTCTACATGGCTCCTTGCCCAAGGTTTTTCAAGCTGTGATTTTTGGCTAAATGTGATCATCACCTTCCATGCTGCCTTTAGAATACCATTATCCCAGGAGGCGTGTATGACCCTACTATGTCTTTAATTTACACATACGGAACTGAGCTTCTATGGAAAAAATTCACTTAAGGTTATACAACCATCAGGTGGAAGGGTTGGAATATAAGTCCAGATTTGTCTTCTCCAGCCATTTTTGTTTATCCACACCACACAGCCTCTTCTACGTCTCCCACTCAAAGTCCCGAGAAGATGGCATGGAGAGTGGGAAGGGCATTACGGCAGGAGTGAGCAAATCAGGGCTCTAGCTCCATTCCCGCCATTTATCAGCTGTGTGGCTTTGGGCAGGTCTTGTGGCTTCTCAGCCTCCCTGGACTGCAGCAGACGGCCCGACCCTACTCACAGTTGCCCAGGCTCCCCAACTAGTACGAAGGGAGTGGAGCAAAGGGACAGGGAGACTAAAATCAGTGGCTACACATTTCAATGGCTAGAAGCCAGACAACGTAACTGAGTAAATGTGCAGAGTAGGGACTGTGCTCCTACAGAGCGCCAGAGGGACCGCTGGCTCGGTGTCCACAGGCCTTCGAATTTTTCTAAGTCAGAACTCTAGGTTTTTAAATGTTGGCAACCTACTCGAACTTGCTTCAAACACCCTGGGGATTAAACAAGCAGGATGGAAGGCTTCTTTCGGCACGGGCTGTCGCTTTGCCACCTTTCAGCTGAGTGATCTAAAAGGTCTCTTCCAATCTCCAGGAAGCCCTAGAAAGGGTGCAGATTCTCCTAAATGATGAAGATTGGTGTTGGATGCTGTCAAAATCAGCACCGCTTTACAAACACAGGGAAGCTCAGAGGCATCCTGGCTCCTAGGGTCGTGAGTATGCGTGAGTATGGATGTGGACAAGAAGAACCCACACAGTAAACAGTGTGTGTGTGTGGGGGGGGGGGGGGGCGGGGGGCGTGGGGTGGAGATCTGCCCCAGTCTCATGGGAAAGACCAAGACTGGTCTGTGACCTTCAAAGAGAAAAAAACTGGGAATTCCCAAAGGCTTTCAAGCTCAACTGGATGATGGTCCAAGCTATTGCTTAAGCAGCCTGACCTCACACTTAAGGACATAAACCAGGGAAAGCAAATAGGTTCCATTTAAAGCACTAACTACATTCAACTGTGCTGAGGACTCTAAATCCCACATGAATGTGTTGTGACCAATTAGCTCTGTCTGCCAGGCACAGGAAACGGAAGTGGCTGCACACATTCCGTGTATTTGCCACCCATGGCTTAAACTCCCACAGGCACTGAATCAGCTTCCAGCAAAAACAGCCTTAATAGGCAGAAGACTGAGACTCATGCCGCTAGAAACCCACCGGAAGTAGCACCTTTCAAACCTCGCATAGCAAAGCTCACCCTGGATTGTCTTTAGTCACACATTCATCATTTACTAGGCAATGAGGAAACAGAGGTGACTCAGAAACTGTCCCTGTACCAGAGATGATGCTGACAGTCTAGTCGAAAAGAGAAAAAAAAAAGGGGGGGTGGGGCACAGATAATGATGATCAAAATGTGGAAAATGCAGTGAGAGTTCTGTGGGAGCTCGGGGTGAGGGGAAACTTTATCTGCTTAAGGCAACTGAACAAAGTAACATTTGAGTTGGTTCTTGAAGAAAGAATAGCTCCCTTGGCAGAGAATGGGGAGGGGAGGGTGTGTATTCTAAACAGAGACAACAGCATATATAATGGTGGGAAACCAAACAGCCTCCCCAAGAAATGAGGAAAACCTTGGGAGCCCTGGAGTGTGGGGTCCACGAAGATCAGGCAGCAAAGTAGTTTATGGAGGATCTGGAATATCAAACTGAGGTGTTTGGACTTAGTTCTATCAGTGATGAGTGGGCGCCAAGAAGGTTTTAAAGCCAAAAGCATAATCAGACTTGTGGATTAAACAGATCACACTAGCTACAATGTGTTTGTCCAAGCTGGGAGGTGAAAAGATGGAGGCTTCAGCAAAAACCCAACAAGGAAAGAGCAGATTCAAGGCACATTAAGGAAACTGAAAGATCTGAAGATCCCTGGATGTGGAAGAATACAAGAGAAATCAGAAGGCCCCTGGGTAAGGCAGACAATGGTGCCCTTCACCTCCATCAGCCACAAGAAAAGAGGTGCAGGTTTGCACAATAGGCAGTCCCACCCACTGGGTTCCAGGAGCCACAACCACTACAGAACGTGTAAGGGGGTATCAACTGAGATGTCTGTTCTAGGTGGGCAGGTGGAGACTAGAATGATATTTTGAGGGTTGGGCTCCAAGCTCAGGCCCTCTTATTTTCACTTCTTGCCAGGGCCCCAGAACTCTCTCTCCTTCCCTCTGTGGTCTTCTGGCCCTTCCACGACGCTCCCACCTCTAGAACCTCTCTCGGTGTCCTCACCTACAGATCTAAGGCGGTCCTCACTCCCAAGGGGGCTCTATCTCCCTCCTCATCCCCAACCCCCTCTCTGACCCTTCCCATCTCCGGACGCTTCATCCTCTCACCGCTTCTCACACTCCCCCCATCCACCCACCCACCCACAAAAGCTTCTTTCTCCCCTCTCACCTTCCCCAGTCCCCTGTAACACCACCACCTCCTAAGTCTCCAGCCCAGTGCCTGAGCCTCAACTGCCCCCGCCTCGCCACCGGGACTCACCAACCGAGCCACCCACTTCACAACGGGGCGGAAGTGCTCCAAAGCTCGCGCAGGGAATGCTGGGACGCGGAGTCCAAACGACACCTCCCCGGAATGGACCATCTTAGACTACAACTCCCAGAAGGAACCGCGTGAACCCCGTTTACAGCCTTAAGAGGTCGTCAGCCAATAGATGTGTCACTTTCTCCCGTCCCGGCAGCAGAGCAAATCAGAACAGGTTATAAATGTGAGGGTGGGGCCTGTTGTGCTCCCGGGTCTTTTCCACAGGTTCTGGGAAATGACACTGCCCAATAGGCAGGCATTCAATCTGAGGGGGCGGGGCCTGTTGAAGGGGCGAACTGGGAGCCTTAGGCCGGAGAGAGATCATAGAAGAAACAATAAGAAATAAGGAGAAAAAAAGAAAAAGAGATAAGGAGAGAGGGTGGCTAGAGATGACCAGACTGGTGAGCAGAAGAGAGTTGGACAATCGTAGGTTCAATTTCCAGCTCACAGTTAAGCTGGGTGGCTTTGGATCAATTGTGAATCGCGCTTTCTTTACTTGTGAAGCACGGATAACAACATCCGAATCTGCAGGTTTTTGTGAGGCTTCAGTGAATGATACATCTAAAATGATTAGCTCAGGATTTTTCTGGTGTTACAACTTATATTTAAGTCTTTTATCTACCGTGAATTTACTTTTGTGTACGTGTAAATTGGTGATCAAGTTTCATTTTTTTGCATGTAGCTGTCCAGATCTCCCAACACCATTTGTTGAACAGGCTATTTTTACTCCATTTTATGCTTCTTCCCTCTTTGTCAAATGTTAATTGAACGTAGAGACTTCGGTTTATTTCTGGGCTCTCTGTTCTGTTCCTTTGGTCTGTGTGCCTGTTTTTATACCCTTTGTGACAGCATGGATGGAACTGGAGAGCATTATGCTAAGTAAAATAAGCCAGGCGATGAGGGACAAATACCATATAATCTCACCTTTAACTGGAACATAATCAACAAAAGAAAAAAGCAAATAAAATGTAACCAGAGTCATTGAAATTAAGAACAATCTAACAATAGCCAGAGGGGAGGGGGGTGGGGACAATAGGAAGAAGGGTTTTCAGGAACTACTATAAAGGACACAGGGATAAAACTGAGGTGGAGGGTGGAAGCAAGGAAGGGAGGGAGGATTGGAGAGGGGAGAGAAAATATGGACAACTGTAATTGAACAACAATAAAATAATTTAAATTAAAAAATAAAAATGATTAGCTCCGGCCTGACTCCTAAAAACACACAGCAAAATTTAGCTATTATGTAAATCAGTTAGTAAGAGATTGGCACTTGGTGTGTATTGGAAGAATGTTAATCATCATTAGAATAATAACAATCTGAATAGTTTTAATGTAAAAGCAGTTGCTTTGTACTTTGGGGTATGAGCAATCTAATATGAGGTTGAGAAAGTGGGTTTGCCCTGGCTGGCGTACGTAGCTCAGTCGATTGAGCGTGGGCTGCAAACCAAAGTGTCGCAGGTTTGATTCCCAGTCAGGGTACATGCCTGGGTTGCAGGCCATGATCCCCAGCAAGCGCACATTGATGTTTCTCTCTATCTATCTCCCTCCCTTCCCTCTCTGAAAATAAATAAATAAATAAAATCTAAAAAAAAAAGAGAAAGCGGGTTTATAGTCAGACATGGATCCAAATTCCAGCCTAACTACTTCCTAGCTAGTGTGGCCTTAAACAAATTACTGCATCTCTTCTGTCTTTGGTTTTTTTTCATCTTTAAAATGCAGGTGATACAACAGAACCCACATTGCAGGTGTTGTGAAGATTAAATGAGATAATGCAAGTAAAGCGTGGACTCTGGAGTCAAGCTGCTTGTGTCTGAAACTTCTTATTTTCAAATGCAAGATGTAGGCCTTGCCACTGACTAGCTGTGAAACGTTGGGCAAATTAATTCACCTCTTTGTGCCTTGGTTTTCTCATCTGTAAAATGGGAATTAAAATAATGGCATCTACCTGATAGAGTTGGTGAGAAAAAAATGGAGAAAAGTATGTAAAGAACTTGACACATGGCTAGCAGAAGGAGTCTAATAATTATTAGCTATTATCATTTTTACTGATAGTTACGAGACTTCGGGGGAATTGACAGTACCTGGTATATGGCCCAGGGCTTGATACATGTTGGCTATTGTTGAAATTGGGGGAATTCTATACCTTAGTTTTAAAGACTTAGTTCAAAGTCCTTCTCCTTGTGAAACATGTTCCAACCTGCTTGTAGTAACAACTCCTGTGGTTTCACTCAGTGAAAGGAGTAGCAACCTATAAGCGCTCCTTGTTATTGAAGTATCACAGCCCTATGAGGTGGATATTATTACCTCCAATTTACAAGGAGGAAATGGGGGCTTGGACAGGTGAAGTGACCGCTCAAGATCACATAGCCAATAAGTGCAAGGCCTGGGATTTGAACCTGGACATATGACCCCAAAGGTTTCTTCTTAGCCTCATGTTGCATAAAGAAAAGATCACCAGTGGAGGGGATGGTGTGGTGTGAGTGGAGAGAGAGAAAGTTCCACAGTGTGAGGTGCTGGGAGGGCTGGAAGTGTTTGAGAGAGTGTCCAGATCTGAAGTTGGAAAGTCAACTTTGCAGGGTCAGGTAAGGACATTCATTTCAGGATCATCTGCCCTGAAGAGCAGGAATGGAGGTGAGAATGCACGGAGAGGAAGACACCATTAGGACTCTAGAGGGCGCCCCTCACCCAAAATCCGGCCTAGAATTGTTCTATGGTTTGCTTTAGCCTTTGTATATTTAAAGTTTGGCATTGTACAGAAGAGAGAAAGTAAAGCCCAAAGAGGCTAAGTTTCCTGGCCCAGTATCATATAGAAATAAACAGACCCCAGTTCTCTGCTTCAGCATCCATCAAGATTTTTTTCTGTCCACAGTTGTCTGGGCCAGCACTAGGCTCTAAGGATGCCAAGATGAATCAAACCTGGCCCCTGGCCCCAGGGTCTGATCTCCAAACTTTCCTGGTCAAGTTTTCTATTAGTAAATTAGTAATGTTTCCTATTAGTAAGACATTTTTGAACATACACTCCTAACATGTGTATTTATTTACTTATATATAATATGCATGTAGTACATACATAATTACATTTTTAAAAAGTTTTGTTGAATATTGACAATGCAATATTAGGTCCTGCTCTCAGGGCTTTATACCTATTAACTCACTTAATTCTCACAAAACCCTTTGAGGGAGGGTGTAATACTTACTATCCCATATGACAGACAGAAGAGGAAACTGGACAGAGGTTAAGTAACATAGCTAAAAAGCAGGCAGGCTAGCTTCACAATAAAGCGAGGTATGAAAAAATACAAATAGAAGTCTTTTTTTTCTTTTCTTCCTAAACCCCAGTGGCTGACCTTGTGTACTACTCCCTTTGCAGACCACTGTTCTGGGGCTCCCAGACCTGTGAGGGCTGGGACAGTGTGATCAGTACTTTGAGAAAGGAAAGTGCAGGAAGTCACGGGAACCGAGAGGCTGGCAGCTGAGGAATGGCTTCTGGAGAAAATGATGGCCACGCTGAGTCTTAAAGAATACACTTTCCTCGGAATAAACGAATTGGGAGAAAGAAGAGCCCATGCAAAGTCCCAGAGGCAGGAGTACATGATGTCCTGGGAGCTGCAAGTAGTTTAGCCTGGCTGAAGTCAGAGTGCCAAGGAGGTGGGTTTCCCCTCCGTGTTGCAATGAGGTTCAAACAAGACGACAGATGTGATCATGCTTTCATGTTTTCACTGAGGGCAGTAGGTGATCAGTCCTCTGCCTCCTGGGTAGCATCCCAACTTTTTTGGGCCTCAGCTGCCAATACCTCTATAACCCAGATGGTAAAAGGGGACTCTCTACCCATGGACGATCTGATTGAACTTGGCCTAGACCCCATTCCATAGCTTAGGAGTACTTGGAGCCTTCCTTTCATTCCCACACTCTCCCTGAATCCCCCCACTTTATTTCCTCCCGGTTACAGTTTCTGTGACCCCTGCCCCTTCACCCTCTTCCTCATGTGCATTTCCACCAAAAAAGAAAAAGTCCAATTATGCCAATCATTTCATGTATTTAGTAAATTTACTGAGGATCTGAACATCTTGAGATCACATCACACACCTCATGGCCACCTGCCATCCCCCAAATTTTCTCATGCAGCCTCCAGAACCTTCCCAAAACCTGTTCCCAAAGCTACCAGTTGATCCTCTCCATACACACAGCAGCCCCACCTCCCAGAAGCTCCGTCCAGTCTCACACACTAACACATGCCCACTGTCTCCCTGCCAGGCTGGCTTTCCTTTCCCATCCCCACCTCCAAAACACATGCACTCACTCTAGCCCAACCCAGCCTGCCCCAGCCTGCTCCCCAGCCAAGCCCAGAAGTCATCTTTTCTCTCATCTTCCTTGGGCCACACATAATAGTCTCCTCTGCGGAGCAGCCGGGCCAGTCTATGGTAGCGGGGTAGCTGGTGGCGGGAAACTGGCTCCAGGAAGACCACCAGCAGCACTGGGGGGTGAGGGGTAGCCAGCAGGAGGGAGGTGGCCAGGTGGAGCTCCAGGCAGCAGCGTGGCGTGCCCAGGGCCTGGCAACTCAGCACACAGAGCGTGACCCGGCTGCTTGCCATGCTCTCTGCCACATTATCAGCCACATCGTTGCCTGGCTCAAAATCCCGCTCAGGGAGGCAGAGGCGCAGCCCCCGACTGCCCTCCAGAGTAGGCAGGAGCTCCTGTACCACCCAGGCCTGGTCTTGCCTACAGTGGGACACAAAGACATCATAGAGGAACCTCTTGCCTTCACCCTTCCTACCCCTCAGATCCTGAAGCCAAGCTCTGAACAGGGCCTGTAGGTAAAGGATCCAGGAATTCCTGGCTTCTTGTAGGAAGGGCAAGGAGATCAGCAGAAACAGCAGGGCAGAGCTGCCCAAAAAGAGTTCCAACCCCAAAGTCTTGGGGCAGTGACTCCAGAGGAAG